ATTTGTTGGTCACATGCATTTTTCCTGTTTGTAATGACTGCACTTGCATGAAAAAAAATATCGTCTTGCCTCCATTTCAAGACGGATAGCAGCAGCTGAAGAACTGCATCTTCAACAAGGCACTCTAAACATAAAGATATCATAAAACATCATAAAAATAATGTACACTCATCATAAAAACTTATAGCCCACAGCTTCCTAAGAAATTCTCTCCTAGGTTCCTTGGTGCAAGTGTTTTTTGCCTTTATTGTACCAAATGGGCAGTAGGCTTGTGAAAATGATGATACCACCATGATGATTGAAGAAAGGCGCATTAATGGTTATTGTCCCCACATTTCCTGATGAAGAAGCTGAGCTTATGTTTCATAATAAGTGCTAACAGACACCCCACAACACATTCACCCCACGATATAAGGAAAGTTAAGAGGTTTAGAATAATTTCAGTAGCTCCTACAATTTTTTTACAAAAAAGTAATCCATAAATAAATAAAAACAATATAAATAAAAATAAACACTAGTGCAAAGGTCCATAGGGAGCAAAAGCGAAAGTCATTTGCCTTTGTATTATTAATTACAGCACAGTATTACAATATGATCTGGGACTGAGGGGTGTTTGATCTGCATAATATAAAACATGTGGGAAGTGCAAGAGAAAAGCCAGTCTGGGCAGCACAAACAGGAACAAAAGAGACAACACATCACCACAAAACACTGCTCTGTTTGAACCTCACTACAAATCCTTGATTATTGTGGGAGACTTGGCCAATCCTATGGCAAGCCTGACACAGTTCATAATCCATAACAAACAGGGCTTGATAGACAAAAAGGGATTTCTTGCAATCCAGGGTCAACAATTGTGGTTTCTGCAAGAATCAGCAGGCGTTTTATAGGGAGGACCATTCAGAAGCTGTACACCACAGCAGCTAAATATGGTCCTGTAGGCTTCACTCTGCAATATGCCATAAACAGAAACCTAGCCAAAGTACACACGTCCACATAACAACCGAGAGTCTTTTATTTTAGGTGAAAACAGCTACTGAGTACAAGTTATTCATTTTCAGTGTCAAAAAGCTCCAACACTCATTATGACGTCAATTCGGTCAGTATTTATTTAGTTCACTCTTTACTTTTGTGCACTCTAATGCACTTTAACTCTTCCATCCTTCCGATCTTGAAACCAGTTACAGCTGTGTCCTCCCTACAGAAGCTGCTGCCAAACACTGACATTATGTTCCCCTTCAAAGAGACACTGACACTCAAACAAGCAACTACCTAAACTCAACTTGGCTGCCTTCAAATTTCTTTCTCATATGTGTCTAAAATGGCTAAAGGAGATATTTCAGATAATAATAGATATCAGATGAGATATTTAAGATAATCCAAGGTAAAAATCAAAGGAAAAGTTCCAAGTTCAAAACATTTTCAAATAATACAGAGAAAATGGGACCCCTAGCAACCATGCATGACCCGGTAGACCACCAAAACTGTCACCAAAGAGAAAGGAGTATGTCAAGCTCAACTTTTGCTTCAGATCTGAAAAAAATCCACAGGTTTCTGTCCCTCCTTTTACTGTGAGAAGACAACTCAGCACCATGGGTCTGAATGGACATGTATACAAATACATGGAAAAGGAGAACATTTGCACTAGAACATCCAAACAAACATGCCAAAACGAATTGGAAGCTGTAATTAAGCTGAAGTGTGGACACACTAAACACTGTAGAATTTAATATAGCTGGCTGCTGAGGTTTTGGTGTATTTTTCTGTGTAATATGCTTTCTCCTTTGTTTCCTGGTGCTGAAAAATGAATAACTTGTACTAACTTGATTTGAAGTTCAGTTGGTCTCTGACTTTTGCTGTGGTGATGGAAATTGATCGTATTTTTTAGAAAACAGTACTCCACATAGTGGATTCAGTACATTCACATTATGTCAAAATGAATCAAAGACTTGAAACAGATTCACCTTCACACACATTTTACAAAAGCAGTATGTAATGTCCAGCTTGTCCTCAGTATCAGTTTAGTCTATAGAGACAGAAATAAAGCTAAAGGCCTGCTATTCCAATATTCCTTTCCAAGCACCGCAAGAAGATCAATAACAAAATGCTAAGTAAATTATTAGACAGATGACGGTCAATTGTCAATAATTATTGCCATTATCAAGAGTGTGTTCATGTGTGGGTTTTGCGTCAGGCTAAACGCACTTGAAGAAAAATTTAACTGCCTGTCTGTGTCTATGTGTCATAGCAAACACACATTAATGTCATCTGTATTGATGGGGAGAGAGGAATCCTGCCATCCTTTCAGGCCACTGAGAGCGTATTATGGGCAATTACAGCCCACTATCCTGGACCCACATGGATAGGGAATGGCACTACAGGGACTCGAATCCAGCTCTAGAGGAAGTGAAGATTCAGCCCATTAGCTTTTCCTAGAGTTCTACACAGCTTTAGAATGATCACTCTTATTATTATGGCTGAGATGAGGATCATGTCAGTAATGATGGCCATGAAGAAGAGAATAAGAAGACTTTCAAACCTATAGGAATGATGAAACTCCAGGCAATCAGCTGATTAGATATGGACTGCATTATCACAGAAAAAGGAACAAAAGACTTAGCATATAAATGCTTTTGACTTTTCATTTCCTGCATTAAGGTTTAAAGCAGTATGCTAATGTGAACTAGCAATTAATGTTATACATTACAACAATATATTACAGCTATTAACACACCAGTAACACTTTACAATGCCTTAAGTTTTAGGTATTAACCAGATAAGTGTGAGGTACACACTCAAAGTGCTGTGTAATTTTCTAAGTATCCAGACAGTGTAAATAAATTATACTGAAAGTTCTGGCTTTTAAGATGAAAAAGGACATAATAAAATATCACAAAACCAACTCATAGTTAAGTTCAATTAGTCTACAAGAGATAAGAACTGCACCTTGTTTGAACTAAACTATTGCTTTGGCATTGCTGACCATCAGTTTTCTGTGTTAAAAAGGAACGATCAACATATTGATCAACATATCAACATATATGCATTTTTGCTTCTAACAATCCAAATAATCTCAAACATGTTCAATAATGTTGAGGTCTAGGCTTTGTGGTGGCCAGTCCCTTGTTCACCTGTGGATCTTCTCCTCTCTCTCTCAAAGATGAAAGCTTTAAGTCCAGTTTATCTGATGGGGACAGTTTTGGGGGCCTATCAGGTTGTTAAAAGTCTCATTTTCTCTCTGTATTTTAATCATTTTTAGAACTCCAGTTTTGGAATTTTTTTTTCATTCTCACTGCAGTTTTTTATCTCAGTGGAGAAAGTAGTGCTTAGAGACAGTTGCTAAGCAGTGGATGGTCAATCATGATTTGGCTTAAAAAAAGGTCTAAGATGTCAAGTGTCCGATCAAAGTGTTCAAATATATCATTGGGAAGCAAACTGCACAACTGAGTTCATCCATCCTCTCTATTTAAGAAAGATATATAACAAAAATATATTACAACTAATAACACATTGATAAGGCTTTATTTTACAATCTCCTAAGTAACAAAGTAAATGTGTTGTACAAACTCCAAAGTGCTGTGTAATTTTCTTGGGTGAAATACTGGTAAGTACCCAGACAGTATAACTAAATTATAATGAAATTCCACACAGGTTCTAGCTATTAAGGTGAAAGAGGATCTACTAAAATATGTCATTATTATCTCAGAATCAAAATCTTTTTAGTGCATTTCAAGTATACACTCATACAGTACAACATGCTCTTTAAAATATTAAGAGAAACGAGACACTCACATAATCCACAACATATAATCAGACAAATGCATAGCTAAACATTATTATAGAATATTATAAAGACTGTGCAATATAAGTCTGTATTGCATCTACAATTATAATACATTCTTAAACGGGTTAAATATGTAGCTATAACGAAAGATAATGTTATCTCTGATAGAATAAGCAGTGAGGCAAAGTCCAGCTGATCGTCCTTTCACTGTGAAATTAAGCACAGTGGAATCTGATTTTTTCCAGGCAACACAACAAAATGCATGCACACACGCACAGACAGAAGCCACCTGACTCACAAAGCTACACTCCAATGTCCATTCATCACCTTTTGCCTGGTGCATCAGAAACAAATCCATCTAGAAATCTATCAGAAATGCCCTCAATTCTCAGTTAAGGACCTGTACAATAGCTCGTTTTTCATTTTACCCTCAAAAATGGTGAAAAGTAAGTTTTTGTAAACTGCTTTGTGCTCCCAAACACAGTTCTCTAGGGTTCTAGAAGACTGCATGTGGTCTCATAAATATTCAAGTTCTACATCGTGCCCCTTCCCCATTTATTTTCAGTGCACTGTGAATCGTTGTGTTTAAATGATGTCATGACTAACAGTGGAAATCAACCAGGAACAGAATCTAGTCTCACAGGCTCAAAACAGCTCCATAACAAAGAAAATAACAGCTTCACTGTGAGGGCAGTTAAAATCTTGTGGATTTGGGATGTTTTGACTGAATACACATATAATAGAGAATACATTCTGCTTATAATAATTTATTCACATACAACTGAAGGTTGTGAGTGTGTGAATTTTCATTTATTTGCTTGTTCATTGATTTAGTTTTTTTTGTAGCTTACTGTCTGCACTGCCAGCATCAATGTTCTTTTATTCCTCAGTGATATATTTTTGTCCAGATTAATGCTTGATGATATGATGACATCACAAACATTTTTAATTGTGTTAAAACTTGTAAGCAGGCTTTGCTCAAATAAGCGCACAAACTTCACTTTGTAAATGTTTCATGTGTCTCTACAAAACTTTTACCCTGAGAGTCTGAAATACAGTGTTGCAGCCTATAAAAAAAATCAAAACAAACATCCTACAGTATGTTTGGGGCGTACAGTGATACAGTAGTGCTCAACATAAAGCAAGAAATAAAATCCTCTATATAAAAAAGGACTCGTGAAAACATCTATATAAAAGTTTTTATAAAAGTAATGCCCACTTTCAGGGTGTATTTACTTAAGTACTGCAATCTTAGAATATAAACATGTATATTTATATAAAATACCCTTCTTAAACTTTTTTACATGTATTTGTTCATGTGTGTTGTTGTCTCATGTGGTTAAGGAGTGATCAGTTCTTCTTCTCTTTCATGCTCTGCAGGTGCTGCGTCACTTTGGCCTGTAAGAAACACCACAAAGTATTAGTACTGCAACAACAGGTACACAAATTCATAGTACTTTTTTCTCCCCATCAATTTCAGAGGCATCTTCCTCACAAATGGAAGGCAGTTTTAAGGAGTGGAAAGCAACCTAAGATTAGGATCAGGAGTGGAGTATAAGTGAATAAAGAACTATTTGCAAACGAGCAAACGTAACTTTAATGTCCAGTTCAAGATTCTTGGAGGAGAACCCTACTGCTAGCACTGGCTAGCATCGTGCTGAAGGGGAGGTATAGGGTGGAGCCAGTGTGCAAAATACTCTCTTGTACTCAGGGGATCTCCATGTTGGCTGGCTACTCCAGTGTTGGCTAGTTGCTAACTCAATTGCCATAGCAGTGCTGATGCTAGCTTGAATTGCAACAAAATCTTTGCTTGGTTTAACAATTCTTCTTTTGCAGATGTTCTTTTCTAGTTCGCTAATGCGCTGTTCCTCACATTATTGAGATCATTTCCTTAGTGTCTTCGGTTTGAGAAATGAGTAACAATTCACTCTTTCCACTAATCTCTTGGGAAATGGGGCAAGTGTTCAGATTTACAGATTATATTATATTATATTATAAAGTTTTTCAGAGGTATCCTGAGCATAGTTACAGTTCTGCTCTCTTGGGCTCCCTGCCATTGATGGCTGTGGCATCACTGGGAATCGAACTCTCAATGTTCTGACGGTAGGCCCATGGCGGTTGTCTGACTTGAGTGACAGCGCATTATGATTCTGTAACAATTGTATCTGATCAATCAATGGTCTGCATCACTTCTAGCTCCACCTAGAAATTCTGGTACCCAGAGAGGGTACGATTCATGTGGCAGAGGAAATGATGTTTATGGGTTTGTAACCATATCATGCTGTGTTATATAGCCCTGCACGGTGTAAAAACGCCTTAAAGTGGAGAATATTTAGAGAATGCAGGTATCCTTGTCAATAACAAGAAAATGCTGTAAATGAATCATTTACTAAAAGATGGAGAGTGCTGCTGGTAGGAGAATAAACATTTATGGAACGAGGTTCAAAAGCATGACAAAAAGTAAAAAACAAAAAAACCCTCTCTCTGATGAAGGCTCACACCAAAATGCACTGAGAGATTTTTGCACACAGACATGCAGTAATAAAGGCTTTTTAATTCTATGAAGAGAGCCATGGAGATTTACTCTTTATCATTACTTATTTATTACTTGTAGCTCATTGAAACAAGCAGAGAAATTCTGTCAGAAGTTGTTTGAAACTTTCAATTCATTTTTTCACTTTTCATTAGTGAAGAGGAGATATTTTATTACAATTTATAATATAATAGGATTAAAAGTTCTTGTTCTTCTACTCTTACGCAGAGTCTTGCTTTGCAGAAAGAAAATCCATCTATTTTTGCCATATTTGTGCCATTTTCGGACACAAACAAATGTAAAGATGCAATTACGTAATTCCATTTGAATACTATAGCAAAACAAAACCAGTAATTCTTACCCCCATAATGGGACCTGACTTTGTTTTCAGTCAGGTCCTGCTTGAGCTGGTGCTGAATTAATGATTGGTAAAACAGCCTAAGCCATGTTGTAAACCTATGATGTAGGCTTGTGAGATTGTGTTTAATATACTATCATATATCATAAGGCCGGCGAGCATGAGTTGTTTGCAAAACAAAAAAATGAAAGCATGTTTTCATAGAGAAAGTTGCCTCAAATATTGGCTGAGAGGCTGCTTTTAACCTTCATACTGAGAAACCTCTTAGTCAAGGTTCATGGCATCTTTCTCCAGTAACCTGTTTCAGTAATGTGGTAATGGCTCAGAGAAGTCTGCTTAAACCGAAAATAAACATGCTAATATTTCTGTTTAGATATGTGCCAACTTGTTAAACCAGTTTTTTCAAACTTTGTATGATGTGTTTTGGTAAAATAGCACTTTTACGGTCTATAAATCACTTCCGGTTCAAATGGCTAAAGCTTACTGTTTTAATTTAGCTTATATTACACTGTTATTGTCGACTATTATTTTTATAGGGTGGACTAGATCAAATTTTCTTTCAGATTTCAACAGCTTTGATGGAATGTCAGTCAGTTAAGTCCTCTCCATTTCCTCCTTCTCTTCCATTCTGTAGGTGGAAGGCTGCAGCACGGCTTTATCAGTTCAACAAGAATGCTATGCATAAATGCTGCCTTGTTTAGAACATATTAGGACCAAACAATTTACAAGATGCATATTCTTTCTTTTTGTGCATCTTAAAGCTGTGTTTTCTGACATTTACAATTGTCAACTTGACAGCCACTGTAATAGATGCAAACTATCTGCAATTCCTGATTCTAATCATCAGTCGGCTCAAGGGTACCATGATGACTTTTTTAGAAAAGAAGATAAGCGTTGTATATATACTATATGATGTAAATACATACTGAATCTGAGTGTATTCTAAAAAAGCATAAGTCTCAATTCTTTGCGATGCTCTCTATGGCCTGCACAGTACATCCAATGACAGCTGTTGGTGACTTTGTGCTTTCTGGGTGGTTCAGTAACCACAGCAGCTAAAACAGAACAGTATTTTTCCTCAGATCAGCTCAATCGCTTCAGCAGTCTGAGAGAGCATGAGGGATGGAGAAACACTTCACAGGTGTGATTCATTGCACTTTCATAGAGAGAAATGAAAGAATCATGAGCAAGGAGGCATTGTAAAATTGATTTGTGAATGCAAGCTCCTACCTTGATGATGCGATTTTGAACGGTGCAATTTCAGCAACTAGGTTGAAAAACAGAAAATGAAAGCAAATAATAAAACAAAAGAGATTGACACAATCCCAGTGAGCGGATAATAATGATATTTAGCTGAAAGTGATAGAATAATTCTGCATTAGAGGAACGTAACTGCTCTACCTCAGCGATATATTTATCCAGCTTCTCCAGTTGTTCACGCTGGGCTGTCTGGAGCTGTTCAATCTCTTTAGACTGGCTCATGGCAAGCTGTCAGTCAACATCATAAAGCTTATTTGATATAATTAAGGCAAAGCAAGAAATAGCCTTAAGCAGTTCTTTCATAGGGTAAGAGATCCATACCCGTTTTCTCTCTGTGAGAAATTTTCTGGTGTTGTTGCTGTTCAGCTCTCTAACTCTCCTGTGAGACAGGCGGAGACACGAAGCCAAAAAACAGAAGATAAAAGAACAACAGAATCACACTGGACACTGGCTACAGACTATTACTCTGTATAAACACAGTCATTTTTGTGCTAACCCATTTATGTTCACTTGTTTATTGCACTAATGTACTTAACCCAGGCAAACAGATGGTTTTACCGCAGAGAAACTTTGTAGTGGCTGCTTTTCCAGTAATGGAATCATTACCGTTCTCGCTCAGCCTTGTTTTTGATGCTTTTGTCCTGACTTATAGCTCTGCCATTCTCCATTGAAGACTTTGCTTGGTTGGCTCTCATCTCTTTGCTCTGTCTGAAAGAAAACACAACGAGCAAACAGACAGATCTATTCATCAGATCAGGAGTAATATCTGAAATGGAAATAACATCTACTTGCCTTAGGACATTCAATTCCTATTAACATTACTTGCTAAGTTTATGGCTAATGTTTATAGCCTGTCTCTGTAATATATATGGTAGCCTGCAATGAGGAGGGGGTCTGAGATTATAATATACTATTATGACTTTGGGAACTACTTGAGATGATCAGCAAAAAAAAAAAAGATTAATTAGACCAACTATAAGTTTCAGTGCTGAATTGAGTATATCTATCTTTTTAATGGAAAAATAACTATGGTGTACAACTCTGGGGGGAGAATATCAAAGGCCTGGGTGGTGCAGGATCCAGAAGGCATGCTTGTTTTGTCATAAACAACCGCAGACAGCGCGGCCAGAGCAGAATCCCACAGCAAACAGGCTGACCTGAGGCTATTATTTGGCACTGTAGGGAGGCATGAGGCCATCGCTGAGTTTATGAATAAATGAAGTAACACAAAGCTACATCCTTCATGACATACACATGTAGCAGTGCACTGTCTCGGTACAGATTTCACACTGGCTGTGCAAGGTTTAATATTCATGAATGTGTTGACGTCCACCTTGTGTGACACACTTGGATAATGCTGTAATTCTTTTAACCACATGGAACCATTGGCTGTCCTACACTGAAAGAAAAAAAAAAAGAATAATACAAACACTTAAAACAGACGTGTTAAAAACAATTAATATTGTGCTTTTTTTTAGCACATCTGTGTGTTCAGATGAGGTGAAGACATTTAATGTTACTTTAAACTGAGGAGCCCATTGTGAGCTTTGAGTTAGCTAGTAAAAATCAGCCAGTGGCCAATTTGACTGTGAAGAAATCAGACTCAGACAAAAAAGTTCATAATTGGTGCATCCCTACTTTTAACACAACCACTGTAACATTTAAAACAGACAGTGTTTTCACCTTTTTAATACCATATTGTGTTTTAATGACACTCTTGTGCTCTGGCCTGACACAAAATGTTTGTTTTAATTAACACACTGGCTGAAAATATACTAATAATTAGTGACTTGTCTTAACAATGGTATTGTAATAAACCTTTGCTATGGGGAAAAGTATTCACTTTTAAGAATTGAATGGTTTCTTACATGCAAATCTTTATAGAGACTAATAAATCAAGCCTGACAGTTCACAGCTGACCGTGACAATCATCTCAGTCAGTACCTTGATTATAATATATGATGTATGATATAAAATTAAACATGAAAAGATATAAAAAAAAGGCAGAGAGTACCCTTGATTTATTTAATTCTCAGTCAAAATAGCTATTAGGTACAAGGCAAAGAAAAATATGAGAGAAAAAGCAGGAGTTTCCAAAACGACTTAAAAAAAATTGTCAGATGATACAGAGAAAACATGACTCCTAATAACCATACAAGACCTGACAGACCACCAAAACTGTCCCCATCAGATAAACAGCAATTAAAGCTTTCATCTTTGAGAAAGAGGAGAAAATCAAGCTCCACTCTTGCTTCAGACCTGGAAAATCCGAAGGTGTTTTTGTCCATCCTTCCACTGTGAGAATACTTAACGCTATGCCTGTTTTAAATAAGATGTTACAGTGGTTGTGTTAAAAGTAGGGATGCACCAATTATAAACTTAGTTAAAAGTTAAAAGTAACTGTAGTACCTAAAGTGTCTAACTAATGTAGTAACTAATGTATTCACCTCAATTGAATGCACAGAGTCTAAAAAGATGTACAATATTACTTGTTTTCAACACATTTGTTTTGAGTGTTCATATTATTTTCTTTCAGTGTAGGACAGCCAACGGTGTTTTACATTCTCATGTGGCTTAAAGAATTACAGTATTATGACAGTGTGTCACGCAAGGTGGATGTTAACACATTCAAAAGCTCCACTCTTGCTTCAGATCTTAAAAATCCACAGGTGTTTCTGTCCATCCTTCCACTGTGAGAAGACAGCTCTAAATTATGAGTCCGAAATGATGTGTAGCTGTCAAGCAGCTCTTACTGAGTGAAGGAACTAGACAAAAAAAGAATGTTTGCATTAGAACACAAAAAACGGATATGTAAGATGTAGAGTAAGGTTTTGTTGGCTGGTGAGTTTCAATTTCATGAGAAGCAGAAAATGTAACCAACTTTTAAGACTGAACTTTGAAGATGTGGAAAAATATCCATGCAGAAGCAAGTCTCCCACGGAAGAGGTAACAAAGGGGAAACGTGGACACACTAAATACTGAAAAAATAATATATTTAGTTGTTGAGGCTTCTGTGAAGTTCTGTTAAATTTGTGTTTCTTGTTTTTTACCTGATGCTACAAAATGAATAACTTGTATTTGATAAATTAATAACATTTAGATTAAATGAAGGGTGGTCTTGACTTTTGCACAGTACTGTATATTTTAAATAATTTGAAATTTTACCACTTTAAAATCCAGTATCATTCAAATGTTCATAGTGTCCAAACCCTAGTCTGGAGAAGACCTCTACAGATTTTAAAGTTAGTGAGTAAGTATTTCTGTACATTGGAACTCTAGAGGCTTAAAAAGGTATGTCCATGCTGGGACACCATGCATTCTCATCCTAAACGTATTCACACTGAAAGCTTCTACAATGGGAAGAGCTCACCGATCATGGTGGTGTGAGAGCTGCTGCGTCTGCTGCTCCTGTGTCATTAGCATGAGCTTTCTGAGCTGCTCACACTGCTGCAGCACATGCTGATCTTTCAGCTCCTGACTTTCAGCACTGTGGGCCTTCATCATCTCAGCCCACTCACAGGCCTGGGCAGCAGCCATATCTTTAACCTGTTGTAACAGTAAGAAAAAAGGGGGGTGCAGTCACAGCGCTGTCTCACTGTCTCATTGAGCACACTGAGCGCTGCGTAAAGCGTGGCACCAACTGCTCTGGAGACGAAGGAACAAACGGAATGCAGCACCTTTGTTTTGTGGTCTGTGGTTATAGTCTTCATCTTCATTTCTATTTCTCTCCCCATTTCACAGCAGTTACTTTCACTGAGGTTGCATGAAAAATGGAAAGAGAACTCGTTCAGTTTCACACAAAAAAACAAGATTAAAAATACATTCTATTGAAAAATCATGGCCTCCATTATGCATTTTTCTTTACAGACTATCTTAAGTGTATGTTTTAATAAGCAGATTATTTCACTCCTCCATGACTCACAGGCCCTGTAAGTGTAGGCTGTATTCATGAGGCTGTCACATACTTCATACCTGACTTTCTTGCTGTTTTTTTCGAGTTGCTTTTCTAGCACTCGCTTTTCCTTTTCGTGTTGCACAGCAATCTTGTCCATTTGAGTGGAATGAGACCTCCGCAATGCAGTGTGCGCCTGTAACATGGAGCAACAACATTATTGCATTAGAGTTCACCACTCCTGCCCTGCAGGCTCACACCCCTGACACTACATCTTGTAAGCAGCAATTACAAAAGCAGGAACAAAGTGCCCATAATCAAATTACCACACTTGAGAAAATCAAAGACTTCACTCGCCTTTGCGTGCTTTTTCTTCAGTGCATTAAGTTCCTTCAGCTGCTTCTTTACTAGTTTTAAGTACGCCTGGAATATTATAGAAAAAAGCCAGAAGTACATCACAGTTCAGTATAATAGATACATAGGAATAAATAGAAAATTAATTTTAGGAATATTTTAAGGGCCCATATTCTACATTTTTCACTTTCATATGATTATTTTCCACCTTCTCTTTATCTTGTAAAGTTATATAGTGTTTTTGTTCTTAGGCCACTGATATGAGTCATTCCACAAGAGTAGTGCCAAATGGACATGGCAATTATTATTATTATTATTATTTTTTTTTTTTTTTACAAGAAATCAAGAGAGGTCAAGAAATCTCGTAGCTTTGATGACATATTGTTTCAATTACATATTGTTCTCACCCAAAAACAGATTTTCGTACTTCTGTAACAGTGAGAACTGTAGCCCCATCACACCAAGGGAATGTAACAAGGTGGAATATTTCAGGCTAAACCGGCTGCCATGCTGCCTCTTATCAAGCTCAGACCTTCTAACATCAGTTTTTTACAGTTAATTATAAGACTTTTCTGTAAATACTGCAAAGAAAAATCATAAAGAACTGTTTTCTCTATCAACTTGTATAATGGGGCTGCTGCTATGCATAACAGACCCTGTCAAAGATTAAACGAAACAATCAATATTGAACAAAAGAAATATTTACCAGATCTTGAACTCGGCTCTTCTGAAGATTTAAAACGATCTTATTTACTTATCATGTCACTTAATGTGACAATGTGTCATTTTTATAGTCAGATACGTTACAGATACATTACAAAAATTTACATGAAATTAATGCTTTTGTGTTAGACTGATACACGTTAACACTACTATTACTAACTTCAATAACTGTCTACATGGAAATGTACGGCTATTTTAAAATACATCATTTTTTTTCATTTGTAATAAAAAAAAAGTATCCACTATGTTAATGATGAAAGCCAAATTCATATATTTAAGCTTCAAACACACAGACTGCTGTCTCTAATACTAGGCACTGAATGTTGTGGATTGAAATGGCAATCTTTTCATAGAATGACCCGTATGCATATATAAATGACCTCCATTGTAATCGGCTGCCCTATACATGCCCTGTTCATTCAAAAAGCAGTCCGTGCTGAAACAATCCTTATAACTTCAGCCTGAATGCGCGGGGCTAAACTGCTGTAGGCTGAATAGATGAATAAATGTAAAACATGTTAGTCTTTGTTACATCACCAAAACAGTGCATTAAAACAGGATGTTTTTGCAGCTTATTTTCCATGTATGCACTGCATGGACTGGGGAATAAACAGTGAGTTTTGCAAATTCACTTGTCCATGTTATGGGCCCTTTAGGCACCCTTATTTCCTCCCCATGTACAACTTTATACCTTCATCTGTTTCAGGTCATCAACAGTGACTTGAGGCATCACAGCGGCCATATCTGAAGGTTCAGGAAAATAAAATAATACTGTTAAGTTGGGGAAAAAAGCGCAACAAAACCGGGAAGATTATGCAAAAGTACAGCAAACCCTGGAAAACTGAAATGGTTCTGCAAGACATGCTTTTCAAGTGTGCTTATGTGATTCAGAATGCATAAACAGGTCGATGAGTGCGTACCCTTTCTACAGAAAATGCTGGCATTCTGTCCTGAAGATGTGCTGTGTGTCTCTGAACTCTTCTGAGGTGACACAGCCTTCACCTGGCTCGCCTTACCCCTCTTACTCCTCTTCGAACTGTCATTCGGCACATCAGCTATCTCCCACTGCACAAACACGCAAAGGAATGCTTCTCAAGAACAGGAATGATCGGTTCGGAATGTCTGCAATGTCTTCAACTAATTTTAGTCTGTTGAATACACAATGTAGGTGTATGTAACTGGACAGTGACTTTTTCTGTAAGTTGGACTTGAAATGAGGTTAAAATGCTGAATATCTGCAGAATGTGACAGGTCCTGTCAAATTGAGGCTATATGTATCTATATCGGCTGAACTATATAAGAATCACAGCCATTTTTATACAACCCAATTTGGCCCTATAAAACTCCATAGTTGTTTTCATTTTAAGTTCTGGGTTGTTGTCTTGTGGCAAGGTGAGGCACCATCAACTAAATTCAAGGAATTTGGTTTGATCTGAGCAGATGTTTCTGTACATTTCAGAATTTCATCCAGCTGCTGGTGTCTTTCAAATCACATCATCAGTAAAGACGAGTGATCCAGTCACAAGTGTGTAGATCCTGGCAGCCCCATGCTCACGCCACCATGTTTCACAGAGGTGGTGTGGTTCGGATTATGAGCAGTTTCTTCCTTCCATCACTTTATCATCTCGTCTATCCATAAGACTTTGTGCCAGAAGTCCACAGCCTTTTCTTGTGGATTAACTGAGATTTGCCTTTTGCAGACACCCCTCTGAGAACCAACTGCTGTATTGTTTCCTTTATGGTAGTCTTTCACGCATCCTGAATTGCAGTCTTGATCTGTTCAACAGTTTTTCTTCAGTTGTGAAAGGATTCTTTCAGTCGTCCCCTACTGTGGTCTACCAGGCTATTGCTTAGCTGATTTTTTTCACCTAATGTTTTGTTTGTTTTGCTGTCTCTGGCTGATTTGTTCTGATTTTTCAACCTCATGATGACCTGCTTTACTGAAACTTCTTTAGTCCTCGTGTTGAGCCGTATGCACCAGACGCAAATGCCACATCGTGAATCAACTCTAGTTTGTGCATAAGAGAGCTCACAAAGATGTAATGATGCAGCTGGCTAAGAAACAACTAAACATGTAACACAGGGTTTATTATAAGCAGCCAGCTAACCAATTTCTTATGGTCCTCCTAAAGGGAGGACTGGATGTGGACTATGTAAATCAATGTAATTTCCCTCAAAAACTAGCTGACATTTTGCACTTTAACCTCACAGTCAAGGCTTCGTTTCAAACACAATATGCTGAAATACAGAACCAATCCAACGAAAATTGTTACTGACCGTTCACTTTTGGACTGCACTGTGTGTATTCTCAGGCAAGGCAATTTCTCACCCACACACATTCACCTACCAATTTCGTCTTGATTAAAGTGGACGTCAACAATGCAGTGATTGTACGAATTGCATTTTTAGAAAACACTCTTACTCATTTCCCTAATTATGAGACTGAGGAAGGAAAACAATTTATTTTGCCTCTATATTCCTTGCCTTGCTTTGCTCTGCAACAGCATGCTAATGTTTTTTAAATAGATCTGGAAGATGTTGTACAGTATATTACTATAGTTATGATTAAATGTCAGAAAGTTGATTTGAGGTAAGACACACAATGATGGTAATGTGCGGATGCCGGGTGCAGTAATGATGGAGATACTCACTGTTTCAATGCCCATGGCTCTCATTTGGTCTGTTCTCTTTTCACAGATGGATAAGAACTTTTTGGGATCAGACAGGGCATCTACAATAGCTAAGAAAGAAAAGCATTTGAAAGTTAACACATTGTAGTAAAAAAGTACACAAGCTCAACAGACACCGTAGACACTCATGTGAGACAAATAACAGAAATATTGTTTGGTCTGGAAACAAATACGAAGTTAACTCCTTTTTTCAGTTATTAATCTTACCTTAAGACTTAGATAGTAATAGTAATATTATATATTTCAGTATAATACAGTAATAGAATGTAGAATGTAGCAACTACTATAAGTTACAAAGTAACTTCTGTAAAACTAGCATGCAAGTCAGGTAGATATAAGAGTGAAACTGTGAAGTGTTGATCTGCTGACAGCACCTTAGAGACATGAATTTATTTCTTGGAAGCTTAAACTTGCAAGACAACACTGGCCTCTCTATAGGCATTTGTGTAGAAGATACTGTTAAAACCGTCTGACCTCCAAACCCGTCGGGTACGTATGTTTTTAAGACGATATTGCAGAATACGGTGGGCAAAGAGAGAGGTTTGTTGCCCTCGTTTCGTAGGGAGATGTGTCTGTAGCCAGCCTGCAGACCGTCCAGGGGGAGAATCCTCTGGCCAATCAGCTTATTGTTGTCATCATACACCGCTATTCTGAGCACTGCAAGGTCCGGTAGGATTACCTTTGGGTTGGCAGAAAGTGTATTATTCACTCTCGGTTGGGTGTGTGTGTGTGTGTGTGTGTGTGTGTGTGTGTGTGTGTGTGTGTGTGTACATAAGGAATTTCAGTGATAAGCAGAAATCCACAGTGCAGTGAAGCAAAGACATGAGGAGAGAGCAAAGAGGCATGGAAACACACACAGTAGCTTTTCCTCTTATATTGCTTTTAGATTGCTGTAGCTTTCTGTAGATTAAACTTAATGATATCATAAAGGAGTTATGATACCAAATGATAAAATGGTAATAATAAAACATAATTAAAGGGTAAAATAAACTGTACTGTGCAGAAGTCAGAGACCATCCTTCATTTATTTAATTTCCAGTCACAACAGCCACAATCTACACCTGCATTCTTCAGTTCCAAGAAAAAAAAAAACTGAAGCCTCAACAACTAAATACATTAGCAATTTTTTAAGTGTTCAGTGCCTCTACCCTTTTGCCTTTATTACAACTTCATTCTTGTCAGGAGGTCTGCTTTCAGTTTTTGTAATAGATCTGCAGGGATACTTTTCACACCTCCAAACTCCAACATCTCATATTCACTGATACATATTCAATGATGTCGAGGTCTGGGCTGAGGGGAGGCCAGTCCATTGTTCTGAGAATTCCAGCAGCTTCTTGGCTTCATTTATAAAAAATTATTTTCTGTCTGTTCTTCTTTTCTTCCTTTTCTCCATAACAGCTTCTTGACAGCTACACATCCTTTCAGACTTAGAGCGTTGAGTTGTCTTCTCACAGTGGAAGGATGCACAAAAATAGAAACACCTATGGATTTTTTCAGATCTGAAGCAAGAGTGGAGCTTGATTTTCTCCTCTCTCAAAGATGAAAGTTCTGTTTATCTCAGGGGTGGCGAACTAGTGCTGGAGGGCCAGAGTCCAGCACAGTTTGGTGATTTTTTTTTTACTCAAACAACTGATTCAACTCACCAGCTGTTTGCCAGGTTTAGTAGGTGTGTTTATTGCATGAAAATCACTGAACAATGCTGGACACCGGCCCTCCAGGACCACAGTTGACCACCCCTAGTTTGTCTGATGGTGACAGCTTTGGTGGTCAGTCAGGTCTTGCATGGTTGTTCGGAGTCCAATTTTTCGTACAACTGTTGATAATTTTTTGAACTCCAGTTTTAGAAACTCTTGTTTTTATTTTTTTCCCTGCTTATTTTTCCACTTCCCCTGACTTTCCCCTTCCTTCTGCAAGTGGATCATCTATTCTCTTCGTAAATCTGATCTCAAGTTCTTTTAAAAACTGAATAACTTCTACTTAATGACCTTTTGACTGGAAATTAGTTAACGAAGGGTGGCATATACATATTTTTTGTTTGTTTGGGTAATGTTTACATCGTGTGAAGGCCACATATCAAATAAAGTGCAAAAGTCCTAAACACCTAAGCAAATTGTTTAAAACCATTTATTTTGGCAATAGCTGTGTTTTTGCTTGTAAAGAAAAACCTTATAGCATTCATGCAAATATTAATGCAGTTAAAAGTAACAAGAATTTCTTGTTTTCAAAAAAGTATTTGATATCTTGTGAGTTAGTTAGAAGAACAAAGTTTGGTTCTGGATTGCTCTTCGATGTCCCCAGTATTGCTTAGATTAGTTTAAATCTATCAGCAGCACACCAGATTTCATTTAATGAAGGATAACTTTAATTAATACAGGTCTGCTAACAGGAGAGGTCTAGAAAGAGTTAGACTAACTGACACACTTAAAATCACTCAGTAGATAAACATTTAATTCTCAAATTTTTTTTTTAAAATATAATTATCTCAGGTGCCTATAACTTTTATACAGTGCTGTATATGACTATTCATAGTAATACCGCAGACCTTAAGCTTACCTTTCTGAACACAAAGGGCTCTTCATTGTAAACAGGGTTTAGTCCATTGTTCATTACCATCCTGGTGCGAAACTCTTTGCGAATGGTATCTGTGGGCAGTCCATACATGTCCACCTCCACATACGTGCCAATCTTCTTGTCAGACAAAAACTGGCCTGAAATCACCTTAAACACAGCAAAAATGAGAAAAATATTTTCTAGTGTTGAATTTTTGCAGCAATTTTAGGCTTCAAAACAGAAACAGAAAAGTTCAAATTCGAGAAGGGGGAATATGAGACTTGGATGCCAAAGCAGAGGATTGCAGGCACTTACATGGCCTTCCTCTGATCTCTGGCATCACACACACAAGTTAAATACCCCAAGTGGCTTCAGTAGGGAGCCCTGTCTCCCCAACCCACTGCACACTTTCAAAAGATCAGATACTACTCAATGGCTCTTCCCCAAATAAAAAAAAGGTTTAAAACAATAATCGACATCTCAAAGGGAATAACCTGGACGCTGCAAGTAGCTGCAATCACTCCATCCACAGGAGTCTCCGAAAAAGGATCAAACATTCGGTCTGGACGACGCATGAAATCTGGCTTCAGCAAATATCTGCCAAGACAAAACAACAACAAGCAGGGTGGCTTATTTGCATTAAGGTGCCACTGAGTCGTTCATCATTACAGCCATTATCTTCAGTCACCTTAGAGCAATGACCCATTTAATTAAGCCCCGCTTGTCCTATATTCAATTTACACTTCTGAACATAACACTAATGGATACTGCACAGCTTTGCCTTGATGAATGTGTTGATTAATATGTTTAGAGTTTTCACAGTATCACAGCTCTCTTCACAGCGTGCTTCGCACATCGTTACTTGATGCAAGTAATTAACACTGTCAACTGGTGCAGTTCTATGGATTATGTGCTTTTCAAGGAGCAGGTCCACTGCACTCACAACTAATTGGTGCATAATCCAGAGTAAATATACTACAAGATACATGCATATTACATCCTCACTCTTCTTTTAGCTCTTTTTTTAATAAGATTTTAGCCATAGAGAAACTGAGCGTGAAATTGAACACAATTTTCAAATTTATCTGTTCTAAACTGTTATGAATATTTAACTTTTATATATTAGAGGCACTACTGAAAGTTAAGTATAGTAGGGACACTCCTACTTCTTCTCTGCTATAGAAAAGTTGAGACAGTATGTAAAATTCTATTAAATACACAGAAAACAGTGATTGGAAAAATTTGACCTGCTCTGTTTAATGTTTTACCCCATGAAACCGAATAACCCTCATGAAACTGGATGCCTGTACCATGTTCCAAAAACCTGGGAAAGGAGCATGTTTACCACTGTGTTATATCACCTTTCCTTTTAACAACACAATCATTTGGAGACAGAAAACACCAAGTGATCTAGTTTTGAAAGTGGATTTTTTTTGCCATTGTTCCATTATACAGGTCTTTAGCTGTTGAGCCTCATGAGGCCTTCATTATGTGCCACACGTTTTCAATATGAGACAGGTCTGGACTGCAGACAGGCCAGGCTAACACCTGCACTCTCTGATTACGCAGCTATGCTGTTGTAACGTGCAGAATGTGGCTTGGTGTTGTCATGCTGAAATGAGCATGTACGTTGCTGAAAAAGACATCATCTAGAAGGCTCTAAATGTGTTTATGTGCATAATACAGTACAGAACCTGAATTTGTGGATGCAGTGACAAACAGTGTATATTGACAGTTGTTTGTCAAAGTTTTCCTGAGCCCATCTGGTGATACCTATCACAAAAGCATGCAGGTCTTTAACGCAATGCCATCTAGTGAATCCAAGGTTGCAGGCATTCGGTTGTGGTTTTCAGCCTTGCCCTTTACGAACAGAGACTTCTCCAGGTTCTCTGACTCTTTTGATATTATGCACCGCACAGGGTGAAATACCTAAAATCCTTATAATCCCTTGATGTGGAGCATTATTCTTAAAACTGATGGATTATTCACATTTTTTGGCAATGAGCGAGGCTTGACTCATCTTTACCTTTTACACCCAAGCATGATTAAGATGCTTTTTTGAACATTTCCCTGTCTCAACTTCTTCTGGAATGTGCTGCAGGGATAAATTTTAGAATGAGTGTATATTTACAAAAACAGACAAAGCATTAATTGATATGTCTTTGTACTGTCATTTAAATACAAGTGGATTTACAAATCACTGCTTTCTGTTATTATTGTTATTTTATATACTGTCCCAACATTTCTGGAATTGTGGGTTGTATTTTAACCATACATTTATAGATGAATTTGCATTATCTAGTCTGACTTTATTAAGTGAATCCAAATTTAATACCATGAGTCACAACCAATATTTCATCTGTTTATGACAGCTTTATGATGTTTGTTTTGAGAGTTTATTTCATGTCATATTTATAGCCAAGAAGCAATAGCTCTCCTTCATTAATCAGGCACATATACAGATGCAATCCTAAATCAGCCAAAAAAAACAACTCTCAAGTCTTATTTGCTGTGTTCTCAGCACTCAGGGACAGATGAAATATTAGCACAGCTATATATAAGCTCATAAAATTGTAATTAAACTTTCAAAATAAATGATCCTCTCTAAAAGCAACTTATGACTTAGTGGTCATCTGTAAATGTTAATGGCGATATAATGTTCACTTACCCACATGATCCGTTGTACTCAAACTTTCCTTGGTTCAGCTGCATTGCCAAATCTAGAAAACACGGTAGGTAACACACAAACAGGACATCATATACTAAATTAAAACTTCTACACATGCTTACCACCATCTGGATTTCAACACTGACTAGGTATTGAAATCCCCTCTTTCTAGGCTTTACCACAGCGCTGACAAGACACATGTGGAGATGGGACACTGACATAGTTGGACCAGGCACATTTCTTTTAGCTTAACAACTTCAGGTTTTGGTTTGACTCTATATTTGCGATATTCCTATGATTTCTTTGCACCCAGCTGCTATTACTTTCTGTCTCGCGAACAGTGCCTGGCATATTCTCTCTCAGAAGACAGCAGTAGTACAAACAGACTGCTGATTGCTGAGCACACACTCATCTGCGTTTCAGGTATGCACAGGCTATCAGAACAAGCCCTGAAATATGGCCACTCCAGATGTCTTGGAACAGCACAAAGGTTTCTAGATTGACAGCTTGTCTTCAGTATTCAAAAATATTCCTTCTCAAATAAGCAGCAAGGCAGTCAGATGTGGTAAGATGGTTCAGGGTAAGTAAACTGCAGGTGCTTTTTTAAACCTAAAAAGTCAAGGTACTACCTTCCCTTGACTATACTATTCAAATGAAATGATGTAATTACGCATTTATGATGCATTTATGACAGTTAAGCAATGAATTGGTTAAGCAATGAATTACACTTTCCTTCGATTTATGCTCTATGTACACTGCATGAGTCTGCAAAACAAGACATTATGCACAACAATGTTCAATCAATTTCAAATCACCATAAAATATCTCTTCTACTTAAAAACACAAATGTAGTATTAGCTAGAGGTGGGTAATATGATGATATTTTATTGTTATCGTGATAAATTACAGTACTGTGCAAAAGTCAGAGACCACCCTGCATTTATTTAATTTCCAGTCAAAACAGCTATCAAGTGCAAGCTATTCATTTTTCAGCATCAGGAAAAAACAGAAAACATATTTAACAGAAAACTGAAGAACTACATATATTTTTTCAGTAATTGGTGTTCATTTATCGCCTTTATTGCAGCTTCCATTATTTTCAGACACATGTTTACAGTTTTTCAAAGAATTCTGAAGGGATATTTTCTGCACCTCCAAAGTTCAGTCTTAGAAGTTGGTTGCATTTTCTGTTTCTCACGATCCAAGTAATCCCATTTTTTCTATCTTTTAACAAGTGAACAAAACTTCAAATGCCTTTGACTTTGTTTTCCTTATGCAAGTTTATTATCTTATATCTAATCTCCTCAGAAATACATCCTGAAAAATGAATCATTTTTACTTGACTGCTGTTTTGATTGGAAATTAAATAAATGAAGGGTGGTCTCTGACTTTTGCACAGTACTGTATGTAGCACGCTTTTCTGTGCATTTTGTGGATATCATTAGTACTTAATTAAGTACATATTTCACTACAAGACAGCAAAAGTAGTGCAGGGCTGTATGAGAAATGCTGATTTTTTTAAAATGAGATTACTGCTGGACTGTGTTGGGTAAGTTATTAAAATCAGAAAAAAAAAAATCATGTATCATAAAAATGTTTTTCAGTGAAATCGTGTTATATTTGGCCACTTTAACCACCGATAGTATCATCTGAAAATTTTAAATCAGCATGTTTGAGCTATAAGCTATCAGTAACAAATACGTAAAATAAATGAGACTTCTAAGGATTAATGGTCACATCGACCAGTTTAATAACTGCAGTATTTAACATTGTACAATGTATGACATTGTAGATTTGCAAAAACTGCACCCTACTTCCGCATCCTGTTCTGATATGAGTGGACATGGAACTGACTCTTCTCCTTCATTTACTCTCGACATGTAACACTGTTCTACAAGCAGACTATGGTCAAAGGTGATGCAGGCGGTTCAATTGTGGCATGCTGTGGAGAATAATGTACGTGTTAGTGTGTCAGTGACCGCAGTGCGAGCAGAAGGGGGTTGCAGCAGTGTGCAACAGCAGCAGTGGTGTCTGCATTACCTGGGGTTTGAAAGTTCAGAGAAACCATCTGGCAGCCGGCGTTCCAGAAGATCTGAGGCATATAATTACTGGAGTCCACTCGGCCTCCTTTGGGGTAGATCCGACTCATCTGCCGCTTGTTGTAGCTGTGCATCTCATTTAGGGGAAAAAACATGGATGGTTTTTAAGATTTAAGAGGAAACAGTGGCTTATTTATAGATTAGAACACGAGATTCAGGTTTATTCTATGGGGCTGTTGTTTTTGCAGCCCACAAGCAAACTCAATTTAAAATTCATCTTTTGGGCCTAGAACAGACAGAAATTTCACGCTGTACTCTAGTGATGCTTCTCCAGCTGTTTTATTCTTCTTTCGTCTTTTACACGTTTTTCCTACATGTTCCTAGAAATGCCACAAATATTTCCAGTTCCACAAATATTCTCTCTTCCAAAGGCCAGATAAAAATCTATTTATTGCACTGGTCTTATTCGCTTCAAAAAGCCTTAAAAGCCTCAGCCAGAGAGGCAGCTCTTAAGCTTGGTATTGTTTCATCTATAGCAAGAGTGCACTTACTATTCACTGCGCACTCCTGCCCCTCGGCAGTATTATGATATATTGCAAGTCACACGCAACATTTGTAAACAGTTAGTCAGAAGCTTAGAGTCAAATTCAAGTACAAGTGTACAAGAGCCCAAAGGAAATGCAAATGAATATTTCCCAGTGTAGGCCAAACCCACCACTGACAGTCATATCCAGTTCCAGTTGTGATCAATATAAACAGATCACTCATTCTGAAGACAATTTGCAATTCATGTCACAATAACAGAACAGCTCACTTGAGGTAAGATACCCACTTTATTTCCTTATGGAACTCATTTCATACAAAAGTCAGCCATTCTCAATAAGTCACTCCGACACAGCAGTCCCTAGTTGTGAAGGTTCTGAATATGTCAACTAACTGTCAGTAAAGCAAGTCAAAAAACATTAGAACTGGGAATACATCATCTCAGATGACACTGAACCAGAACCTGCTGAACGTGCTGTGTGACAGAGATGGCACTGTAATATTCACAATGTAGAGCGTCACAAGCAGAGGTCTAAGCGCTACTACAGCTCAAAGGGGTTTCCATAAAAAATATCCATCAGAGTGCAGGCAGAATGGGCAATAACCTACAAAGGAGCAGCTAAGCCCTTGGAGCTGTATGTCAACCAAATAACTTCCACAGTCCAGAGCGAGAGGCACCGTTTCGACAAAGCGTGGCCTCAAGCCGGTCTGTTGAAACAAACGAACAGTTGCATGCAATGCCAGTCAGTCTTAGAGGCTCTGCTTGCTTGGGTGCGGTGACAGATTATTCTTCCTACAGGGTCCACTGTGCGTCAGCTCTGTGTCTCAACCTTGTCATGCCACCTGCTTGGCTGATAGAGGCTAGCAAAGTGCTGGCAGCATTAGCACGCAAGGCCCTCTGTAGCATAAAGTACAGTAGTCTTGTCCTGAATGGCTCACAAAACATTTGTTTTTCCAAATGTTCTTTATGTGTTCTGTTCAAATACGTGCCGGACACCACTTGTAGAACAGGTTTATAGAATATATGGAGAAACTGGAATTTTAACACTGAACCACCGCAAGTAGTGGCTAGCTAGTGAATTAAGCAGCTAATAGTATAAAAGCAGACATAATCTGTGGTTACATATGCTTGACAATGTAGCAACAGCTAGTCAGTCCAATAAAGGGTAAAAAAAAGGTAGTCAAGCGCTTCTTGCTCCCCACATATGGCACTGTAAGTAGCTTTAGAAGCATTTAGCATGAGTGAGTGTATGCTAGCAAGGCCTGTTAGCAGGGTTTAGCCAACTGTTATCACTAAGGCTGGCTTATGAGGCTGCCCACGGCAACAATGGTGGAACAGTACGTTTTCCTGCTTGAATGTGCTGATGGAGCTTTAAAAAAAAAAACACTATAATCTGCCTGTGTAGCCAGAACAACAGCGCAGTATGGCGAAGGAAAAGGACGCTAATGTCCTAGCTGACCCATTAGGACAGACAAAAGAAAAATATTTTACAAAAAGTGGGGAGAACAACTATTCTGGAGATTTCTCCATGAGTTGGAAAAGTTTAATGTCAGTGCGAGAGAGAGATTATCTAACCAATTGTAGGACAATTAGTCCAACTGCTTTTGCCTGAAGATGTAATTAAGTTTTTAATGATTCAGGTGAAACAGCGATTTCCCTTCTCTGTTACACGGATCCTTCTTTTTTTTTTTTTTACAGAGCTAGCTGTTTAATAAACCCTTACATTTCTTTTTTTCATGCACACTCCATTCACAGCAAAAGGATACTTGACAAATTCAATGGCATTGGTCCTTAAGTACCCCAGGCCTACAGACTCATTAAAGGAGGACATGTTGTAGTGAATGTTCTTCTCTGCCAAAAGAAGACAAAATGAGAAAATGCATATAGTAGGCATTCATAAGAAGAATATATAAATGGATTCAGTGTTGAAAAGAAACTCTGAAGGCTAAGTAATACAGGAAGACTTGCCTTCAGCCTCCTCAAAGCCTAGGAACTTCACAGCCTGGGCATAGTTGATTATACTGGACAGGTAAGGATGAATATTAGTGGTGGCTGCAACGTATGTGTATGACTGAATCAAAGCTTGCTCATCAGCCACACTTGGCTCACCAGCCTGTACAGGGGAACAGAGTTCAGACATTCATGTTAAGAAGTAAATGGCATAAATACAGTTGCAGTAAGTACACTGAACTTGAGGAGCCAGGATCCTCAAATGCAAAAGAAACAAACAATTAGAAAAGGAAACCAAAATGCACCTTCTTTCCATTTTCTTGACATGAGGCTTCGAGGGGTGTTTGTGCTAATGCGTCTAATACTGCAACATCCTCGTTGTTCCCCTTCAGAATATAAAATAGTGATACATTATATGGACAAAAGTATTGAGACACACCTCTTAATAATTGAATTCAGGTGTTACATTCAGTCTCATTGCCACAGGTGTATAAAATCAAGCACCTAGCCATGCAGTCTGCCTACAAACATTTGTGAAAGAATGGTTCATTCTAAAGAGCTCACTGAATTTGAGCATGGTACTGTAATAGGATGCCACCATTGCAGGTTTCTATTCTCCTAGATATTCCATGATCAACTGTGAGTGGTATTATTTAAAAGTGAAAGTGTTTAGAAACCACAGCAACTCAGCCACGAAGTGTCAAACCACGTAAGGTTACAGAGCAGACTGCTGAGTGCTGAGAAGCACAGTGCACAAAAGTCACCGATGTTCTGCTGAGTGAATTACTGTAGAGTTCCAAACGTCCGCTGGCATTAACATCAGCACAAAAACTGTGCGCCAGGAGCTTCATGGCATGGGTGGCTGAGCAGCTGCACGCAAGTTTCACATCACCAAGCACGATGCCAAGCGTCAAATGTGGTGTAAAGCACACCGCCACTGGACTCTGAGCGTATTCTGTGGAGTGATGAATCACACTTCTCTATCTGGCAGTCTGATGGACGAGTCTGGGTTTGGTTTGGCGAACGCCAGGAGAACGTTACCTGCCTGACTGCATTGTGCCAACTGTAAAGTTCGATGGAGGAGGGATAATGCTATGGGGTTGTTTTTTAGTGGTTGGCCAAGGCCCCTTAGTTCAGTGAAGGGAAATCTTAATGCTTTAGTATACCAAGACATTTTGGACAACTGTTTGCTTCCAACTTTGTGGGAACAGTTTGGGGAAAGCCCTTTTCTGTTCCAGCATGACTGAGCCCCAGTGCACAAAGCAAGCTCCATAAAGACATGGCTGGGTGAGTTTGGAAAGGAAGAACTTGACTGGCCCACACAGAGCCCTGACCTCAACCCCATCTAACACCTCTGGGATGAACTAGAACTAGGCCCTCGCCGTCCAACATCAGTCCTTGCCCTCACAAATGCTCTTCTGCAAGAATAGACACTCTCCAAAATCTTGTAGAAAGCTTCCCAGAAGAGTGAAAGCTGTCATAGCTGCAAAGGGGGCACCAAATCCATATTAATGCCTATAGATTTAGAATGGGTTGTCATAAAAGCTTCTGTAGAGGTAATGTGCAGGTGTCCCAATACTTTTGTCCATATAGTGTAGCTGCCATTAATACAAAATAGATATATGTAATTACTACAGTACTATTTCCTTGATCTGAAAGAGAAAGACTGTCTTATCTGACATTTTAAAGTCAGTATGACAGACCATGATCATGGGTTCAAGAACTGACAGTTTCAAATAAAAGAAATAAAAAATTTCATCATAATTACAAATCCTTTTCTCAAATCATTACGGTTACAGGGCACAACAGTAGCAAATCCTGACAGGCACATCCATTTATATGTATTTTCAGCCAAATAGTGTTTTATACAGTACTGGGAAAAAAGTAAAAGACCACCTTTTTGCTTATTTAATTTCCATTAAAACAGCTATTAAATACAATTCATTTTTCAGGGTCAGTACAAACATTTAACAGAAAATGACACAAAAGGCTCCAACACTATGTACAGCATTAATTCTATCAGTATTTGATTTTTTTCACTCTTTACTTTTGTGCACTCTACTGCACTTTAACTCTTCCACCCTTCCAGCCATAACAGCAAATAGTTACAGCTGTGTGCACCCAACAAAAACTGCTCCCAAACACTGACATTATGTTCCCTTTCAAAGAGACTCTAACATTCACACAAGCAACTACCCAAACACACCTTAACTGCCTTTAAATTTCTTTCTCATGTGCACTGAAAATGGCTAAAGGAGATGCTTCTGAGGCGATTAGACGTAACCCAGTTTACATGCATTAATTGGCACAAAGTCAATGAAAAAACAGGTAAAAAAAAAAACCAAAAAAACAAAAAACAGGAGATTCGAAAACTGGAGCTCTAAAAATGATTAGAAGACACAGATAAAAAGGCCTGCAAGACCTGGTATACCACCAAAACTGCCACAATCAGATAAACAGCACTAAAGCTTCGAGAGAGAATAGAAAAATCAAGCTCCACTCTTGCTTCAGATCTGAAAAATCCACAGGTGTTTCTGTCCATCCTTCCACTGTGAGAAGACAACTCAACACTATGAGTATGAAAGAATGTGTAGCTGTCAAGAAGCTCTTACTGAGAAAATTCAATAGACAAAACAGAAGATTTGCACAACACCAAAACTGGACACTTGAGATGTGGTGGAAGGCTTTACTGATTCTAAATTTGTAACTGAGAATACTTGAATCCTGAGAAGCGAATTCTTGAAATTTGGAGGTGCAGAAAAAACAACCTTGCTGATGTCTTCAACTGAAAGCAAGTCTCTTAAAATTGTCGGTTGAATATATATGTGTTCTTGTTTATTTTCCTCTCAACGTTGAAAAATGAATAAAAAATGAATTGTCGTTTTGACTGGAAATCAAACAAATGAGGGGTGGTCTCTGACTTTTGCACAGCACTTTACATATTTTAATCTGTCATGTCATTTTAAAACTTATCTTTTATCCTTTTCCAATTTTTTTCCAAAGTATTTTGGAATCTTTGAAAGGCTTTACATGGTATGCCACTGTGCAGTTAAGTGCATTTTATTGATTGGCCTTGGTAGCAGTGGTAGCTCATCATAAAGCAGGTAAAATGGATATAAAAAGAAAGAAAATGCAAATGAGGAAATAAACGTATAGGACAACCTTTCTGGCCCCGAGCACATTTCCCTCACTATTATTCGTCTGCCCAATGACAAGGCTGCCACATATCCGCTCTGGGTGAGCCTCATCCACAAGCTCTGCTACACACAGACACACAGACACACACACACACACGGACACAAATGGAAATATTTCCTCCATAAAATAAAGACATAAATCCACCAAGCACTCATTATTCATCTTCACTTCGCAGTATAATCGTCTGATCTCAAAATTTCAGCATGATTCAATGTGACTCAGCATGCAGCAGGAATACCATTAGATTTGACTGCATTTAGCTAATGGTCTTACAGCATCTAGGGACAACCAAGTGTGCTTTATAATGAGAGAGTGTGCTGTGCATTTTAACAGCTAGAGGACCACCACTGTCCTACCAGAGCCAGTATCCTCCTCGTTCTCATCTTCAGACATGTTGGTGGACATGTTGGCTTCTCCAGCTTCCATATGCTTCCTGAAGTGCTCCAGTTGCTCTGCCAAAAAAACACCCCAAAGTTTAGCGTGCACTAACGAGTTTCTCCACTTCTGTTTTTATTATTCATCTCAGAAAAGAAAAATAAAGCACACTTTTTTCAACTTCAGGTTTTAATCTTCTGTTCTTAATGAGAATTTTTCCTTTAAGGTCATTTGGTGAAGGCAGAGGTTGTCCGGGCTCCATCTAAGATGCAAAAAAAAAAGAAGAATCTGTCTTCTGCAAGAATGCCATTAAACTTAATGAAGGACATTATCCATTCAAATCAAATGTAAAACTCGTACTGGGAAATCATCTAAAGGCTGCCTGAGAAGCACATCTCCAAAAATGTCTTCACAGTATCTGGCAAGCTTGTACTGTTGATGCCTCCTAAAAAACATAAAAGAAAAATGTGGACGATGTAGGACGGCATGCTTCTCTTAACATTTGTAAGGAAAAAAAAAACCAAACAAACAGTGGCTAGAATATAAAGTAACAGCTTAGATTAAGTGAATATTTTGCTCCGGAACAGTGTACTGAAACATGTGCCCTTACTATTTGATTTGAAGTTTGAGCTGTAAAGGAGGTGAATTTATTATTATTAAATCAGCGTATAAATAAAAGAAGTAGGCAGTAAGCATACGTACGAGCAGTGGTTCTCAAATGAAAGAATTATAGGGTACTCAGATGACACAAATGCAGTTTCTTTAATGGCCTGAATGACATCCTGGAAAAGTAATAGATCACACCATTACAAATAAGTTCCCATTTGCATGTATTTTTAGGCTTTAAAAGGCAGAACATTGATCAACTTCTTTGCTGATGAGCCTTGAATGATGAAAAAAAGTGATGCTGCTAGATTTAAACGAACACTTCAACATCACAAATGTCTCTCAGGATGCGTGTGATGCATTTGGAGGGGCTATTCACCTTGAAAAGCACATCTGTGCACATGGCTTTGCCATGAGTGATAATAGGCTCTTGATCTTCTCCCTTTCCATCCCAGCAGTCTAGCTCCACACACCTACAGCCAATATAATCACATCCCGGTTCAGTGTACGCATTTGGACACAGGGAAGTGCAGTCAAGCCCAAATACTGACCAACTGCATTTGTTTAGCAAACATAACTGATGTAATAAATATCAAAATAGCTAAATGCTGTGTAATAAGGATGCGCACATGCAAACATGTTCATGGTTAATGAATCATTTCTTAAATAATCTATATCCATGTGTGTCATCATAGATAATAGCAAATATTTCCTTTCCAGTTTCCAAAATGTTCTTTAGTTTCGCCAAATCTGTAAATCTGGCTCATTTTATGACTGGCATAGAGATGGAAATATGTAAACCCAGAATGATTGCAACATAAAGATAGACTGGTGGAGTTGACAGATGACACCACATCATCTCCTCACTCAGATCATCCTATTTTACAGGAATCTATTAAATTTATGTCAGTTAAAATGAAAGTCTGAACCTCTATTTAAAAAAAAAAATGTTCTCCAAATGACATACAGACAACTCAGTACCCAGGTATTTTAATTTTAGTATTAAAACAGTAAAAATGTAATGAAAAAATATTTACAACTAATTTATTACTATTTTACCATTAATAAACTACATACTTGCTATTTTATTTAGAAAAATAAATCAGAAAAAATGTTTTGGATACAAACATTTCCAGACACCGGCTCATCTAACATTGATTTCAGAATCAAGGGTATTAATAGGGAGTTTGCTGCAGTAACAGCTTCTACTATTCTGGGAAGCCTCTATAGCTGAAACACTGCTATGAGGATTTGATTGCGTTCAGCCACAACAGCATTAGTCAGATGAAGTACTCATGTTGGATGACAAGTATGTGGACACCTCACTATCACACCTACATGAGCTTATGTAACAGCCTCCACTCTTCTAAGAGTGTGTCTGGGGGAATCTGTGCCCTTTCGCTCAAAAGAGCATTTCTGAGGTCAGGTACTGAGAAGGCCTGGCTCACAATCAATGTTCAAAATTCATCCCACAGGTGTTCAGCAGGGTTGAGGTCAGGGCTCTGTGCAGGCCACTGGAGTTCCTCTACACCAAACTTGCTTTGTGCGCAGTCATGCTGGAATAGCACAGAGTCTTACCCAAACTGCTGTCACACAACTGGAAGAATATACTTCTCTAAAATGTGTTTGCATTACTACCCTTCACTGGAACTAATGTGTCTAACTAAAACCCTAAAAAACAGCCCCAGACCTATGCATTGTGGTAGGTAGCGTTCCCCTGCATCCGCCAAACCCGGATTCATCCATCAGACTGCCAGATAGTGAAGCACGATTCATCACTCCAGAGAACATTTAAAGTTTAAACATGTTTAAAGTCACTGAGCTCTTCAGTACGACCCATTCTACTGCCACTGTTTGTCTGTGGAGATTACATGGAAATGTACTTGATATTATACACCTGATAGCAATGGGTGAGGCTGAAACATTGTAAATAAATAATTAGGAGGGGTGTGTGCATATCTTTGGCGATATGGTGTACAAGCTGCAACTGAACATCTGTGTCAGCAATAGGTGAACCTTAAAGTAGCTAAATTAACTAATTAGAATGGGGGGGGTCTAGATATTTCTGATAGTGTATGTTATTAAGTAAGTGGGTTCTTTTATGGATTTTAAACAAAGCTTTAGCTTCTGCTGAGAAAAACAAGCCTTTTTTCAGATGTAGCTCAGATGTACTTTATGCAGAAGGATCCTTAAAGCATTTTGTCATACGCCAAAGTTTGGTCACTCCAGTCAAAGCACATTTTGTTAATTTAAGTTAAAATAATTTAACACATCCTCTACAGAGGACACATTTTTATCCACAATTACTGTTCTTTTACTATAACATTTAACATATCGTGAAAAAGTAAAGCATAAGATGTGGCCTGGACAAAAGTTATGAAATATTTTGTATTTTGTGCTTCAGTTTTTTCAAACAGATCGAAATTGTGCACTAAAATGTTTTGAGAAACAATGTCATTAACTTTTAGACTTTCTAACCATTCAAACCTTTGCACTCAGCTGTAAATCAGAATTTGAATGAATGCAATAAGCTCTTCTATGTGACTACTTCAGCTGACAGCACCTGCAGCCGGACAGCAGAACCTGCCGGTACATCTCCACTAAAGACTTCCCTCCAAATTGCCTGCCCGTCAGGTAAGTGTTATGGGAGGAGCTGATGAAGTAGTGGGCAAGAGGTTGGTCCATGTCCTGATAGAGCTCCAGACGGTCTAAAAATACTGGAGCGTTCTCATCAGACATGAGGTATCGGCAAAATCCATCACACGACATCAGCCCTGAAAACCAGACAGTTATTTATGTGTCCTGCAAACAACTGTAATGAGATCCATTCATGCTGTGGATGAACTAAAGAAAGGTCAAGAGTGCTCTACAATTTATCAAGTGCTGACATGCATTAACCACTACAAGGCAACTGCAAAAATGTTTACTTTCCACCACTAGATGGAACTCAGTGATCAAGATATGGTCAGTTTTACAGCAAGAAATGATCCTGAGGCTGGAAATTAATGAGATTCATGTGAATAGTTATAGTTCATACTTATACAGACAACAGTTTACAATGCCCTTTACCTTTCCTTTTCAGCTTCTCATCAGTCTCATAGGTTTCTATGATTTGTCTCGCACGCTTGGAGTCATAAAATGGGAAAAGAATCTCATTAAGGCGAGGGTCCCGCTGGTTCTGTGTGGAAACATTTTAACATCAACAAAACAAGATTTTCTATGGGAGCAGCTACAGTGCTTCTGGTTGTAAATTTATAGTGATGCCACTTTAAAGTGAAACCACATCAAACACACAAGAAAGCCACACTTACAGAGCATGACCACAGAGCACATAAACATGAAACGCTCTTATTATGAGCTCTGAATTTAAACGAGTGTCCTACTGCAAAAATTAGTGATACTGCATTGACACAGATAATACAAAACTGTATGTGTTGTAATGATCTCAATAAGTACGCAAAGTTATGGAGATAACTGTTGAGATAAATGTTATGCTCTGCATGTAAGTGCTTTAAGAATACTTAATGAAGCTAGATTTAGGAGAGAGTCAGAGAAAATGTGCTTAAATCAGCAGAAGGGTAAGCTCGTGGCAGGAGAGAAAGGACAAAGTTGCATTTTGCTACAAGTTCAGAGTGGCTCTCAAAGGGAGGGAAGCAAGCTGGGTGAGGTACGACTTATGCAACTTGAAAAAACAGGAAGTTCAGTTTGGAACAGGAGCAAGTTAATGAGTGAAAAACTCTTACTTCATTCAGAAAGCTGACTAATTGGTCTATGTTTAAGTAATCACTTTTTTCTCCACAGCTGAAACAATATCAGACAAAAACAATCAATTACACAGTGAAACATAACCATGACCCCTGTCTATGAATTTAAAGTCGCCTTGAAGATAAAGTTGCCTTTCTGTAAATTAGGCTTAAATAATTTCAGCAGTTTAGTTTGGGGAAGAGGTTAATATTTAAACTGCTACAGCCAGGCACATTTCAGACAAGTTAGTAAAAATGAATGGCATTCAATTATCTATACAGCCTTTTTGGTTATAAAAGAGATATAAATTCAAATTAAAGTGGCCAAATATGTGGTCCTATAGTTTTGATCAAGCTGGAAACATTCATTGAGGACTTCATATGTAGGTCTACTCACAGTTTCTTGAATAGGACCTCAATATCAGTTCGGGGGCAAATCTTCTGAGTAAGAGAGTAAAACTTCTCAAAGGTGAAAGCTTCAGCCTCAATCTCATCATTCTGCAAGCAGCAAGAAAATAGGTCAAAATTAATTAAATCTGAAGCTCTCTATTTAAAGGCGAATTTCAAAATTTCTGCATAATTAAATTGTGAAGATATAAACGAAGTCACTTAGAGTGGTTGGATATGAAATGTGACATTCTAGACAAACTTACTATGACAGAATTGCTCACAGTGGTGGTGATAGGAACCAGATGTCTGAAGCATTTAATGCCTCTGAAAGCTCCCTCAGAGAAAGTTATTAAACAAAACAATTATAAATACAAATAGTTTTATAATGTATCATTTTTGAGAAGGTTTTGCCCTCAAACATAGTTTCTAAAATAGAATCATTACACAGTGTACATGCATGGCTTTGTAAGGCAAAAACTGATTTTTCAAAAAAACTCAGAAACTCTGGTCACTTTGGATAAGAAGGAAAAAGGCTACATTTGCATAATAGACATCACAAACCTGGTTCCTATCACCACCACTGTAACGAAAGCCAAATAGGTAACTTTGTCTACAATTAACGATTTCGCATCAAACCACTCTGACTGACCTTTGAGATGTTTGAAATTTTGAAAAATCGGTATAATTTCCATTTTAATGCATTTTAGTTAGAGGTAGAATGGATTAAATAAGATCTACTGACAATATAATTCACTATACTTAATGGAGTCTAAAACAGATGAGGTCAGTGTACCAAATAAGTCATGATTTAAAGCCCAGCACTGTAGCTTCTCTAAAATCAGCAGCATTTCAAAGTTAATCAGAACGATTTCCATTTTACCTTTCCACTGGGTAGGCCAAGATCTTTCAGCGCTTGGAATATAACCTTCTCTGTTTTTCCTGAAGCGAATGTTCTTGTAATGCTACAGAAGAAGAAACAAATACCAGCAGGCATTAAAAATGGCTCTTTCAAACACCAAACTGCAGTAATTACATTGAGGTACAAAAGCTACCATTCTTCCAGTGACAGGACACTAGGAAGCATGTACAAAGAACTTCACTAATTATGGCTCATTCTTTAATTTTGAAAAAAGTTTTTCCCCCTGATCAAACAGCTGAGCGTACCTTCTCACTGGGATTTTTCCATTCACGTTGGTCAAAAAGGACAGCCGCATCCAACTATAGTGGAAAAAGCTCATTATCTATCAAGACACTTGTGTGATCTGCATTAACAAACATGCTTTCAGCATAATTAGTCATAGCCATAATCAGATGTAGAAACAATGTTTGATCCACTGCTGAGGGTAGAATTATGACCTTGAATGCTTTAAAAGACTCACAAATTAGTCTGCATACAATACATTTCTCGCCTAAAATGACTCGGGTGACTTATTGCTTGGTTATGTTTGCTAATGGCGGTCTGGCACTCACTGCTTCCTTAGACAGGTCATTGGGCACACATTGTTTGCCCGGCTGTTGTGAATCAATGACCGCAAGCTGTCAGTCCATTGCTGCAAACAGAGGCAGAGTGGAAAATGTATGGGTGAAATTAAAGTGCTAGGAGAATGCTTCTGCAGCAGGCACAATGCTCTTATGGCAGTGAGAATGAGGTCATATATACAGTAATAATACATATAAAAATACACAAAGGAAATATACATATTTTATTTTAAATATCCAGATATGTTTTTTATTTAAAGCGAAAATAGGACATTTTCCAGACAGGGAAACTGTTCTCATTGAGGATTCATTTCAGGCCTTCTTTTCAACTTTTATGAGAAATTATGGCAGTAAAAACATGAAAATTGTATTTAGATTTAAAGCCCTGAATGATTGATGGACTGTTTTTGATATGTAAGAAATGATGCCATAAACATCTAGGCACAGCCCTTTTTTTCCATTTTCCATCTTATCACTCTGCATAAAAGTTTTATGAGGGAGCTATTTTTACAGAAAATTCCAGGAGACAGATGATGCCTCTTCTAGGGCTTAAGTGTGAGGTCTTCAAATGTACTTGAGACAAGCATTCTCCCCTCCTTGGAAACATAATGATGAATTGAGCATGTGTTCCAGACAAAACAATGCAGGGAGACAAGCCGAGTCAAGGCTCAGCGTTGCAGCTACTTGCTGGATCAACATAAGTGCATACAGCCTTGGGGCAATTATAGCCCTTGGGAGGAAAAGCTTAAATCAGTGTCTTTTTAGGAGATGGCTGTGGATTACCTATCAAGATGACAGCATAAGAATACTTTGATCTTGATCTCAAAAGCTGAAACTGAAAGTTTAGTGATGGTTCTGGTTTTCTGTAAAGCATATTCTCGAGAATAACGAAGGGAACAGATTACCTCAGTTTTCCTACTTCTCTGGCAGTGGTGAAGTTACCTTTGCAATGCTAATGTTTTGGGCCACTATGTACATGAAGCTGAGGTTGACCAGGTCAGTGCCGCTGCATACGCAGATGATCCTGCCCTCCAAGTCACTCTCACTCTTCCCTGTGGCCTCCAGTGCTGAAAGGATCTTCGGATCCTGCAGGGGCACGAAGCAGAAAGCTGAATACATTACCGTACGCACTACTCTAGAGCACGTACTGCAGTGAATGCTGCAGGCTAGGTCATGGATGCAATAAAAGGACAATGATGTCCACACTCTGGGCCATAACATAACACGAACCAAACAAAATACATCAAGAATCCTCTCTCTTATCACAAGCCAGAGAATGTCTGAACTCTTATAGTTCATCTTTATGTATGAGATCCAAGTCACATTTAAAAATGCAATAGTCTCTGCACGTTAGCGACCTTACCTTAGGCACATTTGTGTTCCGTATACTGTTGATCAAAGAACACTCCAGAACCTGACCTTCCTATAGATGAAGGATTAGAACACGGACACGGCATCTGTGACAAATCCCTCGTGCACAAAAGCTGAGTCATCAGCATCACAGTGCAAACACGGACACGGAGTTAACACAAATTGGCTCTGTAATCCATTAAAATTACTATGAAGTTGATAGCTTTACTGAATTAGTCTCACAGGAATAATCATACCTTTCCTTCGCTCTTCCACGTGACGAAGAAGCCAAAGGCATCCACTCTGAAAAAGCAGTTAGGTTCAAAGACAAATGGGTCCTAGAGGAGAGAAGACGCTTAATGAATTTAAATGTAAAGGGGAATTCCACCGTTTCTTAATTTTCACATAATTAAATCATAGATGTACATAGAGCCATCTGAAGTGTTTTGATGTGAAACACTCCACACTACAGAAACCTACCCAGTCAGAATTGTTCACAGTGGTGATAGGAACCAGACATCTGAAGAGTTTAATGTCTCTAAAAGCTCCCTCGCAGAAAGTCCTTACAGACATAATGGTTACATGTACACTGCATAAGGCCTAAGGCATTGTTTTTTTATGGTTTTGGGAAGGTTTTAACCTAAAATCAAAAAGGGATCTAAAAAATTTCTTTTTAGATTCATTCCGGGTGAAGAAATACATGTAGGGAGCTTCAAGGCAAAATAGTCCCTGAAGGAAACACATTTTTTAGATTAACCACTATTTTACCATCAACAACATTACATATCAAACTCAGAAGACATGAAGGTTCATCGGTAATTTTGGATAGTAAACAGAATGGCTATATACACCGATCAGGCATAACATTATGACCACCTCCTTGTTTCTAAGCTCATTGTCCATTTTATCAGCTCCACTTACTATATAGGTGCACTTTGTAGTTCTACAATTACAGACTGTAGTCCATCTGTTTCTCTGCATACTTTGTTAGCCCCCTTTTACCCTGTTCTTCAGTGGTCAGGACCCCCATGGACCCTCACAGACCAGGTACTATTTGGGTGGTGGATCATTCTCAGCACTACAGTAACACTGACATGGTGGTGGTGTGTTAGTGTGTGTTATGCTGGTACGAGTGGATCAGACAGCAGTGCTGCTGGAGTTTTTAAACACCTCAGTGTCACTGCTGGACTGAGAATAGTCCACCAACCAAAAATATCCAGCCAACAGCGTCCTGTGGGCAGCGTCTTGTGACCACTGATGAAGGACTAGAGGATGACCAACACAAACTGTGCAGCAGCAGATGAGCTATCATCTTTGACTTAACATCTACAAGGTGGACTGACAAGGTAGGAATGTCTAATAGAGTGCTCAGTGAGTGGACACAGTGTTTAATAACTCCAGCAGCACTGCTATATCTGATCCACTTAGACCAGCGCAACACACACTAACACACCACCACCACGTCAGTGTTACTACAGTGCTGAGATTATCCACCACCCAAATAGTACCTGCTCTGTGAGAGTCCATGGGGGTCCTGACCACTGAAGAACAGGGTAAAAGGGGGCTAACAAAGTATGCAGAGAAACAGATGGACTACAGTCTGTAACTGTAGAACTACAAAGTGCACCTATATAGTAAGTGGAGCTGATAAAATGGACAATGAGCGTAGAAACAAGGAGGTGGTCATAATGTCATGCCTAATTGGTGTATGTGTTGTAGTCATTGTGACCCCTGGTTGCTGTCACCACCACTATAAAGAAAATCAGAGTCTACAATCAACCATTTCACATCAACCACTCTGAATGACATTGTTGCAACTTTATTTCAATTATCCACCTGGTGCAATTACTCTTCAACACAGCCAAAATGTAATTTCACTTCAGAAAAAGTTTTTGTGTGTTATAATTTATCCTCATGGATACATTTTTTGGTTCTTATTTTTGCCATGATGGTGTTCAAAGTTACCACTTCAGCCTGTCTGGTTGTAACAGGAGGGAGCAGGCGGTGACTGTTTTCATTCAGCATTCTCTGTAAGCTTTTCCTCACATCAGTAATGTCTTATTTATTATAATATAAAACAAGCCATTGATAAGCCTCTCTGTGCTTTATTAATAAGATTTTGTCTGTACTGATAAACACACAGGACCTCAATGTAGGTTTACTTATGTGCTGATCAGACCCTAATAAACACTGTACAAATGAACACACTCAGTGCTGACTTCCATCTGATTACAGCAAGAGGAAGCAAGTATTCAGACACTTGTTTGTTATTTAATATATTTCCAGTACATATATATTCTTTTAAAAGTTACACACATAATGTATTTTAACTTTGCTCTTATAAATATTAACAAAACATTTATAAGAAAAACAGTATTTAGACGCCACAAACAATAATAATAATAATAATAATAATAATACTACTACTTTGTTACAAAGCCATTATTGGCAGTTACAGCTTCAAGACATCTATGTTAAGAAGTAATTAGCTTTTTCTTGCATTGTAGCAATTTTGGCCCATTTCTCTCAGCAAACTGCCTCAAACCCTTGTTGAAACATCCACTTTCTCTATACATGCAGTCTCTCTGTCGATGAGACTAAATTCGCCTCTAATATGTTACAGTTCATCATTCCACTCCTGTTTCCTTCAATAACATGTGATGCCCCAGTGCTGTTTGTAGAGAAGCAGCCCCACATCATGATGCTTCCACCTCCGTACTTCACTGTAGGTGTTCTTGGGATCATATGCGCAACACTTCTTTCTCCAAAGATGACTAGAGTACATTGTTCCAAACAATTTCTGATTTGTCTAAATGTTTGTGTGCAAAATTTAGATGTGTATATCAAAGTTCTGCATAGGCTGTTGGCACAGAGGTGACTGCAGTGCAGTTTATTGCTTATTGCTTTCTGTATAATTGTTGTTCTGCTGCTTTCAGGTCATCCTGCAACTCTTTTCAAATAGCTGGTGATTTCTCTCGTGCCTTCCTTATCATGAGAAATCTTGCATGCGGTTCTTGTCCAGCGGTGATTAGTTGTGGTTCCCTGAACTTTCTAAATTGCATACTATTAAATCAACTGCACTGACAGGGACGTTTAAGGTCTTTGTTAGGGCTCTGTAGCTTTTTCCATTTAAAAGGTCCATTTAAGAGGCTCCTTCACCTTTACCACTGGAAGTATATTAAATCTCGATAACAAAAGCGTCTTAATGTTTGTTTCTCCTCATTTTATATGTAATCAATTGATTTGTATGCCGTATGCCACAATTGCATAAGCAGCTCATTTAAGCCAGCAAGGCCTTTAAATCCAGTGTCACTTCATTGGCTATTTTTCAGTTGGAGCACTTTGTGAAACTCAGAGAGGTACTGTGGGAAATTCTCTCTTTACATTTGTGTCTGAAACAAACTTGAATGGGCTTTTTATTTATGTCCTACCGAACTTCATAGATAAGGCAGTCGTGTTTTGGGAAAAAATAAACAAAGCAAATACGCCACATGATAAACATCAACATATTAAGATCTATCCTTGCTAATGCCTGTTTTAGCATTCCTTGTAATTCACAAAAGAAACACAATGGATTTTCAGAGGAGATTCACTAACCAAACAAACATGGCTAAACTTCCTTTTTAATATGAACGCAGAGAGAGAACTCCCAGAGCGCTCTGTGAAGCCCTTGGGAGATTCATACTTTGACAGCTTGAGCCCGGTCACTCACACATCCTACGTGAGAATACAGCCTTCCAAAAATGTCCAGTCCAAGATAAACTTCCATGGCCTGACCAGGAATTCTCGAGGGGCTTTTGAGAACACAGATGTCCCCAGCAACTGACGACTTTCAAAGATACAGAATCCTTGGAATGATTGCTTTTGACCAAAGGCAACATGAGCCAAAGCACATGCATAGAATCTCTGAGGGAGCGTGCAAATATCCGAAACAAACACCGCTAACTCAAAGCTGCTGTTCTATAAATTTCTGCGGCTGAACAACACTAGACTAAAGATATCTCCACAGAATTAACATTTGTTTTATGAAACGGATAGTTCCGGTCCTAAAAACTGACTGTCCGAGCCGCGCTTGAAGGTGCGGTGAGATGTTCCATACGTTACGCCAACGGCCACCTGAGCCAATATTTTAATTCCGACATAATGCACTGGGAGAAGGGAGCAGTTTAAGATTCAGTGTGGGGGAAAAAGGACGCACAACACCATTAGCCTTGTGCTAATAAGACGGTCAATTGCATAGATGCGCTAATGGAATTTAACATTGTCTTCACAGTGGTAACTTGCTGAGCAAAAACTACTTATAAAATAATCGATTTTGCATTAAACAGTGCAGTATAATGATATGTATATATACACAAAACAGCCACTTCATTAAGTACATCACCTTGTATCTACACTCTCTTCATTATATCATATAGGAGCACTTTGTAGTTATACTGGTATGAGTTGATCAGACACAGCAGAGCTGCTGGAGTTAAAAACAAGTTTACTCTAAATAAACTACATTGTATTTGGCAGAATGGTTGTTTATCTTGATCATTACTCATAATAATTTTCCTGAAAAATTGTATATTTTGTAATGTTTTATGTTGTGGGCTGTTTTATAAGAGCAATAAGCTACACGAAGCAGTGCATAACAGTGATTTTACTCCATGTCATGCCCAATAACACCTTTACCCACAATAAAATCACTTAACACAGACTAGTAAAATAAAAGAAATCTGTTTCAGAGTTTCCATTTGAGCCAGTAAGACATCAGTGTAGTACTTTGTAAGAGTAAGTGTAAGTGTAAGAGGACACAGTGTATTCTCTTTTTTTCAGGAATGAATTCAAAGGCGCTACAATGATACACTCAGAAAAAGTTTCTGGAGTGATGCCACAGAAGAATTACTTTTCGTTCTTAAAAGCACCTTTCCGTGGACAAGACGTGTGTGTGAGTGTGAATAACAGTTTTAAAGTTTAATGCAAGTTTAAAAGTTTTCCAAAGGCCATTTAGGAACCCTTATTTTCAAGAACGTGGAGTACATAAAGTATTTAAAAACAAATAATATGTACCAAGAAACAAATGAACAAAATCAACATGTCAACCATGTTGAAAGTAAACGATTTCCTTACCTCATCAAATCTATCAAAATACGCTCCTTCTTGCATACAGCAAGGCACTGGCCGCTGCCAGTTAAACTCATACGCTTTTGCCATTTGACCTACAAGAAAGAGGCAGCAATGTTGGTAGATGGTAACAGAAAACAAAAGAATAACATCACACTGGACACATCAAGAGAAGATACAAACAAAGGCAAGCATCCATAAATGCAAGCAATGGAAGGTGCCACAGTGCTCAGTTGGTTTGACTGGTTCTAGATGTGACCAGAAACTTTAAGCTTCTTTTCTATCGAAGCTTTTTGACTCTTTCACAACAAACAGAGATTTATCTATCATTTATTTACTATCTGTTTACCATCTCAAACTTCTATCCCTTTAGATGTGCACTGATATCAATCAGTACTGGGCCAATACAGTCAGAGTGTGACTTCTGGGCCTAAGAGTGATTCAGTTCTGGAACAATTCAACTGAATAAACCCATAATATGAAAATTTCATTAGACCTCTCTATGAATATTAATTGAACTAATGATGTAAAAAGCAGATTAGGTTTAAAGTGTGCTGTTGTTTGAGTTGAGTGTAGTTGTGCGTGTGTGTGCAGATGTATGGGTGCGAGTCAGTGTGTATGTGTGAGTGATGCTATCGCTCATGTTGTGTTAAAACTCTCAGAGAGCAGGCATGAGCCCTGAATACAGAGTTATTCTGTTGTAAATTTAGTCAGTAACTCCCCCTTGTGAGATTGTATGTGAAGGCCTATATCGTAGATGTCACATGAAGTTATGTGCTGGACAGATGATGATGGATTGTTTTCTAGCAAACTCGCATAGTGAAAATATTTTTTCCATTGTGGTTCTATTATAAGAAATGCTTTTTTTCCCCCTTTGGATTCAGAAGATTCAGGTCAAAACAATTGAGAGAAAATGCTTAATCAATCCAATTACCCTCTACTACTGCCAGAGGATGGATGCAGTGGAAAGTAGAGGTGGGCAATATGACGATATGTTATCGTAATAATTGTTGTCTATCATGGTAAACAATATGATTTCTGACCACATATAGAAGAGTACTATCTGTACTTAAAGGACACTGACTAACTGCATGTTTCATTACAAAAAAAAAATAATTAGCTCTGTTTAATTAGATTTATGTATGTGAAATGCTGAATAAAAATCAATGTGCCCAGAGCTTTTGACGGCTATTTTTAAATACGGCACTATTATTGCTTTGTGTCTGGTGTAAAATGTTGTGATATGTATCGTGAAAATGCCTTTAAGAATCATACTATGAGATTTTTCACATATCTCCCACAAGTAGTGGAAAGCATTACAACTGGTCACCTAATAAAAAAAACTGATTAACTTAAAACGTAATTTTTTTTTACTAATCATATTCATATTTCAGTGGTCCTATTGGCCTAACAGTACAGTAAATGGTAACGGCTCTAGAATTTGGTAGGACACATAAGCCCAAAAAGATAACTCATAACTTGCTAATGCTAATTTTACATTTGAATTCGAAATAGAAGGAGGAAAGGAAAAAATATTCAGAAAACTTTAGAGAGACTAGATCTTACAATTTTCTGGTGTTTCATGCCCACTAAGGACATCTGTGTACAAATAACAGTCAATGTTTACCTTTTTTTGTTACTTTGCATTTAAGTCTAATATATGTAAATGAATTCTGTTCTGATTGGCTGATTTGTATTGTGCCTCATTCAAAGCGCAGCCCTGGTTGACACTCCTTATAACTTCAACGTGAACAGGCAGGGCTAAACTGCTGGAGACTAAATGGGTGTATATATGTAACATATGTATATACTGTTTTTTGTGACATCACAAAAACGTTAAATCAAAAGGGCTAGTTTGCAGTTTAGTTTCCATATATGGACTGTATTTAAGTGAATGGCACGTTTACATGTACCTGGAAAAAAGGGGTGAAAATCTCCACGCCAGTGAAGTCTTTTATGCTTTATATCAACATGAGTCCAACAATAAAAGCTTTCCAGACACATTAAACTGAAGTAATCAAGAGGACCTGAACTGATAAAGCTTGAGTTTGCATATTTTGCAGTCACTGGCTAAGCCCCAAGAAATACTATAACCTAACTTGGCCTTTGCAAAATCCAAAACTTTACCAACATTCCTGAGGTCTAAGGTAAAACGTGTTTGTCGTTGCACGTTTGTCTGCACTCGCTCTGTGTTTGTGATCATCTACCAGTAATAGAAAGCTTATCAAACAGAATGGGCCAACTGGAGTCCATTACAACCACTTCAATCCGTCGAAACCGTCAAGCTGAGTCGAGCTGATCCAAACGTAACATGAAGTATGCTGTTCACTCATGACTATGTTATACAAGGCCTCAAAGGTACCGAATTAAGATTTCAATATTACATGCTGAACTGAACCAGAAGCTGAGGCTTGCTCTTGTGGAGCTCCACAGGAAAAAAACATCATAGACCAAACCAGCAGAAGCCTTGTTTCCATCTTTCTCTCTCCACTTTCTTGTCACAAACGCAGCAGGTTTCTCTAGTCCTGCAACTGACCTGCATCACGATAGCTTGAACAGCAATGAAACATACACAATCAGGCTCCCCTCCCTGTCTGGGTGGAGTGCTGCAAGGTGAGAGGCTGGTACAATGTCAACAGTGGCTACAGGTGTTTATCTGATTTGAGACCAATAACGCCCAATAGAACTGGACTTACTGGACAAATTAAACGGGGGAAAAGACCTAAATATGAACAAGATCTGTTTATTTTGCTAGCACAGACACAGACGTATTTCAATGCAGCATGCACAATGTGATTCATCTACATCTACATACAGCATATTTACACTGACATGATCAACTGTTACTCAGACAAGCAAGGAGGTTTAATGAGCCAAAGGAGTAAAGACCCCAAACACACTACAGTACACAGGCCTGAATGCTGTCTGCTGATAGCAGTGCAGGAAACATATGCATATCAGGGGTTCCTTTCAGTGATGGCACTGTAAGGTTCAGCTGAAGGCCTCAAACAGACTGAATGCTGTAGAAGTAGCACTATAAAAGGATGAAGAACTTAAATGGACTAAGTCTGATCTTCCAAGTCAGACTCCTGCTTAAACTCCTCACACAAGAGACCGAACTGCCACTACTCTCAAGAGACACTGAGAGAGGAATCCGAAGGCAGCTTTAAAAGAAGCCACAACATCTTTTAGCATGTCTCTCCATGGAGATGGCTTCATTAAAACATGCAGCCCAAGGCAATTCCCACTGCACCACAGCGCGCATGCTCCGTGAAGTTCCCACACATAGTCAATCACATCAATACAACCATAACAATTAAAATATGTATAGCCTATACATACATCCAGGTCCACTTTAATACGATCTCAGTGACCATAGTGACCATGCAAAACACCAACCATGCCGCTCACGTGCAACTTTCTCCACTCACAGCTTCTGTCTGTAGGAACAGCAGCGATTAACTCTCTGATATTTTCCACATGTTAGCCAGTTCTCGGTAACTGGACAGACGCGTGGTCATTTTTATCCTGGTTCAAGAGCAACACATGAAGTTGTTTTGGTGAAAAGCACTCACCCGCTGCGCCGCTGCTTCCGAGGGAAAGTGTCCATGTGGGACTCCTCTGCGTGTGCGGCCCCCATGGAGGCTGAAAACAGCGGCCCCCACAGGCAGGCAGCGGTACTCACTTTCAGTGCTCTGTACCCGTGAACCCACGATTGGGGTGCCGTTCAGTACTTGTAACTTAAAAAATAATAAAAAATGTAACGTAGCATTTTATCACTTACCTTTTTTTTTTATCTTTTTCAGTATTAAATCTTATGTTTTTACAAGGTTTTGCCGACGACTTAAAGGGGAATCTGTATTATCTGTAATGCTATTGATAGTAAATGCTTTCTTTGGGGACTATTTTGCCTTAGAACACCCTTTTGTATCCTTCCACCATGAACGGCTTAAAATAAACTGCTTAAAATATTTTTTTGCACCAAAAACTTTATTACAAAACTGGTGTAAAACAATGCCTCAGGCAGTCATATCCATTTCATGTAATTACGTTCTGTTAGAGAGCTTTTAGAGGCAGTAAACTCGTCAGACTCTGGTTCCTATCACCCCCACTGAGAACAATTCTGACTCTGCTGGTTTCTCTTCAATGAGGTTTCCCGTCAAAACGTTCTGGATGACTTTGTTGACATCTAAACTATTTAATTATACAGCAATTTTGAAAAATTCCCCTTTTGAGAGTTCTCATTTAAAGGAGTAACAGGGATAAAAGTAACAGCATATTTAGCACAGAATTAGCCAACACAAACACGGTTAACTAGCATCCATGCTAACACCATGAGGACATTAAACACATTCTAATGACTTACTTACAAATGAAGATTATTTTTAATAAGTAGTTCACTTTCAATCTATAATTTAGATAACAAAGTGACCTCATCAGTCAATATGATAAGTTGTAGAGAAGAGAGCGTCTTTCCATGATCTTCAGGAAATTTCAAATGTGTTCAGTTAACAATTTGCTGAGTCAATGAGTGTGTTTACATGCACTCATTAATCTGGACAATTACCGGATATCTGCAGTTATCTGATTATTCAAATGGTCATGTAAACAGCATAGGCCAATTTTCAGATCAGAGTAAGGTCTAGAAATCCGACAAAGAGAGACAGATTTTAGCTTAGTAATCAGATTTCTCAGTGCATGTAAACTCTTACTCAGATTTCTTTCAGATATTCTCAGTCTGCACATGTGCGAAGACAGACAGCGGGACCGGAAATAAGCAAGAGGCGTTGCTGTGAGGTGGCAGCAAAACACTTTTGGAGAGACAAAATGAAGGATTGAAATTGTCTTCATCTTCTAGATAATGTATGTTCATACTTTCAGGTAAAGTGGTGTGATGTTTTTCTTTTTTTTTTAAAAAAGGCATGAAGTTTGAGTTTTACGTTACATTTATGTCAGGTCTTCTTCTTTTAATTTATTGGCCGGTTGCAAAGCAGAAATCCAATTACTGCCTGACTCATGTAGACCTGGAGTTTTCCCATTATCTGATTACCCAAGTGCATGTAAATGTGTTGATCGGATTACTTACAAAATTTGAAAATCTGATTTTCTGCATTTATCGGATTAAGTGCATGTAAATGCATTCAATGAGAGACTAATGCAACTAAAAAAAATTCATAACCTATGAAGGATGACACATAAAAACCGATGTTACAAACATGAGATGGTAAATGGATTCACATTAAAGCATTTTAAAGTTAATCAAAAGAATACTTTAAAACATAATATTTCTGCATTAATGTATGAACGCATTTATCATCTCACATAGAAGTTATGTTTTAAGTTATTTATCTGAAGCGTGCACATAGTTATGAAAGAAACTATGTTCAAAATGTCTAGCATTTACATACATACTTGTGAATGTAATATCAGTAGGACACAAATGGCATCTCATTAATGGAATCACCCATAAAACATGACTGGACATCTAATACAAATAGACAGTGATTTTATTAACAAGAGTGATCATTTTTCTTTCCAATCTTTTCTAGATGAAATCAAATGTTTTTAAAATGTATAAAAGCCTGTTGCACAGCACAAGTAATATTTACATTTAACAAGATTCATTCTTTTTTCTTTTCTATATAAGTGTCTGTTTTGTCAATACAATAAATAGCCAGTGGATCTCAAGCATGCATAGCCAGTAGTCTAACTATGCATAGTTGTGGTGTCAGGACTCCACTAGGAAACTGTGAGAATCATTTGACTGATATACTTAGAACTGATTTGTTATATTAGGATAGGACCAATACTGTAACTGTAATGTATGTACGTACGTACGCCACAGCCCTCAGCAATGGGTTTATGAATGGATCAATAATCAGTACCACAGGCCACAGACTGAAGTAAAAGAAAAGGCTTAGAGACCACTGTGTTGAATATGCCCATTAGATACATGCCAACAGATGTAAAGCTTACCAAATTCCACATTTCACAAAAATGTTTTATTAAAACTCATTGCACAGCACAAGCACAACTTACATTCAACAATATTCATCTCTGAAAGATGATCATATGGTGATATTGATAATGTGACTAGATTTCTGTTTCTAAGCAGTGTCTGTTTTGATAATGGAATCAGAAGCATGTCTGAAATAAATTACAAAAAAAATGGAAGTGTCACTCAATAGCATACATAGTCAATAATCTGACAGTTAAATATTTTAAAAGTAAATCTTTAGTATAAATGTCTTAAAAGTGCGTGCACAGTTTATACAAAAAAGAGAGCTCTATACATCAACACTTTTTACATTCCACATCTAACACAGGTAACATTCAAAGGCACAGAACCTCACTTTAAAACGATCAAAAATAAGTTCAGTCATAAAAGTATTTCAAGTAATCTTACATTTGCAAAAAGTGTTTGGTCAAAAGAAAACAACCGTAAGGTATTGTAAAAAAAATTATATAATGTAATTCAATACAGTGACTCTTAAATGTGACCACATTGAATCACATTTACATGTAAACTATTAAATGTGGGAATCAGTTCGGATAAACTTGATAATGTTACTGTAGACGCAGCAACATAATGTCATTTTTCCATGACTATGACACATGTACTGCGTTGCATCGCTACTTTGGGCCTAATATACTTTAAAAATAAATGTTAGATTATCATATACATTATTAGTGGATGTCAATCAAGAGATTAAACTGACAGAATTATACAGCTTCATGTTTTGAGGATTCATGTAGGACCTGCACATTTTTGGCACTTTGTTTTAATGGTCCATATCAAACAAATATTTCAATAAATACAAAATATGAATATAAAAAAATCTCACATTTACATGAAGTTAATGTAACAGGTTGAATATAGTAATCTGTCCATACTAATTAACTTAAAAACCAGAATTAACCCGAAACTATCAGTAGTAAGTGAAAGTAACCAGAGCTAAACACCAAGAAACCACTAAGGGAAGTATGGCATAGTCTGGAAAAGAACCAACACAACATTTCACTTGGCATTGTTGACTATATTTTTGACCATGCTTTACATCCTTAACTGAACCAGTAAAATGGAAACATACTTAAAAGTTTCACTCAAGTAGAAAGATTGCATAATAATGGCAATACCTCATGAAATCCAAAGTGCATATCCATATTTCCAACGTTATTTCCAATATGGAAATATTTCCATATTTCCATATTCTTTCCTTCATTTCTTTTGATAGTGACTAGAGACTATTTAGATAGAGACTATTTCACTATAATATTTATGGAATGGAGTATAATTCTGTTTGTTAAGTATGCTGTAATGAAATTCAGTACTGAGATTAAAAGCTAACTAACACAAAATATGTGAGAAAAAAGGTCCCTTAATAAATAAATAAAAATAACTGTATTTAAGATACTGTTAGAACTATCTGTAGACTAATATATATTTGTATGCTGTTTTAAAAAAAGAACAGATAACACCATTAAGCACACCTTTACAGATAAATAACAACCACGTTACATCACATGACAAGCTACAATGTCGCATGTACAAATGCACAAAATGATCAAAGCACTCTATTCATGCATCCCTGAAAACTTTAACTGTTACAGTCCAGTACTGGACAGCATATTGGTACCACTTAGTTCAAATCTTATAGACTGGAGTATCTAATCAATCCAAAAAACTACCAATATCAGCAGCAACATTAGCAAGATAATGAATCTACATCAGCAAGCCACCTGTGCTTGCAACCTAGAGCAATTAGTCCTAAATTCAGTGCAAATGTACAGTGTGAACCATTCACATATCTATACTTACACCTGTAAAAGAGATAAGACGGCTACAGTGATGTACCTGTGTGAGTGCCTGCCCTTCATGAGACACATTTCACATCTTCTCCACATCACAACATGGGTGCTCATGCCCTGCACCTTCCTAAACAATAAACACTAGTCAGTTACTGGCCCTAAATCATTAATTATGAATAACACATAATAGTAACTATAATAAAAATAAGAATACTATATAAAATTGGTTTTGAAATAAGTACCCCATTATTACAGGTGAAAGAAGTATGCACATCATTAAGCCATACACTCCGTCATCATGGTCCGGTCCATCATAGTTCAAGTGCTTTAACTGCCATTTCTTTCCTTTTCTCAACTGCTGTACACTCTCCCACTGAAAATAAGTTCAACGTTAATGTTATATACTAAAATTCAACCAAAGCCAAAATGAATTAGGAAGAGTGCCTGAGGCACAGCAGAACTCTGTATGCTTCAGTATGTTAGTCTTTTTTCTCCTCTTCCATATCGTCTTCAGACTGTGCACCCTTATGGCTGAGTTTCTCCAGCGTGGACGAGGAGGGGAGAGACTCCTGATCGCTCCCTTCAGTCTTTCTCTTAGTGGTTTCCTGCACAAACTCTTGAATCTCCACCGGGAGCCGGCGAAACTTGTCCTGATACTCCTGATCCAGTTCGTTTTGGAGCTGCAAAGACATTTTATCAGATATATTAAAAAAAGAAGGGCTCCAAATTCTCTCTCCTAGTCTGACATTCTTAATGATGAACACTGCAGTTTGTTAAAGGTCACAGCAAATGCATCAAGCAGACATTTCAAAGCTTTTGCTTGGAACAAAGAATGCACATCTTTTTTGAAAATAAGTAGTGTGAATGATATTTTCTGGCAGTGCTTCCAGTAATACTCTGAAACGACCCACTGAATGCATGTTGTTGGCATACAAGAGGCTGAAAGAACAGCAGCTAATGGTGATAGAGACCCGGTGCACTGCGCCTGCATAGTGATGAATGCTACAGTATTGACAGCTACAGATCAATATCCATTCACTGAGCTTTAGACATGTTCTCTTTAGAGCAGCGCCATCCGGCAGCAGCATTCCACAGCATTCTCTTTCCAAACACTGATTCCATTTGGTTCAAAAACCAACCCGCAACTGATCACTGTTCTACTCTAGAACATATAGTCGTACATAAAAATGTAAAAATACTCCTGTTCAAATTATGTTTTTTTTATTTTCTTAGTGAAAAGAAGAAGAAGGATAGAAACGTTAATAAACCAATTTTTAGCAAATTTTAATGCAAAATCTCTATTTATTTGCAAGTTTAATACGTGGGGGGGGGATGATGCCATAACTTACACAGGCCACTTTTTTAATGTCTCCCCCCACAGTATGTTAAATTCAGTAAATAAACAGTAATTGTGCATTAAACTGTGCAGAGGTCTGTTCTCTGTCGAGGATGTGTTTCACCTAGAAAATCAATAAGACATATAATTTGACTGGGGCACCCAAACTTCTGCACATGACACAGATTTGCCAATTTACTAGGTACATCTACACTATATAGACAAAAGTATTGGGACACCTACACATTATATCCAAAGGAGCTTTTATGACATCCCATTCTAAATCCGTAGGCATTAATATGGAGCTGGTCCCCCTTTTGCAGCTATAACAATTACCCCTCTTCTGGGAAGCTTTCTAAGCTTTCTACAAGATGTTGGAGTGTGTCTGTGGGAATTTCGCCCATTCACCCCCTCCCCGGTAGACATTATGCATTTTGATCTTAAGTGTGTAGCTGCTCGGCCATGGAAACCCATTTCGTGAAGCTCCTAATGTGCAGTTCTTTTGCTGATGTTTCTTTCAGAGGCAATTTGGAACTTGTTAGTGAGTGATTCAACAGAGGATAGACACTGTGTGCTTTAGCACTCGGTGGCCCCACTCTGTGAGTTTGTGTGGTCTACCACTTTGTGACTAAACTGTTGTTACTCCTAGGTGCTTCACAATCACAGCACTTACACTTGACAGGGGCAGATCTAGCAGGACAGAAATTTCCCAAACTGACTTGTGGCAGAAGTGGCATCTTATGAGAGTTCCATGTTTAAAGTCACTGAGCTCATCAGTGCGACCCATTCTACTGCCAGTGTTTATCTATCGAGACTGCAAGGCTACGTGCTTAATTTTATCCACTTGTTAGCAATGGGTGTGGCTGAAACACCTGAACTCAATTATTAGGTGTGTCCCAGTACTTTTGTCTATATAGTGTATCTTGTACCTACAGTTAATTTGCTAATTTATTGGAAACACCAACCATATACACTCACTAACAACTTTATCAGGTCCACTTACTATATAGGTGTACTTTGTTGTTCTACAGTTACAGACTTTAGTTAATGTGTTTCTCTGTATAATCTGTTAGCCCTCTTACCCCAATCATCAGTGGTCAAGATCCCCACAGTACCACCCCTGATTAGGTATTATTTGGGTGGTGGATCATTCTTAGCATGGCAGTAGCAATTACATGGTAGTGTGTGTGGTGTTGTTGGGGTTGTTGAAAAACTCAGTGTCACTGCACGACTGAGAGTAGTGTGCAAACTAAAAATATCCAGCATCCTTTGGCCAGAATCTGACTACTGAAAAAAGGCCAAAGGATGACTAACATAGACTGAGCTGTCATCTCTAACTGTACATCTACTAGGTGGACCAACAAGGTAGGTGTGTCTAATAGAGAGGACAGTAAGTGTACAGAGCATTAAAAACTCCAGCAACACTGCTGTGTGTGATCCACTACTAAAGAGGCAATAGAGTGAAAGTTTGTAGGTTTACAGTTCCTGACTATAGCCCATATGTTGCTGCACAATTTATCAGTCTCCTTCTACCCTGCCTATCAATGGAAAGAGACGACTCTAGGACCAGATATTATTTGGGTGATGGATTATTTGCAGATGTCAAAGTTCTCTGGTAGTGGCATGTTAGTGATTTTTAGTATCAGACAGTATCAGCTATTTAGTATTTACTGGGGGTTTTATACTTACAATGTACACTTACATGATAAAAAATGAGTGCAGGAAAATCACATTATTTATCATAATCGTGGTAAATTATGTTACAGTCCATCACAATATGCTTTATTGTTGTAGATTTCATCAGTTCTTAAAGAACGCTAAACAATTGCATGTTTCATTACAAAGACAGCATAATTAAGGATGGTTAATTAGATTCACCGCATTCCAGTATGTGAAATGATGAATAAAAATGATGGAATTCAAAGGTTTGATGCGTTTGATTCCAACTTATCAAACTTCAAAAAAAACGTGATGCATGTTGTTTATTGTGATGTAATTTCTTTTTTTTGCCACACAGCCCATGCCTAGTGTAGGTACAAAGTGGGTGTCCCTTATCCCTAGCTCAGCATATAACACTGACTTCAAGTCGAGCATGTTCAGCATTTGTGAGATGGAATAGTCTAGACACAACACTAACAATATATTCATGCTGTATGAATAATAATATTACTACTGACACTGGTAAGCAACTTTTTTGAGCTCTTAGAGAGCTTGTGCAGTTTTCCCATGTCATAATTTGCAGTCTGTAGCACTCTGTGGGAACAGATGCACCTGAGGGTGCCCTAAGGCCTACAGGACTTTAGGGAAAGGGGAGGAGCCTGCAGAGTAGGAAATAACAGCTCCTGAACCTATCAGAGGCTCAGCAGTACATTCAGCTTGAAACTGCAACAGTTCCAAAGTAAAGCTTTGCAAGACTACAGAACTGTTGCAACTGTATATGGGCCAAGGACACGTTACTGAAAATAATATTACTCTGGAAAGCTGCAGAGAAGAATGGTTTGTTAGTGGTAAGTCAGGTGAATGCTCCTGAGAAGTTTAGGTTCTTAGATATTTACACATTTCGACAAGAACTCTGTAAATGAGCTGGAAATAACATCAATAATTAAACACAGAAGACATAACATCAGTGGATGATGCGTCATCCTCATGATGGCTGTGAAATATGCATACACCCGCAGTGTCATGATGCAACAAATGGCGAACATACTGTAACAGTACACAACAACAGTATACCGTCACAGACGAGGTTAACACTGCTAACAAACACCAAAAGTCAACAGTCACCCAAATCTTTTTTATAAATATGTGCAGAAAGTTGTCTTGGCCTGCACAAACTGCTACCAGGTCTTCCTTTTGGTTATGCAGATGTGTCTTTATGCCCATTCAGCTACACAATGAAGTGTTATTCATTTTTACATGTTACAAGTCATAATGTGCTCTAAGTGACCTTAACAGGCATGGATGTAGGTTGAGAGAAGTTGTATTGTATTGGGATGTATTAGGTAAAGGATTTGGGTGACTATTGACTTACAGTGTTCGTTAGCCTCCAGTGCTAAACTAAAGAAGCAAAATTTGCACACCAAGCATATCTTGGCTGATCAATCACATCTGAGAAATATGAAAACTGTATAAATTCTCACAGAACCATTCCTTTAATAATCAGCGTCAAAACGTGTCACACAATTAAAAGATCCAATGATACAAGCCTTCAGTTAAATACAGTAACACAAACCTGAAGTGAAGGCACATACCTTGGGTTTTTCTTCTACAATCTGTTGGAGGATGTTCTTATGTGTCTCCACAAGTTTTTCATGTCTTTTGGTTTGAGCATCTTCTAGCTGTAGATGGGATTTAAAAATATAAACGACAGAAAAAAACAAACCAGGTTAAAAACATTGAGAGTTTTTGACTTTGCACTCACAAATATTTCTGTGATAAACAATGTATCTTACCCTCTTGATATGCTGCACCACCTCATTAACATAAGATCTGTTGATCTCCAGCTTTTCCCTTGGAAACAAAGACAGTTTATAAAATTCACTTTAGACCATTAATTGAATTTAAAACAGGCAGATAAAGCTGCTGATACCAGGCAGATAAAGCTGCTGATACCAGAATACAGGTAATACATTACCTTTCTAGTGATGCCAGACTGTATAACGACTGCACACTGATTAATACTGATTACATCACTAGCTGACTGGTAACAACTTCGGCACATAAACAAATGAAGGCATATTTTATATAGAAGTTGTGTTTCTTTATGTGAACATAACAAAAGGTTATTCACCAGATCTAAATCATGATTCTAAGATATATTTGGTCTTTCACTGCCATCTAGTGGACACTTTATGCCTTGCTGATGATCTGGGTCTCACTCTTATGCGCAAATTTGTGCCTTTGCCTTTTGTATGAATGTTTTCCCATAATAACTGAGATCCTTTAATAACTTACTACTTAAATTTGTTCCTACCATATGAAAAATGTAGAACTGCCTCAGATCACACAAATTCAACAATCACACAATACCTGAGGACTTACAAAGCTATTTTACCAAGCCTTCTTTATTTATATGGTGCTTTTACTTATTTAAAATAAGAGGTCTATAGATTAACATTAGTTTTAATCTTTTTTTAACTAGGAAAAACATCACTGAGCTAATTGTTGGGCTTACAGTCTTACTATAAATCTAACTGACTCAGCCTACCAAACAAGCACTTTCAGTCAGGATTATAATTGTTTTCAATGTGATTAGGTAATTGGCATGGCAGATAACAAAGGTGTGGGGACCAATTGTTTTTTCATGGGTTCTAATAATGTGAAAATAATATTGTTAAATTTAAGTTTTATGTGGAGTACTCAGCGAAATATTATTACAGTAGCATTTATTTTTAATATATCTGTTTTTGTCATAATGGCTTAATTTACCTACAAATGGGCAGCCAAGAGCTAAAATCTCAGAATTTCCAGTACTTCTTGTTTGCTGGCTATAATATAAAAACATAATAGAATCTGTTTGTTTGAAATAGGCCTGCCTGTTTGATTTAGCTCAGGTGACAGTTTTATCTGACTATGCGGACTAGGCTAGACACCTTTGCAATGCTTTAGAATTATTCTGGATGTAACAGCAGGAGAAAAACAACAGCAATAATCTAGACTACTTTAAGGATGGCGTAATAGACTTGTTTATGTAGCAAGTTGAAACATTATGAAACAGTGGGAGCACTGAAATCATGTGCATGTGATTCAGCAAATCTGCAGAACAAGAAGAGGAGGAACCACTTCACAAATCATGATCTTGGAACATTTAAATGCCAGTGGATGCAGGCGTGTCCAACAGTTGTCTATCAGAACGATTTATCAGACTAAATGGTTAAGTACAAGTTATTTATTTTTCAGTGTCAGGAATAAAAATCAGAAATATATTTAACAGAAAATTACACACTAACTAAATATATGTTTTCAGCATTTAGTTGGTCCTCTCTTTGACTTTCTTACAGCTTCCATTCTTTTCAGGAGACTTGCTTTCAGTTTTTCAAAGAAATCTGCCAACAAGTCTTAAATGTTGGTTGCATTTTCTGCTTCTCACAATCCAAGTAAACCTAATTACAAATTAAGACACATCAGTCCATAAAAAAGTTACTCCTCAGATGTCCAGTTTCTGTGTTTTAATGCAAATTCTCTTCTATTTTGTAAACTCCTTTTTTCAGTAAGAGCTTCTTGACAGCTACACATCCTTTCAGACTTATAGTGTTGAGTTGTCGTCTCACAGTGGAAGGATGGACAGAAACACCTGTGGATTATTTGTGATCTGAAGTAAGAGTGGAACTTGATTTTCTCCTCTCTCTCTCAAAGATAAAAGCTTTAAGTGCTGTTTATCTGATGGTGGTTTTGGTGGTCTGTATCTTTTAAGACTTTTTAGAGTAAATTTTTCCCCCACATATTTTCCTTTGACCTCCTCACTTTCATAAATAAATTATCTTATATTTAATCTCTTCAGAAATATCTCCTTCAGCCATTTTAAATGCACATGAGAAAGTCTGGTGAGCTTGGGTAGTTGTTTGTGTAAATGTTAATGTCTCTTTGCAAGGGAACATAAAGCCAGTGACTCCCTTGGGTGCAGCTGTTGTTGGTATAACACAGCTGTAACCGGTTCAAGTGCAGCAGAGTGCACAAAAGTAAAGAGTGGACAAATTAAATACTGATAGAACTGACACATACTTAGTATCTGAGGCTTTTGCATACATTTGTGTTAAATTTGTTTACTGCTTTTTTGTGAAACTGAAAAATGAACAACTTGTACTCAAAGGTCGTGACTGGAAGTTTATTAGACAAAAGTGTGGTGTCTGACTTTTGCTCAGTACCCTATGTGTAAAGAACTTAAAGCTCCACTTACTCCTCTGTTAAGTGTTTCTCTTTTGATTTGGCTTCATTGAGCTTCTCTTGTCTTTTCTTGTCCATCTTCTTTTTGAGCTCTTTCTTTTCTCTGTGGACACAAAGACAGCAGTAAGGCTGATGTCTAAATGGATATTATAACTCTTACAGTCATTAAAATCATACTTACTTTTCACACAAGTCTTTCAGTTTCTTCATTTGGTTGCTCTGACTCTCCTCAGCTACCAGGGTTAATTTCTCCATTAGCTGTGTGACGTATGACAAATCTCAGTCAATTTTTTAATAATTTCGAAGAATTTTACAGGATAAAATGAAATTCGCTTTAAATCACTCAAATCTCTTTAATTGTGATGTGTGAATAAAACTCGATGTCATTTTTCTTTTCCTTCTTTTTTAGCTCTTTAGCTGTCATATGTTTTTTTTTTTTCAGATTGATCTCATTGAGAGACGTTACAGCGAGTTTTCACTGCACCTGCTTGATGTGTTCTTTCTTCAAGTATTTCTCACTGTAGTACTGCTCCTGTCTGAGGTTCAGTAGCTGCTGCTGCTGCTGCTCTTTGAGCTCAGCCAATTTCTGACCACTTTCCTGGTCCAAGGTCGCCAGCTCCTGCTCAAAGAACGAGGCTCCATGCTCCGGGCTGGAGGAAAGACACCTGAGGAAAACACTGCGATCTGACTTCCGTTCTATGAAGTTATTGAGTAGTAGTCCATGAGTACGGAGCAGCCTACCTTTGTGCTTCTAAACAGGGAACAACAGTGAATTGAGAGCAGATGAAGCAGACCTACCTCTTCTTACCGTCTCTTTTTGCAGATTTCTGTAAAACGGCTCTTCTGCGCAGATAGTCATGCTGGAACTCGTTGTATTTGGCCGTGTGCTCCTTGATCATTTCAGTGGTTTTCTTGTGATGCTTCTTCATCAGGTCCTTCATTTCTTTATAGTGTCTCCTCTGCTCCCTGACAAACACCTTCTGCTGCTTCAGCTCCTCTAACGTATGAGCCTCCATCTCTAAGGTGCAAAATTAACAAGGGTTAGATTCAGACATGGCCAAAAAAAGATATCTTGGCAAGTAAGGTCATAAATCTTGGTAATATATCTAATACATCTTATTATGAGATTGTTGTAATAATATTCTCAACTTTACACCTTCTTCTTCACACCTATTTAAGTATTCAAAAAAAGTTGTGTTTCACAAAACACAAAGAAAACATCAGCAAATTAGGGCCTTACCGATATGAATTTTTTGCGGCCGATATGATAGCAAATTTTAAGTGGCTAAAAACAAAAATAGCCGACGTTGGTTGATATTTTTCAAAACATTTCTATATAAAATTTCACATTTATGTTTGAAATTTAAATTTGATACTCCAATCATTTTAGTTTAGTGCTTTACTGAAAGATAAAATTCTCAATTGTCACACTTCTTTGACTCTTTTCACATAAAATGGTATTTCCACGTGTTATGGAGGTCTCTCAGTTAAACTATGCTTTTTTCCTTCAATAACATTGATAGAATACGTTTCAGTGGAAATGTGTATTTACAAAAATGGAATCAAACTGGATTTTCTTCTTCTTGGGTCATCAAGTAGGTTAACATTTTTAAAAGTGTTTAAATGCTTTTATTTATTAGTAAGGCAGCTGTACACAATATCAAGAAAACTGCACTCCATCTTTGTAGACAGGTATGAATCGTTTTCTCATTGTTCACTAGCAGCTCAACACAGTCACACCATTTTACACACAGTGTTCTAGAGTTATGAGGGAAAGATATTTTATTTTATTACATTAATAATAATATTATTAATAATAATACCCAAGTTGAGTTCTATTCTTTAGATGGAATGGCCACAAGGGGGCATGCAGTAAGAGGCTGCACTGAAATAAACAGAAGAAACTCTCAGTCTTTAGTAATAATCTGGGGGTGGAGAATTCTGGTTTTGGTTTCTGTATCTCTTATTTTCTCTTTTTTTAGTTCTCCTCAAAAACATTTTTTTAGTGTTATGTTATTCTCATGCAGGTTTATGTTTGGATGCATTTTATATGTTTTATTATTTAATGATGGTGCTTTGTTTTCAAATTCACCAGTTTAGTCTGTATTGTTGTCAAATAGTACACAGGGGATAATTCACATTGGGCTCTCCAGTGGCACAACTGTTTTGAGGTTTTGCCCTATTCTCAGGAGAATACAAGTTAAAATCCTGGTGGAGTTGCATCCAAAAAACACGGCAATTATCAGTGCATTATTGCTGATATTTTTGCCAATACCAATAAAACCGAGGGATTGTAATGTCTGCTGGTATTATTGATATCGGCCAGACTCACAGACAAACAAATACAAGAGAGGAGAGGTATATCAGTATTCAGACTACCTTGTCTATTAATTTATTTCGGTTCTCATTCTGCATATAAATTGAAGTTACAGGTCCCCTAGATAGTGACCTAATTAGGAATCCCTGATAGTCATAGCAGTTTCTAGTAGAAGCAGTCACTGACCAGTGAGGACACTGTGAATGAGATCTTCGGTCTTTGCCGCAGGTTTAGCTGATCCTGAAACACACAGACACACACACCTCTAGAGATAAGCTTTGTGCATATTCAAGGTGACCACTCTTATTTTGTAGCTGTAAAGGGAATATTCATATAAAACTGTTCAAACAAACCCACGGAAAACCTCATAAACCAAGCCATGCTCTTTTTTGTGATTGTGAGTAGTTACTGTAAGGTGTTACCTGCAGGCTGGGGCTGTGGAGAGAGCTGTGAGGCTGGTTTGGGCGTGGCACTCGGAGCATGGCTCAGTCCATTCTCTACGGGCGCAGGTTTGGGCTCACTCTTCACCTCTGACGCCTGCTCGACTCCAGGCTCAGTCTGACAAACACAAGAGTAGAAAGTGGGGATGAAGTGGTGAGGAAAATCACATTTTATGAAGATTGTAGGTAAGAGTTATTTGTTTTTGGTGGGTTTTCAAAATATTCTAGTCAAAATTCACAGAACACAGCTGATTTAACGTATGCCTTTTATAATCTCAAAGACATTTCGTGGCAGATTTACTAAAAGAGGGAGCGAATTACCGACAGTCTACAGACACTTTGTCTCGGTAGGGGTGGGCAATTTGGCATGTTATCTACTAAGAACTTCTAGGCAAATGAATACAAGCTCAACTTCATAAATAAATGTGTTAAAAACTCTCTCTTTTTTCTGTCACTTAGCACAAACAATAGTAGCCAGAAACCACTGCTTTTGTCTTATTATGTGCCCTTCGATCTAAAAGCATATGGTTAAACACTGTTTCTAAGACAAATATAAATAGTTTTTTTTCAACACTTTCTTGGTCACTGCATAATTCCATGTTACTTCATAGTTTTGATATATTCACTATTATTCTAAAAAGTAGAAAAACAGTACAATTAAAGAAAACCCTATGTAATTTCTGTGTGATATGGTATATTAAAAGATTATATGCAGTCTTTCCACAGTGTGTCAAGAAATCATACTAAGCCAACACTGGGATGAACCTGAAGAGAAATATGCAAATCTGGATATAACCAGGAGATTAATATACACCAGTAAATACAACACCTCTTTGGCATCTTTCTCCTCTTCTCCCTCTTCCAATGTCAGAGCAGCCAGCTGCTTGGATCTCTGCTCCATTAAGTTGACATATCTAATGGGGTTAGACAGGGCCTCTATGACATCTGTTCCAATGAGAAACGCACAGTCAGTTATCACAAACATGGCAAATGTTATACAATCAGAACATTCCCTGTTTACATAGACTGACACTCCATCATTTTCTGCATCCACATAATTTTGTCCCTGCTGTCTCTAAAGAATGTGACAAGAATGTCCCCAATCACTGACGTCAAAGGGTCTACTCTTAACAGGAAATGAGCGCCAGTCAAAAAGAAAGTGTGAATAGTGCTGAAAAGGTCAGAGCTGTTTCTTCCTGTAAGCCCCTGTGGCACAACACATTTTAAGTAAAGTCGCACATGCTGAGCGGTGCTGGGCACAGGATGCATGAGTGTGTCTCACCAGCCCCAGCCTCATACCTTCAGGCTGTAAATGGAGCTTTCCCTGCTAAAACCACTGGCACCGTGACCATGATGGAAACTCAGTTACACAACAGCCTTTCTTAAAGAGGGGAGGCAATTATTACATGTTAATCTGACACTAGTGTAGTTTACCTGCAAACGTATCTGGCACATAATCTTTGACTTCGATATACACAAAAAGGGCAGGAAGAGTGAGAGACTGGTTTTTCTCATTTCTCAGTCCAATATACCGATAACCTGCAACAAAAATAAAGCACATATAACCACTTTCATCATGCAACCGTAAAACAGCTCTAAATCTGGTTTATGGAAGGAAACATCAACAATACCAGGTCGGATGGCTGACACAGGAATTATCCGATGGCCAATGAACTTTCCGCCCTCCTCAAATACAGCTATTCTCAGAGAGGCTAGAGTGGGTAGAACCACCTGTCAAAGAAGATAAAAAGATTTATTTAATGCATCTCTTCCTCCCTGTATCTAACTTCCCAGTCAAAGCCACTGAACTCCCTACCTTTTTGAACACGATCGGCTCCTCGTCCCACACAGGGTTGATGGCATTGTTCTGGGATGTCTTTGTTTTGAACGCTTTCCGCCTTGTGTCGACTGGGAGTCCAAACATGTCGATCTCCACATACACACCCACTTTCTTGTCGGTGAGAAACTGTCCTGATATGATCTGATTGAGAAAAACAGTAATCACCAACGACTACTACAGCTGAAGCGAGAAGGTGGTTCACTGAATAGCATGTATGTATGTCTAAAGAATACATGAAATACTCTTGTTAATACTTGAGATACTTGAAAATTTTAAGACAAATATACAGTACTGTACAAAAGTCAGAGACCACTCTTCATTCATTAAATTTCAAGTCAAAACAGCCATTATGTACAAGGTATTCATTTATCCGTATTAGGAAAAAAGCAGAAAACATATATATTTAACAGAAAATCACACAGAAGCCTCCACTTTGATTTTTCAGTACTTAATGTATCTAAACTTTGCCTTTATTTAAAGTTTAGTCTTAGAAGTTGGTTGCATTTTCTGCTTCATGATCAAAGTAATCCCAAACATATTCAATGATGGTGAGATCTTGCTTGGGGTTCTGAGTTCTGTCTTCTTGTTTTTCCATTTCCTTTTCCAGTAACAGCTTCCTGACAGCTACACAATCTTTCAGATCCATAGTATAGGGTTGTTTATCTGATGGTGAAAATTTTGGTGGTCCTGCATTGTTACGAGTCCCATTTTCTGTATAACTTTTAGTCAAACACCAGTTTTGGAAACTATTTTTGTCACTAATTTTTCTTTGACTTTCTTCTTCCTTATGCAAGTGGATTACCTTATATCTCCTCAGAAATGCCTCCTAACAAAATGAATTAATTTCCTTGGTGGTCTGACTGGAAATTAAATAAATAAAAAGTGGTCTCTAAAGAATACAAAAACTGTTAATACTTGAGATGCTTGAATTTCTGTTTCTACAACAAATATAGTGAATCTGATGCCTACGTATAAACTTATTAGAAAATATTTTATCAAATGCTCCCAAAACAAATTAAAAAAAATAATAAAAACCAGCCAGTAAGTGCTCCGCATATATGGAAGCCTGTTGGAAAAGTATCCCAGGTGGCTCCTCATGAATCTGCTTGAGAGAATGCCAAGGGTGTGCAAACCGACGCCAAGGCAAAGAGGGGCTACTCTGAAGAATCTAAAAGAGTCAGCCCTCTTGTGGAACTGGAAGATTTGACACTATGCAATTGACACATAAAACTGAGCAAAATATTGATGTAAGGCCCCTTAATATCATGTTCATGGACTGTGTTTTTTTTGTTGTTTTTTAAACCAAAACAATGAAAAAAACCAACAACTGATGTTCACTGCAGTTCAACTACTTCTCCCCACCAAAAAGGAAAAAGACTGACAAGCACTGAATTAAGGTCAGCAAACTGGGTGGCCCAAGCATCCATTTATAGTATGGACCTGGTCCAGGAACCAATAAAGTCTAACCTTTATTGATAAGGTGTTGGCTACAATCCCATCCACAGTGCTCTCTGTGAAGGGGTCAAAGTGTTTGTCTGGCCGTCTCATGAACTCTGGCTTGAGCCTGTAGCCACTTTTCCCATTATACTCGTACATGCCCAAGTTCAGCTGCATGGACAGATCTGGATAAGAAGAGAGAAAGAAAGTTTTAGTTCTTCAACTAGCATGAGATTTTTTTTTTACAGCATTCTACACTACTATGGACTGATGTACATTTAAACATGCTTTCATATGTTTTATATGTTTGTGTTTTTATGGCTCTCTTTGTATATTTATATTTTAAAAAGAGAAGCCAAAGACAAGTTTTCCACTGTCATGCATTATAGTTAATTTAATCTAATGATACATATTTTGAAGACGGCTTACAGTACACTATATGACCAACAGTATGTGGACACCCCTAACAAATTATTGGGTTCAAATTACTGTGAACAGGTGAATAAAATCAAGCACTCCGCAATCATCATTGACAAACAGTGGCAGTAAAATGGGTCGTACTGAAGAGCTCAGGAACTTTAAATGCGGTACTGTTATAGGATTGCACCTTTACCACAAGTCAGTTTGTGACGTTTCTGCCCTGCTAGATCTGCCCTAGTTAACTGTAAGTGCTATTATTGTGAAATGGAAGTTTCTAGAAGCAACAGCAGCTCTGTCACAAAGCGGTAGACGATGCAGCCTCACAGAGCAGGGCCACTGAGTGCTGAAGAGCGTAGCCATAAACACATGGTTTGGTGAGTTTGGAGTAGAGGAACTCCAGTGGCCTGCATAGAGCTCTGCCCTCATCCCCACTGAACACTTTGGGATGAACTGGCATGTCGATTGCAAACCAGGCTTTCTCGTCCAACATCAGTGCTTGACCTCACAAATGCTCTTTTGACTGAATAGGCACACGTTCAGACAGACACACTTCAAAATCTTGTGGAAAGCCTTCTCAGAAAAGTGGGAGCTGTTATAGTGATGCCAAAAAGCTTATATAGATGTGCTAGTGTCCACAAACTTTTGGCCATATAGTGTATATCACATGGATGGAATTTGTACCTATTGTCTGAAAGTTTAGTGCCACCAGCTGGCAGCCTGCATTCCAGAACACTTGAGGCATGTAGTTGGAGGAGTCAACACGAGTTCCTTTAGGGTAGATTCTACTGAGCTGGAGCTTGTTGTATCTTTTGAGCGTTTGAGTTAAGGGCAGAAATACAAAAACAAGCTCCTCAGACTATTACAAACTCTCTCAGTCACTGTTCAGGTGCAAATCCATAACAATATTCTAAACAATCCGTTATAAGTGATAAAACAGGATAACACTGGTTAATCCCCAGTGGAAGTAGTAGGATAAGCACAGTGTGCTTTATAATTAATCTCACCTGATAACTGTAATTTACTGACATAATTAAGCTCAACTTTTCCTTTGACTGCTATGCCTTTTATTCACACTATGATCAGCAAATGAACTAGACAGATCTGATTATTTGGGTCACAAGTAGGGCATAAAAAATGGATGCACTTGTCCTCATTTCTCTTCATGTGCCTAATCAGACACCCATATGGGTTAGGAGTGCTCTTATTAAAACACAGGGTGATATAAAAACAAAAAGTGCATTAGTTCTGCGTGAAAAGGATGCTCCACAAACTCCACTGGAGTTTTCGTGAGCTGCTCCAGAGCCTTGGTCTCCACAAACGATGACATTTGATAGCTGCGGTTGACTTCTGAAAACAGAAATATAGAACAGGTGTCAACAGCAGTTCCTCTCAGCAGCATAAAATTGTGAGGCAAAACGAATAAGCATATACACAATACATGTAATTCTCACTTTTTGAGGTCTCAAAGGAGTGGAACTTTGTGGGTTGGATGTAATTGACTAGAGTGGACATCTCCTCAGTAGCAAAGGCCTCTGAACCTGCTGTCCCCTGCAAAAAGCACACACAGACATACAGTCAGCTGTGTAAATACTGCTGTAAATAAATAAATAAAGATAATAAAAAATGTCTTTGTGGTTCACTGGTTCAATCTGATATAAGGAAATTTTAACCTTTAATTGTAAATTTAGTCTATCTGAGGCAGACTGGGACCACTCCTCAAAACACAATCTCACTGCTCTTCAGCTCAGCCCATAGGTTTTTTAATGGGATTTAGGTCAGGGGACTAGGATGGCCATGGAAGAAGCTTGATTCTGTGGTAATTGAACCCTTTTGTGTGGATTTGATCATATGTTGTGGATCACTGTTCTGCAAGAAGATCCAACCACAACCCAGTGTTTGCTTTTTCACAGAGGCAGACAGATTTTTATTTAACCTCTCCTGGTACATTATGTATCCTAATAAGCCTCCCAGGGCCTTTGGAGAAAAAACAGCCCCAAAACATCACAGACCCTCCACCATACATAACACTGGGGATGATCCTCTTTTTTGTATTACTTTTTGTTTTTACGCCAGGGCCATTTTTAGTGTTTGTTGTCAAAAACCATAGAACCAGATGCCTATGATTGTGGTTAGATAAAAGAAACCCCTTCTAAACAGTTTGATGCCACAGAGGTAGAGACTACTACTTTGGAGATCCTGAAAGGCTAAAACTTTTGCAAATCTCTAAATTTTTGCTTCTCTAACCATCCTGCTCACTGTATGTGGGGGTGAAATAAACATGTATCTTCTTCCTGACAGGTTAATTGCAGCTCTGGTTGTTTTAAACATATTAAATATTGCCTTAAGTTTTTTAAAATAGAAAATAATGGTTCTGAGAGTGTGCTAGTGACCTGTGGTGTCCCCCAGGGTTCAATTCTTGGGCTGTGATATTGTACCACAGCTAACTGGATGCGACAAAACTTTCTAACAATGATAAAATAGAGATTATATTATTCGGAAATAGCAATGAGAGGCACAGACAAGCTGCCTGTCTGAAACTGAGAGCCCTAAAATCTAAAGATCTAGCACATAACCTTGGTGTACTAATGGACTCAGATCTCAGTTTTAGCAGTCATGTCAAAGCAGTCACTAAATCAGCATTTTATCACCTTAAGAATATCAACAATATCAGAGTTTTTCTGACTAATCCAGACCTGGAGAAACTCATTCATGCCTTTATTTCTAGCAGTATTGATTACTGTAATGGTCTCCTACTGGAAACCCAAAAAACACAATCAAACAGCTTCAGCTGATTCAAAAAGTAGCGGCCAGAGTCTCACTAACAGTAAAAGAAGGAAACAAATCACCCCATTCTTAAATCCTTACACTGGCTACCAGTCTGTTACAGAATGGAGCTGAAGGTCCTATTACTGGTCTATAAATCACTTAATGGTATAAGACCAGCATATTTACCTGACATTCTGCAGCAATATAAGCCAAACTCTCAGATCATTAGGAACTAGTTCTAGTTCTAGTACTCAGTTAGACCTGCCGAAGGTTAAGATTAAACATAGAAAAACAGGCAATAAACTTGCCTTGCCCTGCCTAACAGTGGTTATGGGTTATGTCCAAGCATAAAGCTATTTTATAACCATTGCTTGATGACTCATTTAAGTAGTGTTTTTTCTCCGATGTTCACTTTGTTGATGAATGGATAAGGGAATTCGGCCTGTGTGTCACCTCATATTTATATCCCAGTGAACCAGAAGCAACATGAACACTAATTAACGACAACAACATGTTTTGATGACCTTTTTATTTTACTTATCTTTACTAGGGTGCCAATAATTATGGAGCTGACTGTATCAGTTGCTAAGTCTTTTAGGCCTGCAAATATATAAAAATGACCAAAAAGCCCCCTTACCTCATCCATGGACTTCTTACAGTCATCATCGTCGTCATCATCATCTTCATCGTCTTCCGCTTCCACCTCTGCTGAAGCTATAAAGTCAGTGAAGAGAAAAATACTGCTGATGATGTAAGCTTGAGTTACCTATTTCATATCTGCTGTACCTTCCTATCCGCAGCAGACGCTCAATAAAAGACGAACCGGACTACAGATAAAGAAATGTCAGAAAGGGGAGTCGATACAGCTCACATATGGGCTCAAAGGTAGAGGTGATAAAGTCCAGTTTCCTTCCTGATGATTAATTCAAAACGCCTACTCACACAAGTTCATGTTCAGAGGAAACTTTCTGGACAGGGTAGCAGCAAAAAAGTGAAAAGGGAGACATCACACTGAGTAAGTGTTAGCAGGTCACTGTAGCCAGAGCCTGAATACAGAGATGTAAGAGCTGAAATGTTTTTTGTAAATGGGGACTGCCAAGCACCATGGGTGGTCTGCACTCACATCGTACTTTTGCTGAAAATGTACTGTATTTGTATGCAGTCAACCATGGTTTCGTGTAGGCTAGGTTCTCAGCAAGTTCGGTCTCCAGTGATCGAAGTTAAGTGCTTGAGGGTGTTTTGTCCTGTGGAGGAGCCTGCTGTGCAGCAGCTGTTTTCTTCCTTTAGAACCGCCCGGAGTTAACCTTTAGAAACAGGCCAAGCCTCTTAAAAGGCTCACAGTGCATGCCTCGGACTTCTAACAATTCACATTTGAAAAGATAAAGATCAAATCCTCCAAACTGAAGCACCAGAATCACCTCCACCAAGCTTCAAAGTTAACAACATAGCATTACCATAGTCATAAGATGCTCTTTAATAAACACACCACCAGATGGCACTATAAGGTACATTTTCAAACACCTGAAGCAGGTGGTGTGTTAAAAGCCAGCACTTACAACACTTTTCAGCACTTTTCCTCCCTACCTTCCACTTATTGCTTCTAAAATGTGGCTACCCTTTAAAGCATGGTGTCATGGGTACCTGCAGGGCCAGCGCTGGGGGAAGAAGGCTCAAACACGCTGGAAGAGTCGCTGTTTGTGTTTGAGGCTTGCTCTGACAGCTTCTTCTTTGTGCTCCCATCAGCTGGTTTGGGGTGAGACTTTTTATTCTTGACGAGTATCTTTCCCATGAGTTCGTGTGGACTGGGCAGTGGAACCCCTGCCTCAAGCTAAAAACACAAGCAGAAACAACAGTTTCCTCACACACAGGTCATACTGACCCGTTCTTGTACGTTTAATTGACTTTTGTGACAGTGAAAAAGTAAAAAAGATTCTGAACATCACATACGTACAGGATATTTCTCAAGTGGCTCAGTTAAAAGGGCATCTCCAAAGATTGATCGACAATATTCCGCCATCTTGGCCTGTTGCTTTGGACTGTGATTAATTACAAAAATAATTGCATTGATAATAATAATGAAAAAAAAACAAGATTCTGAAATGTTAACAATTAACAGTGTGTCTTATTCACAGGCATGCATGCATTAATTAGTCTGACAATTTCATGATCCTTTCCTGAAATATGCTAATATCCCTTCTTTATATGAAAACTCTCACTCAGTATAATGAGCTGTCAATTTGGTATGCTACATTTTCTTGCATGTGGCGAGGAAACAGAGAGACGTCTCAAGCAGCAACTGTGTATGACATCTCAAGAGAGATGACTGAAAACAAATTATGCATTACAGAGTCTGCTATAATCACTCTACTCCTTGTTGCCATAGTTGCAATCAGCTCTTAGTGCGGAGAACATTGGCACTCCAAGGCGAAAGGTAAAAGAGGCTGCTGGAGGCGGGCAGTGTGGAGCTTTCACTCACGAGTCCACATGGTTCTCGAAGGACAGGATGATAGGAAAAGGAGAGGTTTTAAAAGCACATTCGGCAATGGCCTCGATTACTTCCTGAAAGAGAACAGATTGAGTATGAATTGGCTTAAGAAAGAGAGTAGTAACATATTTAAAATTTTCTCCTATTGAAATGCAGTTCATTACAATGTAATCTTTCAACACTTCATACTTCATTATTTGTGATGTAAAAGAAATCCAAGCAATATATTTAAATATTTGGATTTGTAACTATTAATCCTATACCTGTTACATCTAGATCAGTTTGAGGAAGGCTCAGACATGTACAAAGGATACAACAGAACCATTAGTTTACTCTTTAAACTCTAAGAATGAGTCTCTGGGTTCAGACGAGGATCTGCTTTCTAACAAGTCTTGATATTCCAGTATCCATAAGAGTTAAACGGATATTCGGTTAACCGCAGGGAACAAGGACCAAAATGAACGTAGGACCTTCTGACACCAGTGCTATCACCATCTGACACCAGTGCTAATTGTTTAGGTGATGGCATTGGGGTCAGAAGGTCCTACGTTAAAATATTCAGTAGCATGAAAATTTAGCAGCATGCAGAGACATGCATTTGAAAACATTTTATTATTCAAAATAAATTGGTAGAGTAAAACAGCCACATTTTATGGTCCTGGTAAAACACAAATCTGTGTTTCACTAAAAAGTGTTAGTTTAGCGTTAAAAAAGGCTAATAAAAATCTGCCAAAATGATAACCATTGGCCAATCTGACTGTTAAAAAAATGGGAATCAGTGCAAGCCTACTATTCAAACACAAGCACTTCAAATGGTCAACGTAGTACTTGGATATCCATGCACATTCCTAGTTTACACTTCCATTCCTAAAGCTCATAACTACATAACACACACATTACTTCCACAGTTACTAAATAATTAATTAAAGTAAATAAATAATTAGCCTTAACAAGCCCTAACACCTAACATTTAAGGGGTTTATAAGCCCAGTAGAGCCTTGCCTATTTAGTATGTCTACAGTGCAACAGAGTGTGGTTTACCTTAAAGGAAATTTCAGAGGTCATGGTGAAACCGTGGGTGATGACCGGCTCCTCCTCAGCCGTGCGGCCCTTCCAGCAGTCCAGCTCCACACAGCGGCAGCCTGACAGCAGCACCTGCCTGTACATCTCCACAGAGGAGTTTCCTGCCAGCTGCCCAGCTGAAGAGAACACACACACACACACACACACACACACATTATTCAGAATCTTGAACTGAATTATTATGTGAGGACTAAAGGGCGAATGCAGTGGTTCTCAGCTCTGCTCTTGGGAGTACTCTGGCCTGTTGTCCCTGCTCTAACATACCCACTTCACCTCAAGAAGGGCTTGTTAACCCTATCAAATCTACCATCTCACAACACATTCAAAGACTTTGTCAATGTCACTTTCAAAGCTACTGCCAGAGCAGTTACAGCACATTCATGCCCACGTTGGGCATAGTAAAATGGATCCGCATGCGGAAATGGAGCTTCCGTATTCTACAGAGTTTTCTATCACTACATAATGGAAGCAGGAAGCTGCCTTTATTGTTGGATGTGCTGCGGTTTCTGAGCATGTACGTGCATTGCGTACATATTTAGAATTCAGATTGGTAAGCATTTATTATTGATTGGTTTAATCAGAGTAATAAAAAAATGACTAAAGAGCAAAGTGTATTTATACATATAAATATATATATATATTTTTTTTTGCTTTGGGTTCATATCCTACATATTTTATTTTTCCCTCTGAGAACCCCTTATAACATTTGTGAGGTGTTATATACCAAAAACAGTCATAACAGTCATATTCTGTGTCTTTAAGAATGATATCTATGTAAATAAGCTCTGTTCTGGTTGGCTGCCCTGTTTTGTGCATTTATTAAAAAAGGAGCCTGGGCTGAAACAATCTTCATAACAGTGTAAATGGGCAGAAAACCGCTCTGGGCTAAATAGGTGGATTTATGTAAATATGTTGCTTTTTGTGACATCACAAAAACAGTAAATTCAAAATGGGCTGATTTTGCAGCTTAGTTTCCATATACGGACTACATGGACTGGAGAGTGAATGGTACAATTTGCAAACTTAATGTTTACATACTATATAAATTTTTTCTTATTCTAAAAAGTGAGGAAATTTAGTTTTTTTCCTAATATGGTTGCTCTAAAAAAGTAATTTGTGGCATAAAATCTAAATATAATGTATAATATGTGTAGTCATTAAAGGGTTAATTAACTAATTACTTGGATCAGAGTCACGTTAGAGCAGGAAAAACACTAAAATATGTACTCAAACACCAAAATTTAGAACCACTACCTAATGGGCAGCTATCTGGTGGTTCGGGGCTTATCAGCAGTAGTACATTCAAGAGAGATGAGTGCTATAGTAAACAGTAATCAGAGCCTTCGTACACTGACCGTTACAAGCAGTGTTTTGATCGATGTGTGGACATACCTGTAAGATAGGTGTTGTGGGAAGAGTTGATGAAGTAGTGGGAGAGAGGGAAGGTCATATCTTCACTCTGGTCCAGTTTCTCGGGTGGGATCACACCATTCTCGTCACTAATCAGATACCTGGAAAACCCTTCCACTGAAATCTGCCCTGTAACACAGTATGACAAGGCACTTACTGTCCTGAACCATTCAGAATTTGGACACACACCTGATTAAATATACATTTTTCACAATCTTAGACATTTTGATTTAAGGCTTATGTTTAAAGAGCCCATATCCTACATTTTTCTTGCATTGTATTTTTTTATTGAGGTTACTGTGCCTTTAGGACAGATATCTGTAAACAAGTTCTGTTCTAACTGGCTGCCCTGTATTGTGCCTCATTTTAAAAGCAGTACAGGCTGAAATACTCTTTATAACTTGAGTGTGAATGTTTGTATGGCATCAAAAAAACAATGACTTCAAAACAGGCTATTTTTGCAGCTTGCTTACCATATATGAACTATACAGACTGGGGATTGAATGGTATGTTTTTAAAACTAGCAATGTTTGCATACTACATCAAACGTATTTTTAAAAAAAGTGATCCACGATATGGACTCTTTAATGCTTGAAATCTGTTTCCATAGGTGTCATTTCATAGTTGTAATGACTTAACAATTGTAAAAGCTTCACTTCACTTCAGTCTCTGACAGTGTATGTTGACAAATTTCATATTTTCTAGTAGAAATTGCTATTCACTGTCTCAACTTCAAACTATAACACAGTGTGCCCACCAGAGACAACCAGAAGAACTGAACATTTTTAAAAATGAGCTGTTTCACTCTGCTTTTACACCTAAAGTAGCAACCTGTCTCATCAAGGAAATTAGCACTGGAATTGCAAACAGACATCAAATTACAAGCTGTAAGATCTGCATTCCCTAAACAGCGAGTGAGCTTGTAGGGAACACACTCATAGATGGGCATCCCCTGTGACAAATTCTCAACAGAAGTTTACATTAATTAAAGCCATTCTTCGCAGAGCTCCAAAGGTAATTAACCGTGGCCCTTTTTGAAAGCAGGGAAGCATTGCATAGCGACACTACATGAAGTGTTTCAGAGTAATCTCAAAGGGACTGCCACTGTCAGTGTCACCATGAGGCAAATAGGCTTTGGTTTACATAAGACAGAAACAAACCACCTTGCTCTCCCTGGAAAAGGGAGTTGAACAGATTTTCAAAGACTACAATTACTGCGCCCTGCTGAAACTTAGCAATTGTCTTGTCAACGTGGAGGATAAAGGGAGAGCGTAAGAGAAGCAGGGGTACAATTCAGATAATATCTTTGGCTGTGAATAGTCACATTCAATTAAGGGCACAAAGATCAGTCGGTCAGATTTGAATGTAAGTTGCAAAGACTTTACTGACAGTCGCACGCATAAAATCTGCTCGGACACTTGGGGAACACAGCGTGTTTCATAAGCCAGCCCCGTGGCTAACCCAAAAATGTCTACAGTCAATACTCCAAGTAAATCCCCAAGTCTCTTGCGTGGGCTCCTCATATGCCCCCTAACCATTGTTCCCTGCCTGTCTCTGAGAGTGGGCTGGAAGAATAGATAGTTTATAATCTGTGTGACAGCAAGGTGTCACGCCAGCACTGCAAGCTAAAAAGCTCAATGATCACCCTCATCTATCCCCATCTCTGGCCTCTCCAGGCTAAATATGTCTAATCAATCAGTTGTCAAAAGGTAACTGGCTTTCTCATACAATCATCCAGTGACCAGATCCCCCAGCGCAGCTCTGCCTGTAGAATTATATAAATAAACTGGCTCAACTGCAGTGTTGGAAGGCATGGACTGCATCTCAGGAGTTACTGTTGCTATGGAAATGAAACTAAGGGAAAGGTGGAGAAATATATGAAAATGTTATTTTGTGCAACAAAAAGGGAAAAAACAACAGACTTAATATTACAGTATTTGCAATTCAAAGCTCGGAATCAAATTCATGGAATTTTTCTCAAGAGCATGCACAGACATGCTTCACTGTAGACTGAACCATTCATTTTGTGTTTTTAAAGGGGAATTCCAACATTTGTTTTATTAATTTCTGCATAATCAGTTATATTACAGCTATTATAGAACAACAGTTCTTATGTTCATCATCTTATTCTAACATCTTATTCTTTCCAGATAAGAAAACAGTATTACTGAAACATCCTAACTAGACATTTTCCTAAATTCTGTCCTAACCCCAGACCCTGGGGGGTCTGAACTTCTGTTTTAACTGTCTGTTTCTATCGTTTTATGCAGTGTCAGGCAGCATAGTTCACTATAACTGGTATAATAATGTTACACTTACCTACACTGAAAACCATGCTTTGACTTGTGAGGGTTTTTTTCTAACAGGGTTTTAAAAGCCCCATGTTGGTGAATGTCGGTAAATAATGAGGAGACAGAGTTGAACGTGTGTCTGTTTATCAGAAGGAATAACGTTAGTGTGGTCTGATAAAGCGTTTGGGAAACTTTAGTTTTGTTTGACCTTTTCTTTTACATTAGTAAGGGTAGCCAGCTGTCTGGCAAACCAATGTGATTACTTTGATTATGTGTTCTGATTATGTTTCGGCCGTGCGCATATGCTCGGTTGCTAGGTAACAGGAATGACAGCTGACTGTCGACTTCAATCGAGTAAATTAAGATTTCCTAACTTGAGACGATGCTATAACATAAAATTCCTAAAGTCTTGACCTGTCAGATCTTGAGTTCAGACAAAAGATAGGAAGTTTCTATAATACGGCCCCTGGTTCCTATCACCACCACTATGAAAATTCACACTCAGTTAGCTTCTCTAGAATGTCACATTCCACATAGGACCACTCTGAATGACTTCGTTTACATCTTAACCATTTCATTATGCAGAAATTTTGAAAAATAAGTAAAGTGATATGGAAATAGACTTTAGAAAGGATTTAACATTCTCATTTAAACACACAAAATGGGCAAAAAGCTAGCAGCAACAAAAAACTAACTAAAGAGGCAACCTTACAGAAGAAGTGTCAGTGCATTCTTAAGAAAATAATTAAAGTTTATCTCTTCATATCACAGGTTTCTAAAATCTGATGTACCATATGCTCAATATTAGTGGCCAAGTACCTACAAAGCAAAGCTCAAGTCTGCCTATTATAGCACTGCTTATGGCTACTTGTCATCCCTAGACAGTGTGGGCTGATGTAACATGACAGCACATCAACCAGCTGAAGGAATCAATGGGCACCTGAGGCAGGCTGTACATGATGGCTAAGAAGAATGCATGTTTAGGCCTGACCTTTTTGGATCATGCCATGGTTGGGCTCAAATTTCTCCATGAGGAGCTGCGTCTGCTCCGTCTTCAGTGGAGGGTACAGAATCTCATTAAGACGCGGATCCCTCTGCTTATTGTTGATGAAGTCAGTCATCTGCTCCATGCTCAGATAGTTCTTGCCCTTGGCTCCACTGTAAAGGAGAAGAGAGATTCTTCTTTTCAAAAATGTCATTTTACGGACTCAAAAGATAAGCAAGTAATCATAAGTAATGAGCAAAAAGTCTTTAATTTCTAATCAAAAAAGCCAATAAGAGTTATTTATTCTTCAGTGTTGGGGGAAAAAAGCAGAAAACATATACTTAACAGAAAATTACACAAAAGTAACTAAATATCACTTTTTCTATATTTAGTGTGTCCACTTTTACAGCTATTACAGACTGCACTGTTTGGAGCCTTGCTTTCAGTTTTTCAAAGACATCGGTGGGGATATATTTCCAGCCCTCTAAAATTCAGTCCTAGATGCTGGATGCATTTTCTGCCTCATCCCAAAAATCCTAGGTATAAATTTAGATTCACCTTACGGCACATCACTGATGTCCGGTTTCAGTGTCCTATTGATTTTTTTCATCTATTTTCTTTTCTCTGTATCAGCTTCTTGACTGCTACGTATCCTTTCAGACCCATAGTTAAATTGTTGTCTTATAGTGGACAAATGGACGGATTTCATTAGATCTTTAGCAAGAGTGGAGCTTGATTTTCTCCTCTCTCTCAAAGATAAAAGCTTTAAGTACTGTTTATCTGATGGTGACAGTGTTGGTGGTCTACCAGACCTCTATATCTGTGTTAATAATTTATTGAACCCAATTTTGGAAACTCCTATTTTTTCCACTTATTTCCTTTGACTTTCATTTTCCTTATGAAAGTGGATTATCTTATAAACCCCATTTCCTGAAAAATTGGGATTTTTGTAAAATCCAATAAAAACAAGAATCTGTGATGTCAATTCTCTTGAATATTTCTTTAACTGACAGAATTTTGTAAAATATTTTTTTTTTAATTTGATGCCTGTAACATAAAAAATTGAGACAAACGCAAAAAAGTGAAAAGTTTATAGAATATTCAAGTGACACCATTTTGAAATATTCTACAATAAGCAGGTGACTTGGTATCATAGGTAAAGCTATCATGAATTGGGTATAAAAGGAGCTTCCAGCAAAGGCTCAATCTATGCGAGCAAAGATAGGTCATGGCTCACCTCTTTGTGCCAAGCTTTGTATGAGAATTGTCAAAGAGTTCAAAAAGAACATTTCCCAATGCAAGATTGCAAAGAATTTAGTCCTTCACCAAGTATTGTGAAAAATCTCAGTCAGTGTAGGGCAAGGCTGGAAAACACTGCTGAATGTGTGTGACCTTTGAGCTCTCAGAAGGCACTGCATGAGAAACTGTCACACTGTGTGCTATGTTAAACATAGCCACATGGGCTCAGGGGTACTTCAGAAAACCACTGTCACTTAACACAGTCTGCTGCTGCATCATGAAATGCAACTTGAAACTCTATGATGCAAAGAGAAGGCCATACATCAACTCTATGCAGAAACGCCATCGAGTTCTCTGGGCCTTAGCTCAACTCAGATGGTCTGAAAGACAGTGGAAATGTGTGCTGTGGTCAGACGAATCCAGATTTCAGCTTGTTTTTGTAAAAAACGTTAAAAAACATGCTTAGTTATCCATGCCAAAGACGAAAGGGACCATCCAGACTTCTATCTGCAAAAGGTGCAAATCTAACATCTATCATGGTACGGGTATCATTGCCCACGCCATGGACGACTTGCATAAGTGTGAAGGTACCATTGACACAGAGGTGTACATTGGGATTTTAGAGAGACATATGCTGCCATCAAGACGGTCTCTTTTCCCGGGAAGTCCATGGTTATTTTAGCAAGACAATGCAAAGCAAAGCAAAAATAGGCATAAATTCCACTTGCAAAACTTCAACAATTAGTATCTTCAGTTCCGAGACAACTGAAGGTGTTATTAAAAAGCAAGGTGCTGTAACACAGTGGTAAACATGCCTTTTTCCCAACTTATTTTTTTCGAGTGTGTTGTAAGTTATTCTCACAAAACACAAATAAGTTGGTCAGTGAAAACACTGGAAATATTTTACTTGTACTTTTGTCAGTTAAATAAAGGTTTAAGAGAATTAACAAACTACAGATTCCTGTTTTTATTATTACACTTTTCCTGAAATGGTTTTTGCATATCTAATCTTCTAAGAACCCTCCTGAAAAATAAATAACTTATAGTAGGCTGTTCTGACTAGAAATGACACAAATTAAGGATGGTTTCTGACTTTTGCAACATTATGACTTACAGATCTGCAAAGATTTGGTTGACTTCAGGTCGGGGACAGAGGTTGGCGATGAATGATTTGTAAATATCGGAAGTTAGGTCCTCCAGAGGAACTGAATCATTCTGCATAGACACCAAATGAAAACAAAGCCATTCAAAACCCAATCCTTGCTTATGCATTTATCCTAATGTATCACAGTAATCATTCATCCTAATGCATCACAGTAATCAAAAAAGCTACTAAACACAACAATCATCCAATCCAGAGCAACTTCAAGAGCCTGGGTGCCGCCACATTCATCAAATAGTCAAACCAATTAATTGTGAACATGAACGAAAACATCAAGGAGTCTGGACTAAAAATAGAGGATGAGCTGTTGCTTTAATGCCATGCCGTCCAAAATTAATAACGACTAAAAGCTTTAAGCTGGCCTTCAAATTAATTACTGCTTTCTCTCCAAGTCTGGGGACGATCCGGTTAATCTGACTTTAAATCAATCGGATCATTTTAACAAATGCAATAATAAACAAAGTTGTCAGAGTGCAAATATTAGTCAGTGTCATCTCAATGTTGTCCTAGATTCGTCACTCCCCGGAAAACACTGAAAATATTCAAGCAAGGCAGTCAGTCTTGAAGGCCATGCCGAGGCCCAAGGCCGATTAATGCTTTGTTGGTTAAAAAAAATGGAGAGACCCGGAGAGAAAGAGATGAAAGGCTCAGGCAGTGTATGACTCACAGAGGAGGCACTGGGAATTACGCACTTTTCGCTTCAATCTCCAGAGACCTTTTAACATTATGGATTGGATTCTGATTTTTTTTTTTCTTTGGCACCACTTCAGCCTAGAACTTCCACAAAAATAAAATAAAAATACATATATACACAATAAAGCAAATAGGCCTTCCCTGCTGCTACAAAGATGGAGACATAAAATTACATTTGTTAAACCGTTGGAGAGGCTTGTACACCTGTTTCACGGAAAATAAAAAAAATAAAACTGATGGAAATAAAATGAATTCAACACGAGTTTGTATACGATAAAACGTCCTAAACAAGTCTCTAACAAAGTAGAGTGGTACACAGTGAATATTACTAAACACTAAACACAGCTGAAGTCATATATGCTATTCATCAAATGAGACATAGCCGCACTCAACCCGTGGGCATGCCTCAATGCAGTTACTGGTAAAGACGATGCGATCACTTCCTGTCAGAATGTGAACTCATGCCATCTCCCAGCAGGAACCTGGAGTGATTAGCTAAACATATGCTCACCCTGCCTGATGGAAGATTACAGCTCTCCAGCGCGGTTTCTACACGCTTTCTGTCAGTCGAGAACATGCGAAATATGCTGCACAAAAGAGATATCATAATCTGATTATTCTCTCAGGGACTCTTCATCATTTCTTTATTGCAAAAGTAAGAATTTAGAACATTTTGATCGCATCCGGTGACTTACTTCTTCACTGGAATACGTCCCTCTTGGTTTGGCTGCAGCTTCAGTCTTGTGTAACTGATTTGAAAAAAAAAGCATCATTTTCAGGGAGAGACCAAAAACTATTTAAAATACAGCTCTTAGAATGGCATTACAAGAAAAACAAAGGAAGGTGAAGTAAAATAAAAGGCAATGCAAACAGATGGGCCTCTTTTGTTAATGCATGAATAGGTTTTGATGCCTTGACAGCTTGGCAATGTAAATTCAGTCTCACATGATGCTGCCCTGAGGCTAATAGTCAGGTGTGAAAAGCTCCTGGTCACAGTCATATTTCATCCAAAGTCACGTTGATGAATTTACACCATGAGAGATTATCTGCAGGTGCTTACGCTTTTTCCAGGCTGGCCTCTCTATTCATGTTCTGAGCCAGCAGGTTGGATGCCAGACTAAACAAGTCCTCTGCCCACTCCTTTGTGGATGACAAAACACAACAAAAGAGGCAATATCCATTAAAATAGGTCAAGTGCCCCTCCTGAAAATGTTCTGTAGAGATATCTCAATGACAAAATGCAGCATTAGTGAATATTTCCCACTCTACTGATGGGGAATTCAATTACTAGCATGATAGCCCCTCAGCAGCTGGAACGTCAAATACCTTTGCCACTTCCTCCTGGAAAGCCATGAAGTTCAGATAGGTGATGTTGACCATGTCAGGACCTGTGACCACCGTCAGCATCTTGTTTTCTATCCGTCCCACCAGGTTTCCGACATCTAGTAACTCTCGCAGCTTGGCTTCCTGAAAAAAGATTGAGCCCATTGCCGATTAGGGTCAGAGTTAGTCAATTAAACAGTGGCTGTGATGAGTAGGTTTATATGAATGTTAGTTATATATGTCATTTAAAACCTATACATAAATGTATTGAATTTACACAGTATCACACCAGAAGCAGATGCCAGCAATAACTTTCAACCAAATTCAAATAGTAATATCCATCCATCCATCCATCATCTAAACCGCTTATCCTTCTGGGTCTAGGTGCTGGAGCCTATCCCAGCTGTCATTGGGCATAAGGCAGGATACACCCTGGACAGGTCGCCAGTCCATCGCAGAATAGTAATATCTCATCTCTTATTAAAAACATACGTGGCATTGACTGAAAGTCCACAATCTGCACTTTCAACAGAATTTCTCTGCTTGTTCCCCCAAGCTATGAGGGACAAATAACTAATAGTGAAAAACACAACCTCTAAAGGTGCGGTGGGCATCACTCAGAGCATGCTTCTGTTATCACCAGCAATAACTGTGACTTCTAAGGGTTAAAGAAGGGTCTGGCGAAAGTCTTTGGTGGACTGGCTTCACTGTCAGGTGAGGCTGATAGGGAGGAAGGGTTAATTAAAGCCTGTACTTTGCGCTGTGGGGACTTTCTGGATAAAGAGGAGGGCCCTGTTGCCAGGGGTGACATGCTGGTGGTGGGAAGTAAGCAGTCAGGACTTAAGCTGGGGCTCATTATTGGTGAAAGTAGAAGTATGTGGTGTGCAGAGTGAGCACTACCATTATCTGCCACAGCACTGCACCTACAGAGAAAATGCATACTCTGCTGAACCATGCAAGATGGGGTGAAACAACCTAGCCCTCTCCTGACTCATAAAATCCTAGAGCTGTGCAGATATTCCAGTCACTTAGTAGTGTACCTGTCTTCATATATTCATACCTACTGCTATAGTACTTTAGTGCTATATAAAGACCTGCTCAACACCTATAGATGTCATTAGCTATGAAAGGCCAGTACATTTTGTACATTTTCTTCTACAGCTTCCGTTTCCAGCTTGCAGTTTGCTACAGGGACAGATATGACATGCAGCTTTGATTCTGGATGTGTCAAAACATTTGGAATTTAATAAGAAACCAGCCTCATTAATCAAATTGTTTGTACACTGCTTGGTGTCTCAAGTTTGATTCCTTAGTTTTGCTGTGGCTACTATGTATGTTAGAAATATATATAACCCAAAAAGATTTTGGGTAACAAACTTGAATTACATTTCAGTTATATTTGCCTCACAGTGCCAGTGAAAAACTACATAGACGAATTTCAGACACAAAATACGTCTTAACTCAACACGTATGTTTGGGAAAAGGAGACTATGTTTGTGTAAACCAACGTGACCTAACTGCAATATTGTGATGCACTATGATTAGAGACGTAAAAGATGAACTGATTAACCATTAACCAACAAATAAACATTTGTTTAAACAAAACTATTGGGTAAAAAAAACATTGAATGAAATATATATATATATATATATATATATATATATATATATATATATATATATATATATATATTTCATTTTTAGTAAACAACAGTTCCTACTTGAATACATTAGTTATTCATTCAAGTTGAAGAACTTCTTAAACTAGAGGACACAACAGAGAAGTGGTTCTGCAAAAAAGGCCTACCAAAAAATGAAGCATCCAGCCAAAATGGTGTTGTTTTGGACTACTTCTTGATAGTACAATTACAGTGTACCACATCAAAAGCAGACATCCACAAGTGATAAGCCAGGCGACTATTTTGTCCGTGTTCTCCAAGAGCTGTGCCAATTTCACAGTCACTTAGAACTTAAAAAGTCTGTTTTCACAATTTTACATTGACACTTTCAAGTCTTGCATCCATATTTACTTACTTATTTATGTGTTCATACCCTTTGCTGTAGTACTATATTTAGAGGTATCTACTTAACACCTATAGAAGTCCTTAGCTATATAGGATCATCTTCTACAGCGACAAAGTGCATGGCATGGCAGCATTAAGAAAACACATATAGGTGTGCAAAATTATAGAGAAAGACGTGGTGTATGCCGATGGCTTTCGAGAGCTATTGAGGTACACTGAGCCAAAACTAGCTCTTGTTATGGCATTTATGTTCATTTTAATGTGGGCTAGTAATGAGTTGATGTAATGAATAATTTTTATAATGTAGAACTTTCAGAAGGCCGTCATTGTATATTCCAGTCATTTCACCAACTTTTTAGTTTTGGGTCATATAATCATGAACACATAGTTGTCAGCCCCTCGGTTTAAACAAAACCGGGTTCTTAGGTAGAGTATGTTTAATACAGTATACACGCCCCCATGCCTAACCTCACCTATCAGTACTACAGTCCATGGAACACTTTTTAATATCTTGGTGCATTAATACAGTACTCAGTTGATGTGTGTGCTCTTAAATGTGCATATACTAAGTAATTTACAATGGATTCAAATGTGGCTCTGCCAATCAGATTTTAGAACTGAAACTATCTGTTTTATCATTGAATCATTTATTTTCATGAGTTGCACCTTAATCTTAGGCTCAAAGTTATTTGTCAACTAAAAAAAATTGCCATGATATATAAAAATGATGGATTGTGATGAGCATCTTATCATGAGCTATTCGGCAACACCAAGCCCCATACAAAACACTCTCTCTCTCCTACACTCAGCTTTTATCAGTATATGAGCCTGTTCAACAGGTGCATTGGACCCTACTGTTCCTGCATCAGCTGCCAAAGATAATTACAATGAAATGCAATGACTTTCCAATCAAGAAGTGATTTTCTGCGTGCTATCTGTGGCACAGCCGAACGAATGGCTGAACAAATACAATTCGGTGCAAAAAGACTGAGACTGGAGATTCAGGTTGGATGAGCACAAGCATGATGAAACTACAGGGAACACAGAGATAAAGCTGAAAAAGGAGACGAAGGAGACAAAAAATCCTGATTATTTCAGGTTCATAAAAAACCCCTACCCCTGGTATACAGAAACGGTGCCGACAGTTTGTTATTCAACACCAAATAAGTCGATAAAAAAATGTGCTTTTTATCTAAAGGAGTTTACTTATATTCATCAGCCATGTGAAGAGGCTGTAGCACTCTTCAGCCAGAATGGCCTCACACTGAGCGTGCAGAGGAAGGTTACATGAGGCAAAGCGGCTAAGAGACGCTTGTCGCTTTTGTATCTGGTTTGCTAGACAACCACCAGTGTGCTTCAGTGATAACCAGAGTGGAGTTCGCTCCTACTCATCATGACTCATAGCTCTGTTCTGGCCCATGTTGGCATCTTTGATATATTTGGTTCAGACGCACAGGCCAATTTTACACTTTAATTCTATGCAGTTTGCCAAAAATAGGTTTTTGGGAGATTTCACTTCCTGGATTTCCCTGCTTCAGTTCTAATTCTTTATCTACCTTTTTATTTTATTTTCAAGTCTTTCAACTTTTCTAATTCATGCTTTTTCCACAGATCTTTCTCCAGTCACTGTGGGAGGTTAAAGGAACAATCACACGTTTTCAAGGCAATGTTTGTGTTTTATTGTTCAAACTACAGATTTCTATTACTGATCTACCCCAGTTAGTCCTACTCACTTACTTTATTATTACATGCCAGTTCTAAAATCATTGGATTTTCTTTACCCTAATGAGAGCTCTATAGCACGGATAGATTAGACTCCAAGAAAATCCTTTAGAGTGGCTACAAGAGATTTCATTAAGAGTGGGGAAGGGCTTGATATACCCTTGAGTATGTGCCAGTATGCTTAATCTTCCTTCAAATTTTAAGGTATGAACTCAGAATTAGAGGAGGGTTTCACTGTTTTTCAACCCACAGTTTATTAAAACTGCTGTCTGTCATTATTTATAATCATGCACAACCTTAACGATGGTTTACGTGCTGAGAAATCTTCTGCTCCTATGCAGTTTCTCACCGGCCTTAAAGACAGTCCAAAGGGGCAATAGGTTAGGGCAATAGCACCTCTCCTTCTTGAAAAAATGGGAATCTCACAGTTTAATCATATCTGTCTTTATATGTTCTCTTGGCTACATACTTACCAAAAGCATGAAGTTGTAATCCTGGATTAAACGCAGTGTTACTGTTAAAACATGATTTGACTAAACACAAAACGCACATGCCCAGTGAGAAGCAGCAGAGGAGTAAGTTTCAGTATTACAGCTTTGGTTCATGATTATAAATGACCAGAAACAACAATTTTCATAAGGTCTGAATTTGTAAAACAGTGAACATCTTCTTTAACATTTTGAGTGGTTTAAACAAGTTTTCACATGTTTGGGGCAAGAAACTGATGGGGTTATAGGGAAAGTAAATTGGATTTAGAATTATCTTCACACTTGCAAATTCTTTGCCAATAATTCTGCAAGTCAATAGACATGACACACAATGATGAGCTAAGGTTAGAGACCACCCTCCATATGTGTGATTTCCAGTCAAAACAGCTACCAAGTTATTCATTTTTCAGTATCAGGAAAAAAGCAGATAATTGTTCAGAAGCCTCAACAACTAAATAAAACATAAATGTATTCAGTTCTCAGTATGTTCACTCTTTTCCTTTATCAGAGCTTCCATTCTTTTCAGTAGCTGTGCTTTCAGTTTTTCAAAGAAACCCGCAGATATTTTTCCACACCTCCGAAGTTTGGTTTTAAAAGTTGCTTGAGGTCTGGACACTGTTCTGGGAACACCCGCAGCTTCTTTGTACGGCTTTTTCAGTAACAGTACTGATAACTTCCTATCCTTTCAGACCCACAGTGTTGGTCTTCTCATAGCGGAAAAAGGGCCAGAAACACCTGTGGATTTTTCACATCTGAAGCAAAAATGGAGCTTGATTTTCTTCTCTCACACAGAGGAGAAGACTTTATGCTTACCTGATGCTGACAGTTCTCAGAAATCTCCTAATAAATATTCTGAAAAACAGATGACTTGTACTTAACGGCTGTTTTGACTGGAAGAGAAATAAATAAAGGGTGGCCTCTCACTTTTGCACACCCCCGTAGTTAGCCATAGTTAGCTGTGGGCCATTCTAACAACACTCAACACTCAACATTCAGTAAAAAAGAGGGAATACCTGACTATCTTTTTATGCTATTTTTAAGAACACCACACTGCTGCCAGGTGCCTTCCTTGCTACACACAAAAAACAACAGTCATACCACATGCTTTGAGCACATACGGATCACTGTCTTTCTTTTTCTTTTAGTAATGTACGTCCCAAGTTCCCTCCCCAACCCTCACCTCCACCCACACACATAGCAAATCTATGGTAATCAATGATGATTCTGCTCAAACATTCTCTCTCTCTCACACACACTTCTGTCCAAGTGAGAATGGTCCAAAATGCATATTCATTATAGTCGCCGTGCTGGGGAGGTGGAGGCTTTGGATCGGATGAGTCAGCCGCGAATAAGGGGAGGGCTGCAACCTGTCTGCAGTGAAACACTGTTGTTTGTGTTGTCACCTTGTCCTTGCTCCGGCTCCTCGCCATGTTGGATGCCCTTTCTTCCTACCTCATTAGCTCATGTGCCTATGGCTTTGGTCACACACAGCGAGCCTTTCCACAAGAGTTTCTATGGCAACAATCCATCAAGGCTTTGCTGCCACTGGGAACAGGATTTTGCCAAATGTTTAGCCTGTCTTCTAGCAAAGTGAAGCTCCACAGTGCCTCTGGTTTGACCAGCTTTGTACTCGAGAGGCACGATGGCTGCGTCTCTCTCTCTTTTCCGACCACCAAAGCAAACTGACTGCCTGCCCTCTACGACAATGAGATTGTCTGTGCCAGAGAAACAGGGTATTAATTTTGCAGATAAGATCATTATAACAATTCAGAGACATGAGCACAATTAAATTTGCGGCTGCACAACTTTAAGCGATTATTGTAATTGCAAAAATTTGGAGAGGGGGTGGAAAAGAACATTTGTTCTTCTTGTGCGACAGCTGAATGAATTGAAGGGCTCTGCTAATGAGTGGTAATTCTATCCTCAATACCATCCTCAGTCTAAAAATACATTTTCCTTTATGTGTGTCGTATGTCTGAATCACTATATACTGTATTTTAAGCAAAACATTGCATATTTTTAAATATAAACTAGAAGTTAGGCTGAGAAGAGGTACAATGGCAGGCTGAGGATTTTAAACCTCTGTTTAGCTTTGACATCCAAACCGACATTCGGGCTCTCCTCTCCTCTAGAAGCGTGTCAACAGATGGGGCGGCCTGATTTCATGGCAATGATGTTGAGCTGCTAATCCTCCTAGAGGCACTTTTTGCTTGAGAAGAAGTGGGCAGGAATCAGAGAGCAGTCTCTTCCTGCACTCCTCTCTGGCCCAGGTCCTGCTAGATCTTCTGCCTGCTGGGCTGAGTACGGATGGCTCAGCGCCCAGAGAGAAGAAAGTTGTTGCTGAGGTAAGGTGTCTTCTTGTGAAATGCAATTTAAAACTTTATATATATACACATGTATACACACACTCAAACACAAATCGCACATACATAGCTATTGATATGAATGCATTGTTCATTTCTGGCTAGCAAAAATAGTTTCTAGCAAACCATATGTTCATTACCAAGAGCAGCACCATCAGCAAAGCACCAGTGGCTTTCCAACAGATGGGTACACATAAACAATCCACTACTTAATCCCACGATGTGATTTGTAATATCGCCTTAATTTGACTCATATACATTTGTGGAATAAATGTCTCATTATCTCTTGCCCAATTTCCATTTTTCCACAGCCTCAATTGCCTGTTACAGTCCTTGTAGTACTCTACTGAGACGGTCAAACACTCTCACTGAGGCTTTCATGAAACTCTAGAAATATAAAGAGACATCCAGATAGACAAGAGATTACAGACAAGGGCAGCTGTTAGTGTAAGATGACTAGCTTTTCTCTCTGATTATGCTTCCCTTTGCTGTGCTATCAAACTGATCATGAATTGAATGGCCTTCTTTTCAAAGTTCACACCTCACAACAAATTTTATAGCAAGAAAGCGTAACAAACAATAGCATGGCATTTATGTTCCCTCTGTACATAATGGCAATGAAACTGTGTTGTGCAATCACGCGCTGATAACACATTAAAACCAAATGGTTTTCTATTATGGGCTTACTGTGCCTTTGGGAATAAGAATAGTGATTAGAGATGGAGATCTCATCATCGCTCCTGCCTATTCAGTTTTCATTGCAGCCAAGAGATCATTCAGTGATCTACTGCATTAGCATGACATATTATGCTACTTCCCCCGACAGTGTAGATTCTCACATACATTACTGTGCAAAAGTCAGAGACCAACCTTCATTTATTTAATTTCCAGTCAAGCCATTTAGCTGTTAATTTTTAAGTGTTAGAAAAAAAGCATTCTGTATATTTAACAACAAATTACACAGAAGTCTCAACTAAACTAAATACGATATCACTGTTTTCAGTATTTGTCCATGCTTAGCCTTAGTTTCAGTTTTTCAAGAAATCTGCAGGGATATTTCTCTAAACCTCCAAATTTTAGTCTTAGAAGTTGGTTGCATTTTCTGCTTCTTACAATCCAAATAATCCCAAATGCATTCAATGATGTTGAGGTTTTCTTTTTCTTTTTTGTCTGTTTCCTTTTCTCAAAAACGGCTTTTTGGACAGCAGCACATCCTCTCAGACCCCTAGAGCTGAGTTGTCTTCTCACAGCGGAAGGGTGGACAGAAACACCTGCAGATTTTTTTCAGATCTGAAGGTTGATTTTCCTCATCTCTCAAAGATGAAAGCAGTACAGTTTATCTGAAGGTGACAGTTTTGGTGGTCTACCCCATTTTCTCTGCATTTATTTTTTTTTAAATCATTTTTTAAACTCGAGTTCTGGAAAGTTTTGTTTTTTCACTTATTTTCCTTTGACCTTCTCCTTCCTTACGCAAGTGGATTATCCTATATTTATCTCCTCAGAAATATCTCCTGAAAAATGAATAACTTGTACATAACGGCCATTTTGGCTGGAAATTAAAGAAATGAAGAGTGGTCTCTGACTTTTGCCAAGTATTCTATTTGAAGACAATACTACGAAATCCTTCCGCAGCAGTGTATCTGTCTCTCTATCGTGTTTCATTTGTCATATTTCATTAGGTGCTGAGTAATACATTCAATCATTCCGGAAACATTCCCTCAGACAGCATCTCAAGCTTCTTGACACGAGATTGAGTTTCTCATTAATTTTCTCTCTTTTTTTTTTTAAACGGCTTCAACCTCACTGTGCACGGGTGAGTGGATGGTTCGCAGTGAAGCTGCGGGCACCTTCATATGAATGTAAAAGCATAAGATTTATTCAGTCAACTCTGACACAGGCACAGCACATTTCCCCTGACTTACTTTCAGCCGTGACCCTTAAGCCATTCCGCAGCCCTCAGAAATCTCTCTAAGATGTTGTCTAAACTGCTGCACAGTTTGCCTCAACAAAGAGGAGGGAAAAGGGGAGGAATACTGATTATAAACCATGTTACACACAACAGCACGCATCCAATCTGAGCAGGATTTAGGGACATTTGGCCTGGTTAACAAAAATAGCCACATGTGTTTCACATGTACGAGATGTTAATGATACAGTTTTTTCCTCTTTGTCCTTGTCATTTGTAATTAAGTATGCAGATAGCCTAGGTACGAACCCTGTAATCTCCTTTTGTTGGTTTAGGATATGTGTGCGTATGTATATATAAAAAAAAAACAAGTTCCTCCAAGAGACCTGGAAAACACTGATACTTTTTTTAGCTTTGAGTATGAGTCCAGATGCCTGCCTCTGGCACTTCAGCCCAGACTCCATAGCCCATTACCCTCATTGAGAGATTCTTATCACCCACGAGTGCCATTAATCTATATTTAGTACAGGGGCAGGACATACAGTAGGTGTAATAGGTAAGCCTGCACTTTAACTAGGATGTACTGGAAACCTAATAAGAGGGAGCAGATGCAGACAGTTGGGATAGTATGTTCTGAAGAGAATACAGGGGGTCATTACACATAAGGAGCATTAGGGCTGCTGGCTGACACTCTTACCTTTGGTGTTTTGGTGCATTTCCCAGTTCTTGCATCCTTGATATAGGTGATGTCCAGTAGATCAGTTTCCTGTCATGATTAAAAAGAGTAAGCATCATGTATTATGTTGTTTATAGTCTCATACATTTGTGAATAACAATAGATACATTTTGCAATTATGGCATTTATCAGATGGTCTTATCCAGAGTGACTTCAGAGGTAGGTAAACACAGCATCAGGAGACTTGCCAAAGGACTCTTATTGGCAGAGGCCAACCATGACTATTTGAGCTTGGAATACAGTTCAGGACAGTTCAGGACATAAAAAAACACCTATATGTCACTGCTAATCTCTTCTAGCACCCTTATAGGATTCTACTAGTATACTAGCACTAAGCTAACTGTAATGCTCATTATTATTTTTGTTGGCTGTTCTACATTAAACAGGGACATTTGAAGCTTTCATATTCCAGACATTCCACATTTTAAATGAAGCTGGCAACAGACATATTAACATGTTTTACAGTGACTCAGTAATATCTGTAATATCATCTGTAATATCATCTAGTGATCTACCATGTACAGCCTTCTGTTCAGCTCCTGAAAGCCTAACCAGTTGGAGAGCTCACTTAGCTACATCTACTTAGATGCTACAGAAAAATAAATCTGATTGGACAATTTTCTGATGATTGTTTTAACTTTTGGAATTTAACTCTTATTTCCAACCAAACATTTACAATAAAATAAAAGTATTACTACAATACTACATGTATGATGATTTTATTAAATAAAAATGAAAAATTACAGGGGTGTACATTACAGAATGAATTATTTCACAGAATGGTCACTGAGCATTCTCCACTGCCTATACAATTGGTGTGTATATCGTTGCTGTTGCAAAAAAAAATCTCTCTCTTAAACAGTAACTTCAAATACATATATTTGTATAACACAATTTACAGTGGACACCAAGGCAACAAGGCAACCGTGCCAGGTCCAAACCCCTAATGAGCAACCTTCACAGGAGAAGGAAAACGTTCTAACATCTGTTAAGCTAACGAGATTAACAAGTAATTGTGAACCATATATACCAGTCCATTCACCTGGAAATGTCCACACTACGTAAAGGGCAGCCAGCATGTTAAATGGTGTTTTTGTTTATTTATTTTTTAATAATAATAATTTAAAAATGAAGACATGAGTTTTTCTTATAATGAATCCCAGGTGAATTCCTAACACTGAGAGGCTGCCATGCAGCGCATGACATGAAAGAATGCGACTGACACAGGAGGTAAAAAGAGGTAATGTAAAACAGAATGGTTGTTTCTGACTCAGGTCACTGTGAATCCAGTTCAAAGGGACAAGCTGACAAATTTAAGCTAAAATATTCATGTGAAAAAAACATGCAATTACTGAGCGCTGCACTGTCTCCTACCGCCTAAGAAATACTGACGTTTATGCCTTCAGACAACTGCAGCAAAACCGAGTGCAATCTAAATCTGACAGTGTCCTCATGGCATGGTCGAAGAGCAATGAACTATGCCAGCGCAGGAAAAAATTAAGAAAACATTTGCTGTTCAAATTGATTAATTCAAAACTAAAAAATGTTAAAAGCTAAATATGATGAGATTAATGAGACTTTAGCCATCACTTGCTGTTATCTCTGCTCTTCTGGTTCTTAACAGGGAAAATCCTGTGTTTAATTTATATAATTCTTTTTTTACACATAAATGTTATTTAGCCAGGGAAAGTAAGAAAGCTCATCCCATGTTTATCATAAAAAAAGAGTGGGGTAATAATCTGTTTCCAGGCATTCCTACATAAATCATCAGTGTTAGCTTTACCAATCCTTTCATCAAAGCCCAGTATGTAACACATACTGTAATACATAAATGTAAAAAATGTAACAAAAATGTAATAAATAGTTTTACACAATTTATACAATAGTGTAACATTTATACAATTTCCTCAAGTGTCTAAGACTTATTAGCATATTAATGCTCTTAAAGGCCAACCTCTCTTGGACATAACTGCAATCCTAAAACAGCTTGACTGAAAATATAGTAATACCAATGCAAAACAGTGGGGGGTCAGAAGGCTGGCAAAGACATTGGGTTTCAACACGTTTTTCAATTCAGGCTAAAAACAAAAAAAAATATATATTCTCTTTACATTATTATAAATCAATATCCTAAAAGGAGAAGTTTTAAAATAAAAAAGTGACCAGGACAAGCTTTGCGCTGGGAGGTCTCAGTTGTGGATAAACACTGATAAGCAGTTTTCAATGCCGCTTTTTTCCTCACTACTGATTAAAAAAAAATTGGCTGGGATTAAAAATATGATAACTTAAGGGCTGAAATTTGAGTATATAATCTTACAGAAGCTAAGACCATACCTGACATACAGTACGTATGCGAGAGAGAATTCCATTAAATATCCCCCTCTTTAAAAAAGTTTAAACTAAACTATCAATCTAGCTGTTTTTTACTTGTATTAACAGTATGTACTTTATAGAATGTCACATCATAATGCATTTAGGCCTAATTGTCTCTGTCCCTATTGTGGCAGGGACTATTTTCCTACAATGTTAAGATGGTTATTAGCTCACTCATAGCATATGCTAAACGTTACATTTAAGACTGTGAGTCATTACGTTCAAGTAAATGTCATATAATGCCAGTGTAGAAAAATTTTTTATAGAACAACAGACATCATTAACCAAATGGAAGATATGACTTCATTGTAGTATATGAAGATATAGTACAGTGAGCGGTGGATGGATTTAAAAACACTATCTCTTTGTTAGACTGGTTCTAGTGAAAATGTCTACTGTGTCAACTATGCAATATTAATAATAAGGAAATCAATAATTTATATGCCAGTTTGAATAATAGGCTTCCATTTTACATGTTCTCTACTCTTTCTCTATCTCCATCACCTGGATTAACAAGACAACTATGAAAATTTAGCCACGGCTGTAAGCGCTTGACTAGCACCATGGCAACAGGGGAGGGAGGTTGTCTATGAAGGGGACTTTGGGTTATAGCAATTTCAAGGCAGGCATCAGACACACATGAAATAAGCTTGTGGAAGGTACATTCGTAGACAACAGATGTGACCTAACAAGACCTGTGCATTACTTGTTGAGAATCCATTCCGTCTAAGCGATCAAACAGTCAGAGTAGTATGCTGAACACTACAGTCTATTGACCTCCTAGGCAAAGAATAAGTCATACAGCTAATACAATGGAAACAGCCTAGTCCTACTGGGGACTAAATGAGTGTCATGTTTTCCTTGCCTCTCACTGGTGACAAGCCAGACTGCAGTGCTATAAAAATAGAAGCACAAGTATTGATCAAAAGACCCTTGGTTTGCATAACACTACAGCAAGCTATTATTTTACTGCCAGTGGCGAATGTTTACGATTTCCTAGCATATTTGTTACAAAAGCAGAAATGTATTAGGACACATAGTAAGCTATGACTTGGTGAGTGGACTGCTGCATTTTTTCTCAGACACAATCGTCACATGGAACGCGGTTGTTCTGTCCAGAACATAATGTGCTTTCTCCTACTCTTCCAGCATATCCTCAAAAGATAAATTACAGAGAGCAGAGTCAATTTTATCTAATTAGTGCGTACAAATATTGCTCCATGGATATGTCTTGGTCTCTTCAGTATGTTTTATTCAACAGCATCTGGAATCCAAATTGAATTAATGAATACATGCACACTACTACTTTGCTGCACAAATCTCCCAAGATTACTTGATTCCTTGATTTCTCTAATAAACGTGATCCTATACAAAGATTGCTTGTGGTGACGATATGTGTCACAGTGTCCTACAGTCCTGTGCAGAAGTCAGAGACCACACTTCATTTATTTAATTTCCAGTCAAAACGGCTGTTAAGTACAAGTTATTCATTTGTCATAGGCAGGAGAAAACAAAACACATATTTAACATAAAATACACAGAAGTTTAATCAATAAATATAATTTTAGTATTTATTGTGTTCACTTTTTGCTTTTATTACACCTTCCATTCTTTTCGGGAGAACTGCTTTAGTTTTATAAAGAAATGTGCAGTGATGTGTTTCTACACCTCAAAAGTTCAGTCTTGAAGTTGGTCACATTTTCTGCTTCTCGCGATCCAAGTAATCCCAAACTGGGGACTCTGGTGTGGTCAGTCCATTGTTCTAAGAATGCAGCAGCTTCTTCGTTTAATCTGCAAATTGTCTTCTTTTTTGTCTATTTCCTTTTCTCATTAAGGACTTGACAGCTGCACATCCTTTCAGACCCATAGTGTTGAGTTGTCTTCTCACAGTGGATGAACAGAAACAACACAGAAATCTGAAGGATCTGAAGAAGAGTGGAGCTTGATTTTCTCTCAAAGATGAAAGTGGTCTACCAGGTCTTGCATGGTTGTTAGGAGACCTATTTTCTCCATATCTTTTAATAATTTTTGAACCCCAGTTTCAGAAATCCCTGTTTTTTCACTATTTTCTAATAGATTCCCTAACAAATGAACAACTTACACATAATGGTCATTTTGGCTGGAAATTAAAATAAATAAAGTGTGGTCTCTGACTTTTGCACAGTACTGTGGGCTGTATTTTGTCTGATTCATCTAATCATTATGGATTTTTAAAGGGGACAACAATAGTTAGGTGTAGGTTAGCCTTTCTTTCCAGGTGGTCACAAAAAACTGACCCACACAGCGCTAGACAGTGAGTAGTGTGTCACCAATTTCCAACTTGATCTTTCTCTTTAGCTATATTACAGGACTTTCAACTGTAGTTGCTATGCCAAGAAAACACATTCAAGGTCAACACAACACATGCGTGGGTAGCCCTGGTGCAACATGAAGAGCAAAAATGCTCCCTTTTCAGAGAAGTACAGCCAGTTTTCCAGACACACAGTACATTAAGCCTAGTACAGTGCAACTTGAGGTCAGGAGAAACAGAGTTGGAAAGATTTAGTTCTCAATTTTTGTGTATTACTGAAACATTTAATGATATGGGACTTGCGGTGAGCATGTCACGGAAGGTGAATCTCATGTTAATGACTACTATGGGAGGAAGATTTAGATCAAATGCGGTAAACCATCTGAATTGTAAAAATTAAGACTTTGTTTAACAATTAACGACGTTACCTTAACTGAACTGTAAAGCTGAAATACATTAATGCACACTCATCACAGTCTACTGTATATGTAAATGTGACTGCAGCCAAGAATAATATATTTCTTAACTAAATGCTTGACTCTTGAGATGTTTAATAAGCACCAAAGGCACCATCCTTTACAGTAAGAGCATAAGCCCTTTCTGCACAGAACATTATTTTATCCTAAGGAGAGATAAGTGAAATTCAGTACTGGTTTGAATAAAATAACACTGCCATCATTTTCTATTCTTGCTGAAGCATCCACTCCCACTGAAGCACAATACTGCCTCATTTCATGATGTGATTTCCTGCACTGGAACCTCACCCACTCACAAATCTATTTGGATCATTTTGAAAGCAATTACTATTGAGCACAAAGTATGAGAAGCTATTCTAATCACCCGACCAGTCATGCTATTCTTTAGAAAGATGGCTGCTAGCTGAATTGTAATAAATGAGCAAAATTATTCAAAACTTTTCCAAAACAGTGTTCATTTTGAACAGCATCTACTGATATTACATATTCACGCTTGTTGAGAATCATTATGTAAATTTAAAAAGGTCATGCTGAAAACATTTCTAAAGTAGTTAAATAGGCAGACATAGTCATTAGAGATGCACAACATATCGGCACCCTATTTATTATTCACTAATAAATGAGAAAATCCTTACTAACCTACTGGACACATCTCAAATTTCTTAACTTTTTAAAACTTCCTACAAATTACTTGAAACCTATAAAGTTTTAGTGCACCAGCATCATAATAGAATCATAGCAAACATGTACTCATAACAAAATTTGCGTTATATTAAAGAAAAGTATGATTCTAAACATCTGAATGGTGGTTCCAGCCTTTAAATCGGTAGTATACAGCTTACAAGATTTGGATTCAGATCTTTAAAGGAGCATAAAAAAGCCTCTGCTTTCAAAATACTGGCCGTGTGTTATTTGCAGTGGTCATGCCACCTCAATGAGTATGGCATAAAAGGAGTTCACCGCTGAAATCAAGGCTACGCAAGCAAAAGCACAGTGAACACATTCACTGACATATACATCAAAAATATATAGAAGCTTAAATTTCTTTATGTGGCTATTCAATGGCTCAAAGCAACAGCTGCAGGTTAAAAATCACATAATGGAATGCAAACCACACTTACTCGCCATGCCTAGTTTAATCTCAGAACCCAGAACCTTTAACAATCTCATGCTTGACTGGAAAGCAGCCCCTCACTGGTGTAAATAAAATGATTGGCACCACAGAAAAAGCACTGTCTGCCTTGTGTGCTGTGGTTCGCCAAATTAATCCCTATGTCCAAATATCTCCATGCCCACGCTTTTGTGTACTAACTGTCAGACTCTACATTGCTTTGAGAAGTTGTGATACAGAGAATATGCCTGGCTAGTCATGTGCTTCCTATGCCATCCTCACCTCACTGCCCTACTATCTTCTGCTTCTGTGTTTACAGAAATGCTAAAAAACAGCTGTCAAAATAACTAGCTTCAAAAATAGCAACCTGTGCAGGAATTAATGATGAGAACCAATTTATTGTGGTCTCACAGTGCTAACTATTACAGATGTAACAATATTTTGTGAGTAGAGATGGCACTAATTCAATACCAGATATCAGCATCGGGCCAATATCAGCTTCATTCTATTAATTATGCCATCTAACTCAGTTATACACAAAGGTCACAATCAACTTAGAGGGGAACCCCACCATTTTTTCAAAATTTCTGCATATTTAAATTGTTAGGATGTTAACAATTTTATTCAAAGTGGTTGGATGTAAAATGTCTAAGAATCTAGAAAAACTTACCATGCCAGAATTTTCCATTTTGCTGGTGATGGGAACCAGATGTCTGAAACATTGAGCGTCTTTAAAAGAAAGTTATTATATGAAAAGGTTATGAATATGCTGCCTGATGTCTGTATTATTTTACAATAGTTTTGTGTAAGGGTGGGCGATATGACAATATTTTATTGTTATTGTGATAAATTATGTGACAGTATGCTTTTCTGGGCATACCGTGGACATTGTCAGTACTTAAAAAAAAAACTGCTGATTTTGTTTCATTATAAAGTAAGCATAATTAAGCCTGTTTAACTGGATACAGTTTATAAAACAATAAAGCTCATTCTATTTGTACACTTATTATTACAGTATTTTTATAGCATCTGGCACTACAGGTTCTATTTAGTCTGTTCCAACTTATTAAATCTCAGAAAAACTAAATATTGTGATGTATATTGTGTATCGTAAAAATGTCCTGAAACATCGTGATATAATATTATTGACATATCTCCCACCTCTAGTTTCCCAATAAGCTTTTGGTCTAAAACATTTTTTTCTGAAAAATTCATTCATGGCGGAGCAGGACTCTGTAAGGCAAAATCATCCACCCCTAGTTTCACGATAAGCTTTTGCCTTAAAACATTTTTTGTAATTCATTTATAGCGGAGATGCACAAGCAGGATGTTGTAAGCAAAATAGTACCCAAACAAAACTTATTTTTCAGATTCCACTATTTTACTATTATCACCATTACATAGGAAAAGACACAGGAAGCATGTGCAGGCGTGCTGGTCATTTTGGACAGTAAATAAAATGGCTGTATTTACATTTTAGACATCACAACCTCCAGCTCCTATATCACTGTTGTACAGAAATATCAGTTGGCAATGTTCTCTACAATGCAGCGTTTCACATTAAACCATTCTGAATCCTTTACATCTCTACAACTTAATGCAGAAATTTTGAAAAATCTGTAGAATTCCCCTTTAACCTACACCAGTACCTTCAATGTCATTCATCACACTTCCAACTCTTGTCTAATTAGCAGGTTGTGCAATGACATGGATCAGTTACCACTTTTTCTTCATTCAAATTGTGAACCCAGCAACATAAATTGAATTGTGAGCAGAGCGCATCATTACACCTCTGCTGCGCATGAAAAACTGCACCCTACACCTTTTAAGAATCATTAATTATACATACAAACTTCTCAAACACCAATCCCTCAGCATTTAAAAGAGCTTTTTAAAATGTCTTCAACATACATTTTCCACACTGTTCTCTTCCCCCTGATTTTATTTAAAGTGGGACATCTCCATAACCCATACTCCCAGGCTATCTGAGCAGTTGGCGGTGAGCCGTCCATCTGGAATAAGGACGTATTCTCCCAAATATCTCCCTTCAGGCTAGATTTCAACTTCAGATCTAAATGTGACACTATATTCTAGATAAAATTAGACCGCCATATTGTTACTACAAAACAAATCACATTCCCCTATGCATGCTTCCACTTAGACAGCTGACATAAGTGAGCTACATCAAAACTGACAATTTTTCCTTTAGTCAGTTGGATCTGCTGAGTTGAACTTGTATGTTAGTGATAAGAAAACACATCACAACTGAATGAAAAAGCATATATTATTAGTATATTTTCTATGCATACAAAAAAAATCTTAAACTTGCCTTATTCTGATCAGTCCAGTACAGAAAGTAGCCCTGAGGATCCACACGTAAGGTCACTGGGGTCACTGTAGAGGAATCCTTAATGAAAAAAAGGAAAGAAAAACATTCACTTGAAGTAATCATGTTCTGCATGTACACTTCATTTTCTAAAATGAACTACTGAAGTGTTTCAGCATTAAAATGAAATTATGATTCAGTAATGCTGTAAACTGGGCCTACACAATCGGCTTTATTTTTGTCCGCTGATACAATAATAATAATAATAATAATAATAATAATAATAATATTGTTTAAACATGGTACCAGCACCAAAAATAAGGCTGATTTGCAGGCACACTTCTTACAGTATACGTGTGTTATTCCTCGGCAGTCCTCTTTAAAATTGGCATGGAATATCCTCTTTTAAATATGTGATTTAATACGCTGCATGGCCTCTGAGTCCTGGGCTGGATCAAAATTTGAAGTTTGAGTCAGACATTGCATAAGTGTTCTACATAAGTGTGATTCATGTTGGGTTTTTAATAATTTCCCCTGGTGCAAGTCACAAAATTCTAGCAACACGGATCGAGCGCACCTCCTCCACACAGATCTGAGACTGTGGTCTTATTTTAAGATTACATGGACCTTCCCATTTAAGAAGGACATTGAAATGGTGTGGTAGCGAGGTAAATGTGTCCTCTCGAGAAGGAAGGGGACAATTTTCCCCCTCAGCCCAGAGCTCTCTGTCAAGCAGAGCGCTGTGTACCCTTTAGAGCTCTCTAATTGTGTTATTTTAGATCTTTTGAGGATCTGCCCACATACACGAGCACATCTAAGTTGGGTGGCAGAGCGCATCTTAGCTAATGTAAGGCAGGGAAGACGAAGGAGGATTAAAAGCATGGAAGTTGCCATAGCAACAGACCAATATTTTCAGTTTTATGTGTAGCCTGAGCTTTGAACTGCCAACATTTTCAGCATAAGCATACAACAAGCTTTTATTTAGTGTCTCGTTTTTTTTGGTCGCCTTCAAGATTTTGTTGGTTTAATGATGAATAGATCCAAATGGCATTTATCTGACATGTGCAGCTCCCCCCCACACAACAACCTCACTACTCTCCTTGACCACAATTAATCAGGTGAGACCACAAAGAATAGCCACCATCTGTGTGACACAGACTAAGCCATACAGGCTGTGTTAACAAAAAAATGACATCTTTTCTTTAAGACGTCTTTTGGTTCCTACATTAAATGTACATACATTGTCTGCATTAGGTCAGTGACTATATTTCAAGGGTCACAAATAAGTAATGTGAAAAAATGACAGCAGAGATGAGGAATTAGAGAATGACTGAGAACCGTCTCAAACATTTTGATGGGTAGAAACTGTCACACGGGCAGCATTTTGCAGACACTTCATATTTCAGTTCTGCCAAGGGTCTCTTGCACAGTGCACTCCTGAGAATCCCTCAGAATCACTGCTGCCACTTCATTTCTGCCTTTTTTTTTTTTTAAGGGGGTGGCATTAAGTAACACCTCATAAATTATGAATAGGATCAAGAACCCCTACTCTACTGTGTGAATTATTAAGGGGTCAAAATCAGTGTCACAACACTGTGTGCACTACTAGACAAACGTGTGAAACAGAGAGCTGCTTTCAGTTCAGCCACAGCATTGGCGAGTTTGCAGTGTCTTTGAACAGAACTCTCTCTGAACCAACAGGTGACACAGCAGCATCTTCAGCAGCCGCGTTTCTTCTCCACCATTTACAGCCAGCGCACTGCTGAAGGACTGCATTATGTGTGCCTAATGCTCAACAAGCAGCTCATGCAAGTTAAATTGAAATAAAACAGTATATAATTCATGGGTAGGATATAATTTCCGACACAAAGTGGGACGTAGAGAAAGGTTCCTTTCTCTAGTGCATTGCTCCGAGTATTAGGACAGCCTATAAAAAGTACCCAGTTACTAGCTTTTCCATAACCGCTGCAACAGCAGCAAACAATGAGAGGAGCAACGTTAGCCTGCAACGTAGTCTACGTTTAAAGGACAACTGGATTAAATCAAAGACGATTTCATTACTGCGTATGGACGGACATTCAGCCAGTGCGGAAACACGCTGGGGTCAAATTCGGGGCTGGGAGACAAATGGATCTGTGCGGCCAAATCTCAACTGCTGGCAATTTCGCTGTAGCATTTCTTACACTGAATATTTCTGAATGCAGTTTGGACTAAGAGGACAAAAGACGCGCGGCGAGGCGGCCGCACACGCTTTCTCTCAGCTTTCTGGCGAATTCGCCAACTTGGAATGAAAACAAAGCTCGCCAAGACCGCAGAGACTGCCACACAGCACAGCACGCACCGATGCCTTACCTCATCCCATTTCATAAACCTGCTGCCTTTCTTCAGACTCTCCGGGACGGACACCGGCTTGAGCTGCAGCGCGTGAACCCCGGGCTGTGCTCCGGCCATTCAGTCTGCACATCTACCTCCAAAGCAGGCAAGAAGAAAAGAAACACAAAACCCACCAAGGAGAGCTTCCCCGTCTTCTCCGAGCGCCTTGACGGAGGGCTGTTTGAGAGCGAAAATATGTCTGTTGAAGGGGAAGATCTTTATGCACACATTCACTCATTTGCTCGTGGAGGCTGTTATGGACGCTGCGTGTTTTTCTTTCATTTTACGGACGGTCACCGGCGTTGCCTGGGATTCCAGCAGAGGACGAGAAAAAAAAGAGCAGCAAAGGGAAGAAAAAATGGTCATAAATGATGGAGAGTAATGGGGGCAGCTGCCAGCATGAGTGGCCTCCGCACATTGACTCATGTGCAGCACTCAGAGCTGGAGCTGCTCGCGCACTGGGATCCAGCGCCTCCTAGTGCGCGTGTGAAAAGCTACGGTGAGGGACTTGAGGAGAGAGACCCCACAGTCAGCTTCAGAGTGAGGTCTACGTCTCCATCCTTCCTGCCATCTTCAGGCTTCATATTCACCGGGACGTTCACAAGGGTCAGTGCACGGTGCTGCTGAGGCACTGTTTTGGTTTTTATTATTATTATTGTAATTATAATAATTATTATTTTTTATTTATTTTTTATTTTTTGGTGATGGAGCGGGGATGGTTGTCAGTCTCTTTCACCTCTCACTTTCAATTCCAAAACTGATGTTTACATATACAAATCAGGCAGACAGTTGTTCTCTCTGAAATGTGTTCACTCAGCTGGTTTTCACTCAAGTGGTTCTTGTCAGAAGTAAACAAAAATGTGGGAGCTGAAGTTTATTTTCTAGTTTTTGGCCTATTTTACAGATATCTTTAATAAAAATGTGGCACAAACAGAATAAGGGTTAATTGTACATATTTACAAATTACTAGGCCAGGACCACTTATTCATTTATCTGTAATTATTGATAAATGCCATGAAATCAATAAGTAGAATTGATATTTCTTTCTTCTTTACTTTTTGTGTGAGCATTCTGCACTCCAATCCATGATCGAAAACTCCAGTGCTGGTTTTACTACATTTACACACACACACACACACACACACACAGAACAGTGAGCACTCCAGTGGGTGACTCATACAGGCACGCTTTTATATGTAGAAAATGGCATTAAAAACAGTATTTTTCATTCTTAATGTGAGTTTAATGTTTAGTCATTACAGGGTCTTTTCACAAGTTGCTTTTAACGGATGAAAAAGAAAAATGAAAAAACACCTGCGCAAAGAAGATAAAAGTAGAAAAAATTGATCCATTGAGGAATAACACCAAGGACATTATCATTTCTTTATCAGCCCAGTGGTCACCAACCGTCCTGGAGATCTAGGCCCAATTCCATTTCACCCCTTGCCCCTACCCCTCCGTTTTGTGTATTCACGCCTGGGGGCAGGGTGTCCTGATTTTTGTTGAGATGGAAGGATAGGGCTAAGTTTTAGAGCTACATGGCCCTCCCAGCAAGCTTTTTAGAGTTTAACAGATATGTTGTGTTTCAGAGGTATCCCAGGCATAGTTACAGTTGCTATGCTATGAAGGGCCAACTGGTTGAACCAGTGTGCAACAGCGCCACCCTGAGACAGACCAGTGCTGCAGCTCTAGTTAGTCAAGAATACTTGACAGAAGCTCGCTAATTGTGGGTTATGCAGCTAAACAATAAGCTTTCCCTGAATTTGTATTTGAGCGTTTGTTTTACATCATATTAAGTTTATTTTCAGGGACCCCCCCCCCCCATAATTTTGACTTTGGAACATTCAAGGGGTCCAATAGGTTAATTAGGGGGTCCCAGACCCCTCAGGAATCCCCATATTTCGCTCCTGGTTTATATGCACGTCACTGCTCATTGGGTAGTAACACCTCTGACACACCCATCAAAACAAAAGAAAACATACCTCAAAGACTGATGCTCACCGTTTCGACATAACATGTCAAGAAAAGCACCAAAGATTCAAGCTTATCCCAGATAATTTTGAAGAGTTTGGAGGGCGAGCTGATCCGCATCACCAGCGTGGCTGCAGTTACTGATACCCATGTTGATTACTGGTTGCTTCTTTCCTCTGCCCTTATGAAATTTTGCAAGTCATGTCTGTACTGGTTTGATGTACCCAACTTCATCATCTTACGTTTTAAGGGTGTTTGTGTGGTGCCTACTCATTTAGTGATAAAACTGAGGCCGCTTAAAACCGAAATGAGGGTGCATCAATTGGTGACTCATCAGCACAAACAAACTGAAAATCTGGTAAATATAATTGCAATGGGTTAAATGGCAAGTCAGACCTATAACTGTACTCTTATTCTGGGAAAACTAAAACTAAAAACTAAAACTAAACTAAAAACACAAATGAGGCATAGGCAATATTTGTTCCAAATTTTGTCTGCAGATGGCTCTGGTTAGCTAGCAACTTAACTAGCAAGAAAGCTTCCACTGTTATTGCAAGTTAATTCATTCCAAGTTGACTTGGCCAGAAGGTTCCTCCAGGAACGCAAATTCTCATTATGAGAAACACCCAAGCTGTTTTCAAAGCCAGAGTGTTTCAAATTTCAGTTGCTGAATTTCAAGTGGCTCCCTACTCCCTTGTTCACTACACAGATCATGAAATAAGGACTATGGCTGTGTCCAAAACCGCATACTACTATGCTATACATAAGAGGCTCAAATTTGTCAGATGTTCCTGAAGGCCTTCCTTACCTGGTGTGTAAGATTAGTGTTGGAGCTAAACTCTACAGAGTGGTAAATCTCTAGGACCAGGAGCACCCCAGCTATACATACTAAATGAATGAATGCAGATAGCAAAAGGATAGCAGGCCACTGTAGGCCCACTGATGGCAAACTGGAGGACTATTAGCTTTTTGCTCAGCATTTTCCATGCAGCCCACTGGTGGTTAATGCTGGTTATACAGCTGTAACCAATGTAGCACAATGTCCGTAACAACTTTTTAAACAAAATCATTTTTGATTAGGCCTAGTCATTACCTTTTCTCTCAGTAGTGTAGAATCTTACAAAATAAAAGACTATGTGCATTTAAAATCTGCTTGAGGACTAGTTAGACCTTGTACGCAAGGGTATAACCTGGATGGTCCAAGGTTGGACCAGCCGTGGAATAGTGAGCACCTTATCAAGCCAGCGGACCGATACATGCTTGCTATCTGTAGGGCTTCTAATGGTGGTTTACTAGTTTTGACACACTGTTTATGGTAGAGTTTTGGACGCAGCATATGTCTATCTGGGAATCAGCCAACGTTACTGCGACTTGCAGGTTAGTAACCAATGTGTAATTCAGTGGGAGAAGGTCCTCCAGTTGGCTGCTGTGGGAGTTTTTTCTGTCATCGTGTATCTCCACCATGAGTGAGAGAAGTTAACCTATGGGTTTCCAGTTAAGACTGAAGCTCTCATACTACAACAGCTAGCTAACTAGCACGCTGAGGCTGTAAAAGAGCGAAAAAACTCAAACTGTTGTACCTTCACAGTCCAAAAGCAAAGCAGTAACGTTAATTTGTTACATATACACGGAGTGCCTCTGTTAAATCTTCTGAACTCGACGACGAAAACATAACTGCCTGATACAAATCATTTGCTAGGCTAATTCGGCTAATTATCGGCTAGCTTAGCTAGCTAGTGAATCTAAACTAGAGATGTGATTGGACGATTCATAACCAGAACCAGTTTTTTGCACGGCATATGTATAAAATGTACGGTTGTTGAATTACTGAACTGATTCCAAATCAGTGTCACTATATGTGTGTGAGTGTGTGTGTGTGTGTATGTATATATATATATATATATATATATATATATATATATATATATATATATATACTTAATACATTTTATATTTTTTGTATTTTTAAGAACAATTCCTCATACACCATAGGAAGGGTAAAATTATGGTATAAATGTGGTATTTTTAATACACCTGGCAGGACTGGAGAGAGCAGCAGATGTTGAGCTGTGGGCGCCAATGCTACAGTCTACCTTAAAAATAACAGAGGAAGCGTTGCGTTTCCTGCTTGCTGGCGAATCATGTGTACTGACAATATGGCGGGACAGAAATGTCCAGGGAAGCTGGAGTGTGTAAGAAATACGTTTTGGTTCTCTTGGTTCTGTGTCGTTTTTATTATTTCGACCGTACATCTCCATAACGTCAGCGCTCAAAGCGAAAGTCGAGTAGTGACAGTCGCTGACGCGAACTGGACCCTTATTCTGGAGGGGGAGTGGATGTTAAAATTGTGAGTAGCATGTGTTGCTGTGTTTTTGAATAATGCAACGTTGCAGACCACTCGGAATTGGCAGTTTTGATTCGAGCCCACGTAGAGAGACTTTAGGCTGTATGCGAGTGCGTATTTGTGTGCTTTTTTAGATTTGACGTGTCACGCCCCGTTCCACAGTGCTGGTCTCTATATAGAACGGAAGTAAAAATATCAGCCCTTTCTTTCTGTTTTAGCACTGACACACTGATCCTTCATACATGAAACCCACGCCATCCGTGCAGGCGTTTTTCACAGGCACTGGATGACCTGCAATACTGAGTATATGTTATTTCTGTGTATGTAGTTCAGTAAATGTGGCTGTGCTGCTTCTGCAGCTGCTTGCCAGTGAAGTGCTTGCACAAGTCGGAGACTTGCGACCTCTGCACGTAATTTTCATTAGGAATGTAACCACACATTTCAGATTCAATGCGGTTTTCAGCTCTGGGGATTCGAATTTTGATCATCTATGTGTTAAAATATGTTGTTCTGTTCTTCGTACACAGATTTGTGAGGTTAAGATATACATACGTTGGATTTCAAAACAAAAGACTGCACAGTAGCATGTTCTTGTTCATAACAGTGGTCTTATAAACAGTGAGCTATAAACAGCATGAAAACAGATAGGATGTACCCAAGTGCCTAGTTTTGATCACTGAGTGGTTTCTGTAAATGAGAGACCTTTGATGCAGTTTTAAAATTTAATATACTGTTTTAAAAGCCATATTGAACAAGTTATACCCTTAAAGTTGAATTCCACTTTTTTTTTCCATTCCATTTTTTCCCCTAAATTTCTGCAGGTGTAAACAGTCATTCAGAGTGGTTTGAAGTGAAAAGAGTAAACTGTCAATCAGTATTATTCACAGTGCTGGTGGTGATAGGAACCAGACATCTAAGGAGTTTAATGCCTCTGAAAGCTCTCTCATAGAAAGTTATGTGAAAAGGCTACAAATATGCTGATGACTGAGGCATTGTTTTTCATTATTTTTGAGAAGGTTTTTGGCTAAAACATGCATTTCTTAAATCTATTCATGGCAGAGAGGTGCAGGTAGGGTGTTTTTAGGCAAAATACTACCCAAAGAAAACAATTTATTTTCAGATTTACCATTATTTTATCATCATCCACATTTAAAGATAGCACTGGTCATTTTGGATAAAAAATAAAATGGCTATATTTGCGTTGTAGTCCTTGTGACCCTGGTTCCTATCATCACCACTGTAAATAGATTTGAGTTGGTACGTTTGTCGACGGCTATTTCACACAAAAACACTTTTACATTGAATTATGCAGAAATTTTGAAAAATTGGAGAAATTCCTCCAATTAATATTAATAATATTCATGCGTACATATTGCTGATTTCAATTAAGATGTTTGCAGTGAATTTCACCATAGGCTAACTATACTGTTTGTTTTGTTTTCTATAACACAGCTATGCCCCGTGGTGCCCGGCATGCCAGCACATACAAGCAGACTGGGAGGCATTAGCCAAAGAGAGTGAGAACCTCGGGATTTCAGTTGGAAAGGTTGATGTTACACAACAGCCAGGTTGGTCAGTGGTTTTCGTGTTGAAGTTGCTCAGACCGATGCTTTTAACAACAGTAGAGGTGCAGTACTCTTAGTGTGCTGTCTTAGTATTATTCTTGGCATTTATTTTGCTCGACATTATGGTATGGTACGGTGTGCTTACAGATCTTACATAATTTTTCATCTTTACACTGCTAAGTGACCTATACCATATCCGAGTACTTGTGCCAAGAGAAATCATGTGACCAGCACACAGCCTCCACCCACTTTTTCTAAACATCTGCACAGAACTGGCCAGCTAATGTTCATAGAAATTCATAAATATCTGGAGGCCTGAAACCCAAAATGTCTGAAGATTTAAGTGCTTTTATAGAACCAAGTGAAAAAATTATGTCTTAAGAGTTGCTTGTTGTGGTCTGGCGTGTGACACCCCCGAGTATATGACCTCTTCACAGAACACTAAGTTTAGTTTAAAGGGGCTGTACTAACAACTATGTGTTTTATATCCTAATGTCGTCTCTATAATAACACTTTACAGTTAGTTGTCATATTTATTTGTACCAGCAAAACAAAATCAAGATCTGTAGTTAGGCTCTATTTTATGTAGCACATTTAGCAGCACACAAATGTATTGTGTTACATTTGAACCTAATAGGATCTTAGGGTTTGATTTTGCACTCCTAGTAGTTTCAGGCATTTTCTTAATTTGTATCATAAAATCAGTATAGTGTAAGCAGAGAGGTGGGATCCTCTTCAAAGAAGAACAGAGGTTCTTTTTATACATAGAATGGAGCACAAGGGCTGAGATAAAAATCCAACTTCAGTTAAAATACTTTTATTAAATAGCTTGTTTGGTCACTTTGACTTGCTTCTTTGTTTCCTCTGTGTTTACTGCAGTGACAGTTCATTTATTTATTTATTTATTTATTTATTTATTTTACTGCAGTGACTTTTAACAGATAATTTGATATGTAGCTATGGCCTCACTAACGGGTACAAATAAACCACACTGTTAAAATAGAAAGCTCAGGTCAGCTGCTTATTAAAACCAATCTTTCATAAGGACAGCACATAACCTTGGTAAAGACTGACCTGGAGGAGGGAGTGCCAAGGGAGAAGAGGAAGGACAGAGCAGCTAAGGACGTTCGGCACACACACGCTTGCAGCAGCAGCCCATCTGAATTGATGCTATCCTTCAGAGGAAGGAAATGCTACATTTATCCCAAGATACAGAAATCACAAATCTTTACAGCCATGGGGATTCCTTATTTAAAGGGAAATTCTAGTGATTTTTTAAACTTTGTGTATAATACAATTTTTGGCATGTAAACAGTCTTTCTTTCAGAGTTGTTTGATTCCTTTACAGTGGAGGTGATACGAACCAGGGGTCACATTGACTGTCACAGTGTCTTTAAGCCAAAACCTTATCTCAAACCTATTTTAACACAATGTCTCTGGCATCAGAAAACGTATTTGTAAACATTTCATGTAATAACTTACTATGAGGTAGATTTTAAAGATATTAAACACTTTTAGAGGCATAGAATCCCCAGATGTCTTTCTCTTACCACTGTTAGCGGTCCTTGACTCTTTAGAATGAGCCATCAAACCACTCTGAATGGCATAGTTTATTTTCTATATTAATGTATCACTCTATGTTAAAATTAATGGGAAAATGTTTATAGATTTATAGGCAAGAAACAAAGTGTAACAATCCCTCAGGAAATGTCACAACAGTAACAGTGCTTGAATGCCGGTTAATATTTACATATGATTACATATGCATAATGCAGGTAATATTGTACAGCTGTCTTAGTGTAGTGTATTTTAATCTGTGCAAGTCAACATTATACACATATATGCATATATACACATATATGTATGTACACTGTATGTACAACAGTATCCCCTTCTAATTAGTGAATTCAGCTACTTTAAAGGGCCTGTATCCTACATTTTTTTGTGCATTTTATTTTTTTCCCCTGAGGTCCAGTTATGAGGCCTGTGTGGTTTTGTGTAACAATAAGTCTCATTTGATTTTTACAAGACTATTTTCCAACCTCTCTTTATCCCATAAAATTAAACAGTCTTGTTTTTGTTAGAGGGCCTTTAAGACTGTTATATGTAAATGAGCTCTGATCTGAATGGCCTCCCTGTATTGTCCCTCTTTTAAAAGCAGTCCAGGCTGAAACCCTTCTTATGACTTCAGTATGAATGGGCAGGGCTGACCTGCTGTAGGCTGAATAGGAAGATATGTGTAAATGAATTGTTTTTTCATTATGTCACAGAAACATTGAATTTAAAGTGGGCTGTTTTGCAGTTTAGTTTATAGTTATAGTATATGAGCTGTATGGACTGGGAAGAGAACAACAGGCTTTCAAACTTTAACGCTGTGTACATACTGTATCAAACACTTTAATTGAAATAAGTGAGAAAAAATATTTATTTTAATGATATGGGTCCTCTAAAGTGCAACCACTGCTGACACAGGTGTTCAGTTGTGCACACCCAGCTTGAATAATCTCCATAGAGAAGCATTACTTATAGAATGGGATGCTCTGAAGCAGTCACACATGAGCCTAAAAAACACATCCAATGCCAAGCATCTGTTAGAGGGGTATAAAGCTA